GGTAATAGTTTGCATAATTTTATTAATTTGGCTTATCGAATGGAGCAAACGTATAGTTGGACTGTCAAATTAATACCACCTTCAGACTACTTATCATCACAGTTTATAAGTTATTTAATTGATGAATCAAATCGTGTTCAATTTAATGACAGTGAATTAGATAATAAAATTGGTCATTTGATTGCTTTTACACGAACTAACTAGTGTTTTAAATTATCTTGGAAAAAGGAACGTAATATCATATTACAGGATCTGCAAGTCCGTAGTTTTTGTATTTGTAAATATTGTAAATAATAAATCAGTTTTCTACTTATTGTTCGAGATTTTTGTTTGGATGTTTTTTCTGTGTATTTAAAAATTCGTAGTCTAACAAAAGCAAACGGTAAGTGTACATGCTCATCTTTTACTTGAGATCTATTCACAGTGGTTTGCTCTAAAGAAACCTTCATAGCAGTAGTCTATAGAATAGGATAGTCTATGAATATCCCGTCTTATTGAACCTGTAGTCACAACAAAATTTAAACTTTTCTTGTGTGATGATAGACAACAGCTTTTATAAATCTATCAAACAAACTCGGGGATAATTGATTTTCGTATATACGATCAGTAGATGTGTGAGTGCTGTGATTCTTTTTATGTTTTACTTATATTTTCATATTGCTTCAAAGTTTTAATTCTCAACTTGTTTATTTTCTCATTTTACGCCATCTAAATATTATCTTGAGAAGTGGGTTTACTTTTCGAATAAGTTTTTTTATATCAATAGTCATATAAGAATAATTTTCCTACAGCCAATGGCATATAGTTTCATCAGTCTCCACCCTAGTTCATGCATGCACTAATCACTTCATATCATTGCGATGAGTTAGCAAATTATGATACTGAACATTGTGTGGATAGCCTGATACCATTCATATAAACTAACAGAAGTTTATTAATTTAGATTTAAGCACTTATTTGGAGAGAGATTCAACTAATATTACATAGTAAGATTTTCAATTAAGATCATGAACTGATCAATGTTAGACCACCATTGAAGCACTGGACGGCTGTTTCACCCTAGTATGGGACTATTCAACAGTGCGCATCCACGATCCCGCGTGCGGGACCAAACATTAACTGGTTCATGATCTCAATTGAAACTGAACAATCTCCACAACCCTATACTGATAATGTTCCGATTTGTTCGTAGTGTTTTGATACTGTCTGTGATTATATTGAAGTAAAACTATTTTAGTGTGTTTTCAAACTGACGTAGAATGATGAATAAGAGTGGTGAATACGAAAAGACTAAGACTTTTTAGTATATGATACTTTCATAAGATGGATTTTTTTCTAGATAAAATTTACTTTCACAGTTGTAATCACGGACTGATCTTAGCTTGAACACCATTGAAAATCTGGAAACATTGAACAACCGTTTCGTCCCAGCATGTGGTTCCTCGGTGGTACTCATTTGTGACCTCCATGCGGGAATCGAACTCAAGACCTTTCGTCTTGCGCGCGAATGCTTAACCTTTAGACCACTGAACTGGTATCTGACTGTGTTATTGTCTAACTTGCAAAAGTTTTATGTAAAGGTCATGTTATATCTGACTTCTTCAATTAAGTAAATAAAATCATTTGAATATGCTGTAGTCTGATATGTCTCTTGCCTTACGCAATGAAGGCAACTTTTTAAATAGTCTAGTGGGTATTTCGAAGTTGGTTTTCAAAAAGTAATACCATCTAAAGAGGTTTTGAAAATCAATGTGAAGATCCAACTACTGTGGTATAATATTTTCTGAATTCCCAAAAATCCAAACTTACAACATTGTGTCAGCATCGATACATGAACTTCCTAGTTTCACTGTTCACTGGGTCAGGATCCAATAATCCACATTTCTAACTTCAATCAGTCTGCGATGTAGCCCTAAGATCATATGATTTTATATCATAGCTGTCTGCTGAGTGATTTCTGTTTTGTTTTTAGTAAATTATCTTGGTCCCGAAAATTTCATCTTTTCGTAGAATGTTAATTATATTCTTAAAAAGGTATTTAGTTTAGAATTTCACAAGTGCTGGCTATTTTCAAACTTGCTCACTTATATGTTATTACTAACATACTGATATTCAGACGTGTTAATTATCAGTAGTATAGGAGTTTTGCTCAACATTTAAAACTTATGGCTCATTAAAATAGTGATGACAATAACATAATTCCTTTTTACTCTTTTTTATTTTTAGTACTTATTTCTAGTTGTCGGTGGTTTTGCTTTATTTGCGTCAGCTGTTTACATTAGATTTTACAAAGTAATTGAAACTTCGATCTTTTCATATGAAAATCAATGTTTTCTTACTCTTATTAGTATTGAACTTGACAGTAATTTATAATTTGACAGTAGCTTTCATCATTAACTTATACCAGTTGAAACGTATCGAACAGTAGTTTCATTCTGATTATCCATGGTTATTTAATCAATACACGTTCAGTAACGAATTCGATGGATTTCCAGGTAGAATTCAATTACATACACACTATATTTGCCATCGTTGGGTCACATTTCAAATCTTAAGGCGATCTACCTAACACAGGTTTAAGATCAGGTTAATGGTACAAAAATGTCGTAGCTTATAATTTAGTGTTGTTACTTGTTTTCTCATGTGATAAATAAACTGTTAATACTTGGATTTATCAAGGGTAGTTGTCTGTTTTGCCAGCTCAACACGGTGATTCCCTTGTTTTCATTATTGGTGAGTAGAACAGTGATGCGAATCGGTAGAACACTACTCATGTGATCCGGTAAATAATGCATTCACAAACTGATGACTTGGGTTTCGATACAATTTTTTCGTTTTTTATTACCTTATCCATGACAGTAATTAGATTGCTAAAATCGAGCAAATGAAGTTTGAGGATATTAGATTTCTTCAAGGCCAGATTACTAAAGTTAGATTGTGTGGTCCAAAATTTGAAAGCAACATCTTATTATATTTTCCATGTTGTCTTAGTTATCACTTATCATTTAGACGTATCTGATATGTTGTAGACAATTATTCTGTCGTTTTAATTCCATTTTACCGAGTATTGGATAAAACATCAACCTATCATGAGTGATAAAATTCTCGTGAGTCATCAAGGAATCGTGGACTCAGTTTTCGTGCTTGTTGGCACTCGTTAGCAAGGTATAGCTATAATATTGACAGAAGCGATGCTCTTTATGTGACTCGAACCCGCGTTACACAGCTTCATATCAGATTATGAATATTGTTATACATTAAAAATTTTGACAAGTTTTCTGGGAGAATTTAAATTTCAATCGCTGAGATTATTTCAAATATAATTTTCACATATAATGACTTTTCTATACTCAGTGCCCAGTTTCCGTCACACTATTCGTTCTAATATTGACGAATATTCATATACATTACAAATTGTGTTCCAAGTCGCGTATGCTGTGTATTACTACCATCTAATGTACATGCATTTCACTTTGTTTTTTTCCGTAGTTAACTGTTACACGACCTAGTAAATATCTTTGTCCAATGTCTCAGTGTTCACCACTCATTAAAAATATGTCATGGGGTTCCATTACAGTGGAAACAATATCTGAAGATGGAACAATCAATCCAAACAAGTTAATCACATACCGAGATGCAAAACTGTGGCCAAATGGTAGTCGTGCATGGGATTGGAACGAATCTGGCACTGGTCATTTTGCAGGGATTCAGAAACAGGATGTTGATGAATTACTCAGTTATAAACCAAATATTATTATACTGAGTAAAGGAGTACTATCTCAGTTGAAAGTACCCCAATCATTAATTGATCACATAAATCAATCTGATCCACGTATTAAAGTAATAGTAGAGACGAGTAAAAAAGCATTCAAATTGTATAACGAATATGCAATTCAAGGTGAACGTGTTTCAGCCTTAATACATTCTACTTGTTGATAGAATTGACGTTTTATTTACAATGCTATGTTATTTTTTGTTGACTTCCTTATTTATCATATCATCACCGTATTTGAGATAGATAAACTCTTTATAGTAAGATTATTTTGTCATTGGACTGTTTGCTTAAAGGAAAAAATAATACCTTGGGTATTGATTTATCGTACACTTTTATTTTTGAATTACGTTTTGTTCAATACGTCGGGATGATAACTGGGACTGTAGTAAAAAGAACCTTCCGTAGCGACAGGATCTAAACCAACGTTTTATATAATAATAATTAAACAAGTTAAATCACAGTTTTACTCCACACACTGAGTAGTACTTTGTTCAGATATCATGTAAATGAGAAATGTGCAACTATGCTCATGTCAGCTATGCAGCCAGATCGCGTCTTCCTTCAAATCAAGTTTAATTAGATACATTGAACAGATAATTGAATGGTTATGGGACTACGTACATGAATGGTGATTAAAGGTGGAAGAAAACCTTCCTATCTTTTAGTTTCTAGGTAGTAAACACTCAAAAAAGTGAACTGTAATGTTAATAAGTGTAACTGATACCTCGTACAGCAGTAGTCTTAACTTTCACAAAACAAAAATATCAAAAGATAGCCAATAATAATCTTTGGATCGGAAGAATGATCAATAAACAACAATAAATCAAAATCGAATTCACGAATCAATCTAAGCTAGACTATCATTGAGAACGTGGAAGCACTGGACGGCTGTTCCATCCTAGTATGGAATTCGGCAGCGTGCATCCACGATCCCACACATGAGACTGGGATCCAGGACCATCGGTCCCGCGCACGAACGGTTAACCTCCAGACCACTGAGCTGGTATCTAGCGTGTACGATCGTGGATACACACTGCTGAGAAGTCCCATACTAGGTAGGACGAAACGGCCGTCCAGTGCTTACAGGTTTTCGATGGTGGTCTAGCTTATATTGCCTCGTGAATTCGACTTTGAAAATACTACAATATCTACAAATCCCCATATCGATAACAATGAATCACTTGAGAAATAAGTGTAAAAATAAATTTTTTGGGAGAAGACTGGATTTTCATCTTAAAAAATTTATTTGATTCAAATGAGAAAAGACTAATTGGTTTATGGTTGATAAATAATACACATTATATCACAAGTTATTTTTCAAGAAAACGAACACATTAACATACATAGAAAAGCAATACTTATCATATCCCTGAGTTAGGTTCAGTACGTGAAATGCATACATATTAGTACATTGATTCTCATTATGTAATATTCATCCATAAATTTAATCATATAAGATAAAGGGAAATTTAACAAACCAACAATAACCAAGATAAAGCTGAAATAATAATGAAACAATAATTATAAATGCATATTTGATCACCAATTAACTTGTTTTAAATCAGACCAATTATTACCAATTCTCAATTTTACTGGGAGTGGGATATTGATATTGCAATGTTTACTTGTATTAGACATTGTTTGTCGAATTAATACGCCGAATTGTTTAACGGATGATTCAGGAAAAATCTGAAATATAAATGTATGAAGAGTTAGATATAAATTGTGAATTGATTGAAGTTGGAAACGCCAACGGTCAGTTGTTTGCAGGTCAGGCGCTCATCGTGAAGCCTAAATGACTAGGTTTCAATCCATGATGGAGACATAGGTGCACATTACTGAAGAGTACTGTAGTAAAGGGAAGGAGAGCTTCTTGGGTTGTTTTATTATGGAAAGAAATAGATTACTTATGGGGTCAAACACTACTTACTTCATAGATTAATTCATCATGTTCATGTAAGACAAGATGAGCATAACCAGGAATATTAGATGAATGAATTGCTTGGTCAACTGCTAACATAGCAATCTTAGCTATTTCCGATGCACTTCCTTGAATGATATTATTAACAGCTTGACGTTCAGCCTAGTGAAAAAATAAATCAAAGATAAAAACAATAAACACGGGAATAATTAATCATAGACATGGTTGCCCCACAATGCCCTGGTGCGGCTGAGAGTGGGGAGAGTCCGCCCTCCCTCTCGAAATGCTCTCATAAGGCCACGCGTATACAGCCTCAGCCAGGGAAGTCCTACTCACTGCCTTCTCGCACCACGGATGTTATTTACGAAATTGAGAGGACGGAAAGTGAACGTCCAGCGTTTTAACCGGGCCGGTGGACACGGTGAGTTGGAAAACCCTGATTGCAAACCACTGGCGCACATGGGCTCCAGTATCTTAAGGGAACAAATGGCGTATGGATCAATTGTTGGTCACCGGCTACCATCGGACTGCATCTTCTCACGACGCTCCACTGCCTTGTGGGTCAGACCTTTAGGTCAACGGCTAGGGGTGTGGCCCCCTAAGAAAACCACCTGCTTCGGTCTGGGCGCCCGAGCAGTATCACAGCCCACACATAAATAGAATGGGATGAAATGACGATATTGTGCGGCGCATAATGATTTTGATCATTCGATCAAAAACGAAAACTCTGCCCCCGCCTATACTTTACATTAGATAACTGTGTAGTATAATTACCATTACAACCTGGTAAGTGCACGAGCGCTTCATTATTTAATTGTAACCAAACCTATTTTACTGTTAATGATTAGCCAATGAAAAAATAACTTCATAGTTTTGTTCGTTTTTAGGAGTGGTTGAATTTAGGGGACGTGTGTTTTCTTCCCTTATTTGGAATATGCCTGCTAATTCAGTGTACATGGAACCCAGCTTATATTAGTATTTCCATTGAACTTAACACTAATCTCTTCAGACGCCATAACATTAGTTACTGGATTAAGTTAAGAGACGTCGAATAAGTTCAGTAAATGAACGAAGATTAAACTAATATATGTAATTCATACACATACAAGTACAGGTTAGTGTAGTCGAGTTTGAGATAGCCACTTCTTTTGTTTAAGACCACACAATAGACAAAGCCAAAATAAGTGAAGTGAGATTCAAAACTGAAGTCTAGTGATTTAAAAAAGAAATCACTCAACAGAATAAGTACTGGACAGTGTCGTTGTTTCAAAATATATGCCTCACTTTTTAGGTAATGTACTAGTCAGAAGAACTATTACTTTAAGATTTGTTGACAGGAGGGAAGGAGAGTGGGAACTGCCGCTCAATTTCAGAATGGGAATCGACAGCTGACGAAATTTTGCAGGTCTTTCAACTAATATCAGTTGGTGAAGTGGAAAACAATTGAGATTTTAAAATTTATAACTAAAGCAAATGATAGGTATCATAAAATCAATAAGCGGTATTGTCCATAAAGTAGAAAATACTAACCTTAATAACAGCAAAATGATTCCGTAAATCATGTTTTTTCGACCAATTACAGTTGAGTTCATAAGGTGTGTCGCTGTCAAATACCGTTTTCGAGTTTAACGCAGGTAGGAGACGGATATGACCATTAAGTGTTTGAATTTGACCTTCACGATGAGCAGTTAAAACTGTTGTTGTAATAAACTTTTGAACACCTACAGTGTTTTATTAAGAACGGATGTTTCAAAGAATGAAATAACTAGTAATCTAAAACACAACTCAGATAAAAACCAGTGGACAATGAATTAGAGCTCTTTTTCTATAAAGATCCAAAAAAAACGAAAAATCTATAAAAGTACTTCGAATTGATTATTTCAGAGAGTGAGGTTTTAAACTGGCAGTTTAGATGATAATATTATCGTTAAATTTATCCTCCTTTATTTGTGAGTACTTATTTGCCTTTTAAAAGAACAAGAACCATAGAGACGTGCATTTTATTGGTGCTATCACTAAGTACAAAGTGATCTCGACCAACTTATTCGCTAATATGTTTATTTGTTGCGTATGATATTAAATACTGGGATATTTATCACACGTAACAATATTTTCAATTCTTAACATGAAATTCTAATGTAAACTAAATAGTATTCAAGACAAATTTGAAATAGCTTTATTAATCATTTCCTTGATGAATTACCGTGACATAGAAGCAGAAACGTTTCTATTGAATGAGGGTAACTTTTTCAGTCTGGTGGACACTGCCCCAATTTCAAGTACTAAATTGTATTTACTGATTATCTTGGTCAACACCCTTTTGTAATGTGTACAGTTTCTGCATTAATCAATTGTGAGAAAAATGAATTCTAACAGTGTTTGCTAGGTATATTAAGTGACCTACAAAGTATAAGTGTGTGTGCACGTGTAGACCTCATTTCTGTTGCATACGTGTGTATCTGTTATATAAGTTTGCAATGAGTTGACATAGATTTACTATATTATCTGTACTTATGGAAATTTTTTGACGTGTCCTTAATATACGCCACAGTTTTAGTGTACATATAATATTAGCACTTATTGATTTGCTGATAAAATCATTTCTTTAATGAGAGCTAAGTGGTCGGTCAAATCGCTTAACATTTTGACATTGTAACCAAACATAAAGTTAGTGTACGTGAATAGACATGATGACACTAATGAGGACCCAAAAATCGAACTTGGTAAATTACTCATATAAATAAAAAAGATCGAATATAAAAACTTTGCTGCCTAAATAACTTTGAGATGTAATTTCCAGACTTACAATGAGTAGCCATTAACAAGTCGGGTATGAGATAAATATTACCAATGACAATGCATAGTGGTCGTAAAATATCATTAACTGAGTGAAGTTAGGAATATAAACCATTGAACTTAAACAGAATAGCCCAAAACTTAAGCATATCCTTAAAAACCTGAAATTCCAGGGTTCCACCCCTAGTAGTGCATACATGTTCAGTGTTGAATGGTCACGAGCAAGGAAGAAATAGATGTTCAGTATTCCTTGACTCTCAATGATTATTTAACTACGAGCATTCTGTCATGTAAATTATTACATTCAGCAATCTTCACAAATTCCCGTATAATATAAACAAATTAATTAATTCAAGGATAATTTTTTTTAAATACCACAAAGACTAACCGTATGTATTATATTTTGATAAATCAACTGAGTCATTTACCTGGATAAGTGTTTAAAAAGCTATCAATTAACTTTTGGGCATTTTGCTGAGATATATTCAATTGACTAGCCAATGTTTGACAACCCATTCCATATAGAATAGCATAGCATAACTGTTTTGCTTGTTGACGTTGAACATCGGTTACTTGATTTGGATGGGGTATATTTAACCAATGGGCAGCTAACTTTAAAAAAATATGCATTTAAAAAAGTGTTAATTTAGTTTGTTTTTTTTCAATGAAAAAGGTGATCACAGAGTTTACTACAGGTTGTTAATAATAGGGAAGTAATTCTGATAAATAGTTAATAAATATATTAATTTTAAACAGGACAGCATTAGTCTAAGTGAAAGATAGAATTAATAATACAATGTTGTACGGACGAATAATAAATCGTTTGCGAAATAAGAATACAGGTTAAAAATCAAAGAACAAACGTTTATCCACCACTTAATATGAATTATATATAAGATATTTAATTGAAGAATAAGTTAACAGAATGACAGAGGAATTTAATTTAGAATATAACAGTACAGACTTACTATAGCATTTATACAACCATGTCAGTTTTCTTGTAGCGGTTTTCAAGAATTCCTCAACACGATAATGTGAACAAGGAAACTTAAAAAAAGTGGAAAAAGAGACTGATCCATCGAATGTCTACCTTTCATCATATTTCTGTTTGTTGTTTTATTATTTTTCCTTATCAATCAATGAATAGTTAAGTTATCTGGAAAAAAATTAATGGAAACCAGGAGGGGGGGCATTTGACAACTGCAATCTCAACGCGGAACCGAGTTCAACACCATGAGGTTTCATGAAAACCAAAATTCCTTTGGGAAATGAGTCAAAATACAACAGTCTACATTTCTAATGCGTCAACCGTGTGATAATTCCTGGAGAGTATCAAATTTAAACACACCAGGTTATTTGTTACTCCCTTTAATGAAAAATACTTTAAAATTGAACATATCTTCACAGATAATCGATCTAAACAATTATCAACGTTTAATTAATAAAAAATGTACAATTTAGTCCTGTGGAACGAAAACAAACAACAACAAAACAGTTGTATAGCCTTACCTTTTTAAATGCATCTGATTCTGAGTTAGGTTCAATGGATTGATCAACAATTTGACTCGAATGTTCCACTACTGATAAAAGTTTTAAAAGTTCTACATCTTTACTGAAATACGCTAATAATCTTAGTTCGAGTTGACAAAAATCACCAGAAATAAGTAAACCACCAACAGGTGCATGAAAGGCACAACGTGGTTTTATAGTCTAAAAGCAAAATAACCAACAGTAAAAGATATTAAAATTAAGACAATGTCGTAATAGATAAGAATATATATTCAGTCAATCATAAAAATGTAGAAGCTGGAAAATATATGCATTGGTTCTAGTGTTTACACCGTTTCAGTACAATGAGATGCAAGAGTAGTATGCATAGTGGCAGTATTAGTAGTAGTAGGAAACGTTGTTCTTGGATAACACAGCTCAAGAAGAATGAGTAAATTCACAGAACACAGAAGTATGAGATAATTTTAAATTGCCTCCATACCGATAAGCAACACACTGGAAAAGTATTATTTTTCTGACGAAGCAAAATGAAATTATTGATAATTTTCAATGCTAAACAATGTAGTCGCAAAAAAGATGTAAGCGTTTGCTGAATTCAAACCACAAGATTTTAGCAACAGAAGTGCAGATATGCTCAGTAGGAAGATATAGAATGAATTTTAGAACTACATAGATTAGTGTATCAATCTATGATCTACAACTTCGAAAAAGAGAGATTGAGTGAAGTTCGAACCTAGAATCGAATTTTTCAGAGAAATGAACCTGTGACATTTAGGTTTAAGATATCAAACTTCAATAAAACCAATTACATCTTATTGCTTTATTAGTGGATGATTAGACCACTAATTAAGATAAAAAAATTTCACTATAATACCACTGTATAATTAGTAACTCGTATGATTTTATTACTGTTTGTAAATATAAATTATTAGGTAAACTATTTAATATTTTAATATATATCCATAATTTGGCATTTAATCCGACAAATGGTAATTCACCTCAATATATTCAATAACGTTATACTATTTATATGGCAGTGAGTGCTAGCAAATAAGACTAAGCATATACCACAGCAGATCGATTATTTCTATTTAGTGTGGGAATTTTTTTAATAAAAAAAACACCACGACATTAGCGAATAGGCTATTTATATACTAATTCATTGGTTATAAAATCCGTGGAGAGTTGGATAAAGCCATGTAGAATGAAAGCTTTATTGAAAATAGGTATATTACAGATGCGAAATCTTTTTCTCCGCTTAATAAAACCATTAGTCAGTTAGTATTCAAATTATCAAGGAAGCATTAACTTCAACGTGTCAAGAGGTTCTGGGTCTAAAGAAATACCATCATAAGGAATGGATCTCTACAGAAACACTGGACAAGATCAAAGAAAGGAAGAACAAGAAGGCAGCAAGAAACAACAGCCGAACACGAACAGAGAAAGTCCAAGCACAAGCTGAATACATAGAAGCAAACAAACAAGTGAAGAGGAGCATTAGAGCCGACAAGAAGAAATACGTTGAAGAACTAGCAACGACGGCAGAAAAAGCTGCTAGAGAAGGAAATATGAAACAGCTCTACGATACAACGAAGAAACTATCAGGGAAATACAGTAAACCAGAGAGGCCGGTCAAAGACAAAGAAGGCAAGCCAATCACTGAAATTCAACAACAGCGAAACAGATGGGTAGAATACTTCGAGGAACTCCTGAATAAGCCGGCCCCAATGAATCCACCGAACATCGAAGCAGCACACACAGATCTTCCTATAGATGTCAACCCACCAACGACGGAAGAAATTAGAATGGCCGTCAGACAGATCAAGAACGGGAAAGCAGCAGGACCCGACAACATACCAGCTGAAGCACTGAAATCAGACGTCGAAGTAACCACAAGCATGCTTTACCCTCTATTCAAAAAGATTTGGGAGGAGGAACAAGTGCCAATGGACTGGAAAGACGGACACCTCATCAAGATTCCAAAGAAAGGAGATCTGAGCAAATGTGAAAACTACAGAGGCATTACACTACTGTCAATACCAGGGAAAGTCTTCAACAGATTGTTGCTGAACCGGATGAAAGATGCAGTAGACGCCCAACTTCGTGATCAACAAGCTGGATTCCGTAAGGATCGGTCGTGCACAGACCAAATTGCAACACTACGGATCATCGTCGAATAATCAGTTGAGTGGAACTCATCACTATACATCAACTTCATTGATTATGAAAAGGCATTCGACAGTGTAGATAGGAGGACATTATGGAAACTTCTTCGACACTACGGAGTTTCTGAGAAGATTGTCAATATTATTCGGGACTCATATGACGGACTACAGCGCAAGGTCGTGCATGGAGAACAGCTGACAGATGCATTCCTAGTAAGGACCGGAGTCAGACAAGGCTATTTACTCTCTCCCTTCCTCTTTCTTCTGGTGGTTGACTGGATTACGAAGACCTCAACATCTGAAGGAAAACACGGAATACAATGGACAACTCAGAGCCAATTAGACGATTTGGACTTCGCAGATGACCTAGCCCTCCTATCAGGTACACACGAACAGATGCAGATGAAGACAGCCAGTGTAGCAGCAGTCTCTGCATCAGTAGGCCTCAGCATACACAAAGAGAAAACTAAGGTCGTCAAATTGAAAGCGGAGAACAGCAATCCAATCACACTTGATGGCAAAACTCTGGAAGATGTAGAGTCCTTCACATACCTGGGAAGCATCATCGATGAACAAGGAGGATCCCATGCAGACGTAAAGGCGAGGATCGGCAAAGCAAGGGTCGCATTCCTACAATTGAAGAACATATGGAACTCAAAACAACTTTCAACCAATATCAAAGTGAGAATCTTCAATACGAACGTCAAGGCGGTTCTACTGTATGGAGCTGAAACTTGGAGAACTACAACAACCACCATCAAAAAGGTGAAAGTATTTTTAAATGGTTGTCTACGCAAGATACTCAACATCCATTTGCCGGATACCATCAGCATCAGCCTTTTGTGGGAGAGAACAAACCAGCTTCCAGCTGAATAGGAAATTAGGAAAATACGATGGAAATGGATAGGACAAACATTGCGCAAATCGTCAAAGTGCATCACGAGGCAAGCTCTAACTTGGAATCCTGAAGCGAAGCGGAAAAGGGGAAGGCCAAAGAACATATTGCGTCGGATAATAGAAGCAGATATGAAAACGATGAATTACAACTGGACGGAGCTAGAAAGGATTGCCCAGGACAGGGTTGGATGGAGAATGCTGGTGAGCGGCCTATGCTCCTTCACAAGGAGTAACAGGCGTAAGTAAGTAAGTAGTATTCAAATTTGTCGAATGATATATATCTGTTCTTATATGTTGACTGATCACAGTCAATTCAATGGAGCCTACAACTTATTAATAAACAGTAATTACCACTAATGTACAAAAAGAAGAAAATCATTTGTTTTCTTTAATCAAGCATCAAAACAATGATGGGATCAAAGGAATATTGTAGAAGTATCACTTGTGAGACTATTGAACGGACGAATATTAATTAATATACATGCTAGTAAGGAGAATTACGTGTTCTTGATTTTAATTTTATTGATGTGTAGTGGATTAGTCGTTGTTTGGGTAACTAGTGTACAGCGAGTCGATTGTATACGCAATAAAATCGTTCATTTTAGACAGAAGAGCTGCAATGGTGTTCTGGATGAATAAAACGCTATTCCATATAATCACTTTATTCAGTAGGAAAAAATAGCACATCAAAGTACAAGTTCACTACCATACCAATTTCATCTATTTCTAAAAATAACAATATGGCACATATCGAATGTTCCAAATAAATTGAAATGATAATGTTACGAAGGAAAAAAACAGATAAAAGATTATTTGAATAAAAATACTAAAGTTTAATAAAGAAAGAAGACAGTTTATTCGGAGATATGATCAAGATAGATTTCTTTCAGTTAACAAGATTCATCCTACTTTTATGGAAAATGTACAAGAAAACTAGAGTACGATTATCACTCGTTAATGCCAGTAAGTTTAGTCTCAGTTATGTTGGTATTGAACTAGCTGAAGTAATTTTTTAGGGATGTTGGGTGGAATGGCTCAGAATTGCTCACAGTAGGGCACGTGCATTAACTCTCCATCTTCAACTAGATCTTGTTTCAGTATTTCGTCAAACATATTTTTTATTCCGTCCTTTGAAACTATATTCTCAATGTTCAGTTTTTCTCATTGCTATTGATGCTTTATTATTTAGGGTCCCTTACTATTCATCTTATCAATTTCATCTCATCGTGTTACATTATTCTTGTACAAGCTCTCTACTCAAACACTACTGGTCAAGTTTGAGCTTATGGAGGACAGTCATTGGGATTGGCTACTTCGACTGGTGTTCGTAAAGATTGTCTGCTTTTTCTATTTTTATTTATCTTTGTCATAGACACGCTTTTAGAGATAACACTATGCTCGTTTGTTTTTCTCAGGGATTGATCTTCTACCAGGAGAATCACTTATTCACTTAGAATACATAAGCGATATAGTTTGTTTCATAAAGATGCCAACAAAATGCAGTCTTTTGATCACCTTAAACAACAATGCAACCATGTTTGGGGTGTAATCGTTTTCCTTCAAATGCAAAACGTTGCTTCCGCATTTGCTTGCGACATCTCCTGAATTAATAGTAGGGAGAGAGGTAGCTGGATGCATCGACTGCTTCATTTATCTGAGGAGTCTCATCAGTCCTGATAGTTTGGTGTCTGAAGAAATCTCGGCATGGATTTAGAAGACTCAACTAGCATTTGCCAACTTGTATCACTTGTAGCGAAGGCGAGATATCCGTCTGCCAAACAAAGGACGAGTTTAACGTGTAACATTTAGCTCCGTTTTATCTTATGGGTGTGAAACATGATCATTAAGAATAGGATATTCGTAGGTTATTGTTATTCGATAATTGGTTTCTAGGAGGTATGGCTCGTGTATTTTGGAACCACAAAGTAAGCAATGCCTGGGTTATAAATAGAGTACTAGGTATAGATGATATACCGAATAATGAGGTAGTAAATCTTCATAAACTGAGATGGCTTGGACATGTGTTACGTATGCTCAACCACCGCCTACCCTGAAAGGCAATGATTTCTGGTGTAGGAGTTGGCTGGAGGGGAGCTTGAGGCGGGTAAATTAAAACATGGGATCAACTTATGGAGTCACTAACAAGTGAACTTAACCATGCTAATAATAGGTGTAGACTAACTTGGTTGGGGTCAGTGTGATTATCGTAACCAATGATTGCAACGTATGAATGATATGGCTCAAAATCATTTGCAATAACACAGATGCATTCATTCTTTGCCTCTTCCAAAATTATGAGATTTCGAATTTTGCATAACTTCTTTTTTGTTTTTAATTAATTAATTCACCTTTTTTCTCGATTTGTATCTTCGATGCCTAGATTTTTCTATTATCACTGATACCATTACTAACTCTAGTATACTGCGCTTTGGCCTAACAATTTCATCCCTCTGAGTTAATGGGATACTTAAACCGATGTACATACGTACCAGGTTCTATGTTGTGACTGACTGACTTCATAGCGCATGACGTTTATAAAATCAATTTTCTTTTATTCAAACAAGAAAAAAACTTACTTCAATCGATTTAGGCAGTTCACTTAATATTTGATCAAATGGTGAAGTCCATTTTTCTGAGTTATTATTAAGATTGTTATTGTCTACTGTTGTAGATTTATAATGTAATTTAGACCAATCAATAATAATATCTTTTGGAACAGATTGTAAATTAGGCATAATCGATATAATTCGACCAGTGGCTGTGTAAACATCATATGTAGGTGATATACGTGACGGCTGTATATTATTGGGAGACAAATTAGAGAGGTAAAGAAAAGTAAGCAGAAAAAACACGACATCATGAAAATGCACTGAACGAACATGAGAAAGGCAAATAATAATAGTAAAGGGTTCTTTAAGCAGTATGATTTGTTTTTCTTTAGGGAAATAATAAAAAGTCACAAAACAACTGTTTACTAGACAATCGTTCATCTATATTAAAATGTTGAATGTATCAATTTATTTTAAAGTGGAGACTGCATGATTGGAGTGTTTGCGATTATTATAATCAATGATTGAAGAAATTGGATGATATGGTTTACAACTGATGGTAATGGGGTAGGTAAATTCAATGTTTATTTAATTTTTTACTCATCAAATTCATTCATTCTTTTGAAACTACTATTTATGCCTAATATCTTTTAGTACTACTATTACTACTGCTAGTACATCTACTACTCCGGTTTTTGCTTTGACAGTTTCATGTTGCTATGCTAGCATCGTCTGACGATTTGAGTCGATATGCATAAACGTAGTCTTAATTTTTTATAATTGACTGAATTGATCAATGTGAAATATGTCCAGGTTATAATAAGTGCGGCAATCTATATGTGAATACAGGAATAAATTAAGAATTATTATTAATATTGAACAGTAAAGTCAGTTGTACACAAGATTTTGCAAAACCAACACCCCCGATCAGATGGAAGCTAGAGAATGCCTATTAGCATTTAAGTAATCAAGTAGAAACAAGAGAAAATCATCACCTTTTTATAAAATAATAATACTAAACTTTCTACAGAGAATTCTGGGCACTGTTAACACTGGTCAAGGTTCTATTCATAAATTTATCAATATTATGAATTTTTACAACATATATTACTAATTTGAAATAATAAAAAAGACATCATAGTGATGAGCTTGATTTTTGTGATCATTTACAAATTAGTAAAATTCATTTAGTGAAATATAATGTTTATTCATTCAATTGACGAAAACGATTGCGAAGTATGCTGAATATAAATACTATTTTTAAAAGCAGACATAGATTCATACTAATTATGCTTCTGTTTGCCGATAAATCCTCGTACGTTTCAAACGTTTCATTAAAAGAAGTACAATTAACAGAATGTTTAATATGTAGTAACTAATTTAGTGTACCATAGTATTTGAAAAAAAACTAATATTATAGTTTTATAAACTGGGTCACGGACACAAATACAACATGGATTCTGCAGCTATTTTGAAAATTATATATTACCCAAAGTGTTTGGTAAAATACATTTATAGAGTAAACCAAATAACGAAGTAGGACTTTAGTAGTGTCTCCACTGTTACAGAATTTTTATATGCTATAAATTAGAAAAATATGTTCAATCAACCCAGGTAGACATTTTTCAGTTGAAAAGGTCTATTTTACTATTAAGACAAATTTGATAGGAAACTAACAAACGATTGACTCTGACTTGTATTAGTCATGCCTGGTAATATCTCAAGTTGCTGAGTCAGAAAATGTAACTGTACAGTAAAAGGTGCGAGAAAACAGATCGTTTTCTTGCAATATCCTCAATACCTTAAATATATCAGAATTTGTTTTACAGTAATGACAAGATGAAGGTGAAGCCTCGAAACCGTGCTGGTGGACAAAGTTTGTTCATCTAAATGTGAATTGAAAAACCAGATCAATAAAACATTTAATAATCTGCAGTTCCGTATACATTCAGCAATTACAAGTAACGAGTGATGAAAATGAGAAGATTGTAGACTTGGAAATACATTTTCCATGCTGCGAAAACAGAATAACACTAAAATACCACTGAATTTTGCACACACCTACTGAATATTACTGCTACTCTGAAACAATCCCATGCTTTACTAAATGTAATGTACCACGTGTTGATAGACTGAACTTTTAACTTAGGTCAGAGAATGCATATTAGTTTTTTCGAAAACGGTAGTCAATGGAACGTTCTTCTTCCCTACTAAGACAAGTTGCATTAAAAACAACCGTTATTTACAAAACATTAAAACGGAGATCAGAAAATTCGTTGAACATTAAAAGTTTAGGAAAGAATTTATTTGCAAAGTTATTATTCTTACCTGATCCCCTATACTAGATGCATGGATAAGACGACATGTAGATACTAATGAATTAAATATTTTTTCTAAAATACCGTTGATATGACGCCATTCCATAATAACAGCTGGTAATGGATGAAGATTTGTTAGTTTCGAGAGAAGTGTATTAGTAGCTTTGGGTAAATGACTTGAACGATTACGCCCATTCAATAAATAGGATTGATTACGTTTTCTATTCATTATTATATCATTGGGATCAGTTATTTGAGGTAAGTGAAGCCATTTGAAAAGAACCTTTTCAAATAAAAAATATTATTATAAAAATAAGTAGTATTAAGGATGAGAATACTTAAAGTATAACATTCTACAAATTCATGTGTGATCATCATTAGTTAGTGAGAAGTGATACTATAGAAAGTTCTTACTGATTGTTATCAAGAGAAGCAGTGATAACTCTCTAATTGAACTGATTATTTGAGAGAATATAAAACTGAAAATAGTTATAGGCATCAAACTGAAGCTTTCAGAGAGCTAATGCTTTTTGCCCTTTGTATTAGTTAAACTTGTGTTAACTTATTCCGACTATTTACTTTGAAGAAGTGGCTTAAATTAATTCGCGAAACGTCAAAAATACAACTTTTCTGCTCATCGGGATATAGCAAAAATATATTTATTATTGACTATATAACCAATGCTTAACTTATTTGAAACTATCAAGCCAAACTTTGGGATTGATATCTAAAAATATTGCGATAGTTATTTATTTCACATATTAAAAGAAGACTACATAGTACACAAGGTTTTTGATCGGCATAGTTTGCTTATAACATTATCAATAAAGCAACAACTAATACCATTTATGATCTTGGATTTAAAAAAAAATTTAGGTTCAATTTTAAAAAAATATCAGTCTAAAAGTGTTGATACTAGAGAAAATGTATTTATCAAACCTTGGATATCTCTTTCGGTGAATCCATAGTAAATGGCTGACCAGCTAAACGATAGGCAACACTTTCCAATTGTTTACATGCTTTTAATAATGAATCATGACATTTATTTAAATCATTCAAGTTAAGAACTGGTAAATGAAAGTAAAGAAAAAAAAACAAAATTAGCTAAGAGAACAGGAAAATAATGTAATGTAGATGATAATTTAAAGTTTACATTAAAAAACAACAAAGTTTACGCAAAATTCTGGTGTATTTTATTACTGTCACAGAATTTTCAATATTCATCATAAAACTATGATACATTAACAAAATATATAGTTTGTCACATTTTGTTTGTGGCTAGCAGTTTAATCCATGTGACGCGTTTTGACCTAATTAGAACTTACAAGCAGAATATACCTGGATACCAGTGTTGAGGTTTATACACTAAGAATCCAACCAAGTTCCAGCTGCTTTGAATGCCAACGCATTATCCACTAAGCTATTGAGTTGAAATGGCTCGATAACTTGTTCAAGAGGTATGAATGTACTAGTAATGATTCATAATTTTTGGTTGGTCTCGACATTATTATTCAGTTATAATTTATATATATAACATCGAAAAGATTGGATTGCTGAGAAGTACATGATTGCAACCTTTTCATACAAATACAAATTTTTATCTGATGTACTCATCAAATGCTCAGAAAACTATATAATCCTTAGACTATAAGGTTAGTGAATAAGTAGAAAAAAAGCAAGCCAACTAAATATTTGACATTGTCAAGTATGTCTTCCACATATTTTGGCTGAAAACCCATAGTTAAAAGACAATGAGATGAATGATTTAAATTATTATTATTGAAAACCAAACATTAGTACAAAAGAACACCAAATTGTAACTGCACCGCACAATAAAAATGAGATTATGAACAGATAAAGGGAGATGAGTGTTATAAGAAAAATGAATAATGGGAGGAGAATTTATACGAATATTCGTCAAGATTAGAACGAATAGTTTGACAGACATTGGGCGCCGAGTATAGAGAAGTCATTATATGTGGAAATTATATTTGAAATAATCTTAGCGATTGAAATTTTGATAATTCCAACGTTTCGTCCAGCTAACTTGTCTGGAATTCTTCAGGGTAATAATCAAAATTTTGATTATTCAGTATTTCGATTATTACCCTGAAGAATTCCAGACAAGTTAGCTGGACGAAACGTTGGAATTATCAAAATTTCAATCACTGAGATTATTTTAAATATAATTTTTACATATAATGAATAATGGGAGAAGTTTATCTAAGAAAAAACGCAATCAGAAAAGATTTTTTCGATTAAGGTTGCTCTTATTTCTAGGAAGAAAGCAAAGGAAAGCCGCAGCAAGATCGCTACTCGCTTGATCCTGAACCATATCTCATAACATTTCGATTTACTGTGTTGGAATATCTCAAGGATAACAATCAGTTATGTACAGCTTTCTTTCATACTGCTAGGGATGATGCTATCACGAGTTCACTTAATCTGCAAAAGAGAACAAACACTCAGTAACTAAAGACCAGTAAGCTAGCTATTTGATGCGTCGCAGCTCCGCTAACTAGAGGGAGAAGTCCAAGCATGAAATGGGAAAGTATATTCTACAAACAGCCAGAAACGAGCGAGCACAGAGCGATCCACAAACACAATTCAAACGGATATATATCAATTATATGTATATAATCGATATTACCGTGAAAGTATTTTTAAACATTCAATCGATGATTTAGTCAATCGACTGCCATAGAAATATTTAACATCTAATCAATAAGAATAGTTTAGTTAATTAACAATTATACAGTAAAATATACGTATAGTATTGGTCCACAAATGGATCCCAAAAATAACCACTCATTATTCTTATCGGGGCATAACATATACCACGATATCATGTTATACACTGACCAGCTCTCTGCTTTTCTAAATAATTTCAGAATCGGCAAATAACGCACAACGTAGAATTCGCTGGGATAACATTCGTAAGACATGTCCAAGCCACCTAAGTCAATGTTTCAAGATAGAGACACCAATGGAAGTGTAGTCGCTAGGCACTGACACACATTGCCAAATTTCTGCATTACTTATAAGGTGTTGCCCTTATGTGTCAGCAATCATTCGTATAATAAAATGACAAAAAACAGAGTCGCTTAACATCCTCAACTTGAAGCCAGGTTCCACAAGCATGAAACAAAAGCGGCACCCATCGACGCATTATAGATTTGACATTGTACAACCAGACTAACATCACGAAGGCGCCAAACATGGCCCAGATTGGCATAAGCTGCTGTGGCTTTTAATATACGTGACTTATCATTATTCAAGCCAATATCAGAACTTCCGCAACTACACAGACCCACGAACTTCTCGACTACTTCTATCTGCTCACCATCCAGGGTGAGTACAGCATCAGAATCCTGCCAGTCTTGTAGAAGTACTTTGCACTTCGAAGGTGCAAAGCACATACCATACCTATGGACACCGATTGCCAACTGATTAAGTGCGGATTGCATGGCTTGGGCATTATCACACAGTAAGACAATATCATACGCATACTCAAGGTCGAGAAGTCTTTCTCCAAGCAACAGATCCACACCACCATTACTTACATCCATCAGAGCTGTTTCCAGAATGTCATCGATGGCAAAGTTGAGGAGGAATGGTGAGATTGAGCAACCCTGACTAACCCCACTGCTCGAATGGGACAATGGAGAGAGGTGGTTGTATGCCCTCACTCTGCCTGAGGTGTTTGTATATAGGGCCTTTAGGATGTTAATAAACTTCTCAGACACACCCTTCTTCAATAGACAATCCCAGAGAACAGTCCTGTCCAACGAATCGAAGGTAGCCCTGATGTTAAGAAACACTACGATTGTTGGCTTTTGATAAGTATGGCGGTGTTCTAACATTTAGCGGAGGGTGATTATGTCATCAATACATCCTCGACCGGAACGAAAACCAGCCTGCTCCTCGCGAGTCAATCTTTCTGGGGTTTTGAACAACATACGAAGTATAACGGAAGCCAATTGTTTGGACACAATCGGAAGTAAACTTATCCCCCATAGTTGTTACAGATACGACGTGAACACTTTTTTAAGATAGGGACAATTATCGACTCACTCCACGATGTTAGAACATTCTCTAATTACCAGACCTCTGTAAAAAACTCAACTGGCTCCATAACCAGAAAGTTGCCATAATATTTAGAGAGGGTCGGAGACTTGTTATTTGTGGCACTTTAGGAGTTCGAGTTTATTGCAGACTTCATTATGCGCCATGGATTGCAGGACAGTTTGATCGATGTCCCCAGGGCAGCAAACCAGTTGAACTGCTTTTCGAGAGACCTTGTCCATCGACAAAGACGTCGGTGTGTGTTAGTGGTTGTTTATAGTCAAATTTGCGGTCACCCGAAGTAGATCGACGTGCTTCAGTAAGCTGTAAGGAGCCTTTAGAAACCAGGAGGTTCACTTGTTGACTTAGAATATGCAGATGACATAGTTTTATTTGGTGAAGACGCTGACAAAATGCAGAGTCTTCTGACCACTCTAAGCAACAATGCAAGTATGTTCGGGATGCGATTCTCCCCCTCGAAATGCAAAATGTTGCTTCAGGATTGGGTTGCATCGACACCCGAACTAATGATAGGGAGTGAAGTAGTTGAGCGCGTCGATCGCTTCACTTATCTTGGAAGTCTCATCAACCCTTGTGGTCTGGTGTGTGACGAAATCTCAGCACGGATACAGAAGGCTCGACTAGCTTTTGCCAACTTGCGTCATTTATGGCGTAGGCGAGATATCCGTCTATCAACCAAAGGACGTGTTTACTGCGCAGCAGTTCGTTCCGTCCTAATTTATGGCAGTGAAACACGGCCGGTAAGAATAGAGGATATTCGTAGGTTACTAGTATTCGATCATAGGTGTCTTCGAAACATTGCTCGTATATCATGGGACATCGAGTAAGGAACACAGTTGTTAGGAAACGGGTACTAGGTAAGGATGGCGAATCAATTGATGAAGTGGTGAAACTTCATCAGTTGAGATGGCTGGGACACGTGTTACGTATGCCCAACGACCGACTGCCTCGACGTGCTATGTTCAGTGGTATAGTAGTAGGTTGGAAGAAAGCTAGGGGCGGCCAAACCAAAACATGGCACAAGTCCATGAAGTTACTGACAAGTGGACTGAGTCATGTTGGTAGGTGTAGACTACGTGGTTGGCGACCCCGAGATGATAGCAACTGATGGTTAGATACCCTGAATGACATGGCTCAAAATCGTTTGCAATGGCGCAGGTGCATCCACTCTCTGTGTTCTCCCCAATTCTGATCTTCTGAATTCTTCATGTCCCTTTTTTCCTCTTTCCAAATTTATTTCACTGGATTATACTCCTTGAATAACATCTCCAAACCCTAATCTTCCCGATTACTGCTTATACTCTTATTACCTCTACCACTACGGGATTTGAATCGACAACTGAATCTCTGTGCTAATGTGGTGTGGCAACTCGAACTGATGTACGTACGTACGAAGTTCTAGGTTGTTACTGACTGACTGACTTTAGAAACCCAGTTATTGTAAGCGGGACGTTTCTCGAAGTTGTAAGCTACTTTACTTGCCGTTTTCGTGGTGTCATGGAATTGGAGCCGGTGCTCATCTATACTTTTCGGTGGGATGTTAGCTAGTCTTGAACATAGCTCCGTTTGATATTTTAGTTGCAACAGAAGCTGGACCCAATTTGTTGATATTGATCTGTTCAGGGGGATGTATTTATTGGCTGCTGAAACGTAAGGTAAAATTATCGCAAACAAGAGTATGGTCAAAGATTAGATAAGTACTCCGAAGGTTATCCGTAATGAGTGGCTTGATTCGACTTACGATCAATCAGTGACTTGAGAACGTATAGATAGGACAGGATTTCCAAAGTCAGCGACCTGATGTATGAGTTGGAAAATAAAAGAATATACCGAATGGGAAAAAAGGAATAGACAAGTGGTGCAATGTAAAACATGAATGAATGTCACGAAATAATTGTAAATATAATTTTTGCGGGTGCAAATTGAAGTCTTAATTATCTTTTGAATGGTGTCAAGAATCCAAAAGTACAGTAACTGATTACACTGAAAGTTATATACATATATAAGGTATTGAAAAGACTTCAGCAATTGAATTTGAGAAGATAACGACTACATTTGTTAGAAATGGATATAACATCAACTAATTTAGCTTTCAGGAAGGTAGAAAGTACGAGATTCATTTAAAAAATGACATCAAGCACACGAAAGATGAGTAAATTAAACCCTTCTACATTTGCACCGACTTTCTATATAGTTATTTTAATGAAAAACAGCATTTACGGAATATGCTCAATGGTATTAGCATCGAGAAAAATTACTTAGTGAACAAGTAGTCAAAAAAATTCAGTCCCTAACATTAGTAGAATACGATAACGGTAAAAAAACAACTTTGATGAACATACTACTACAAACCAGTATTCCTGGTATATATATACATAGTATTGAAGTATAAAATATGATGAAAAATACTTACGAAAACCATTCGACTCCATTCGAGCTAGTAAAGATTGACAAGGTAGTTCAATTACGTTAAGTAATGAATTTTGAACTGTTGACAGACAATTATTTGAATGAATTGTCCATAAAGACAGTAGGAAACACTGAGCTGATGTTATATAAACATGATATGGTAGATTAGATAATAAATTTTGTTCACTTAGGTAACTTCTTGGTGGAGGACATTTGCCAGATGATTCTAACCTGGGTATTTTTGACCAATCTGAAAACTGGATTGGAGGCTCTGAAATTCGTTGAACAGGTTATACAAATTAAGAGAGAATCGATACCTTACAACTGGTTTATGTACTTCTGTCAATAATTCCATAAATTTAAATTTATTTTGTAAAAGATACAGTAATTTAATGATAATGATGTATCAGAATTTTTGGGTGCATAAGAGAAGACTGTTTGCATAACCAAGAGAAAACCTTATATGAACAAACACGGTATGTCGTGAAGTACGTTTACACATCGTTTCACAAATATTTTAAGTTGGTTTTTACATAAATCAAAGTTTTAACTCAGTCTAATAGTTTAGATGAACCAATCGTTTTTTGTTATGCTACAAATGTTAGTGACGAGTTAGATAATATTTTTAGGTAAAAAGTGGGAATGAAATATGAGTACAAATAATGATTTGTCACAAATTTTTTTGGGGGAACTAAAGGGAATAAATAAATTGGTTGCAACTATTTGTAGACATACGTAGCGTGCATAACATCTGCGAATACAACAAAGACCGTATACGTTTTTGTGTTAAACTTAATTACTATGCATTTTTTAGTAAGGCTAAAACAACCAATATACTTTATATTCTAATAATGAAAGCCAAGCATCAGATAGTAAATAGTTCAACACAGTATGAATAAACATGATTTTTTTTCATTTTTCAATTAAAAAACGATCATATGTTTCCGATACATTCAGGAAATATTCACGGCTTCATATTCTTGTAAGAAATTGTACTATTTTCACCATTACGTTTCACTTTCATAGCATAAGTTGGTAACTTTAACCTTTCATATTTATAATATAAGATAATTATTTATATTTCAACACTAATTACTTATATATATCCATGTTGTATCCAGCTGTTTAGAGAAATCAGTTAAATAAACTTGATTATATAAATAATCTGTAAATACGATGTTTGTTTTTTTATAATTACGACATTTTGTCTATGTAAAATAGTTGTTGAAAAAAAACACTTTCATTTGTCCTCATTTTACATAAAACTAAACTGTTTATCACTCTATTCTCATCTTTCAGTTAAAAAAAAGAAAATCTCTATTTTAGAATATTTCATTATTAAATTGTCTTTCATGACATTTCCATGAAAAATTGTTCTGTTTCAAAGAAATTTAGTTTAATAGATTGATCTGTCAAGAAAACACAAACCACACTTTAATCGATATCATTTGGAACTCTAATCAATTAACTAATCGGTTTCGAGTGTTGTTTAAGATATTTGTAATATGTGAATGAGTAGAAACATTCAATTTTCTGACATTTCGTGATTTAGTTTAAGTAAATAAAAATTAATTCAAATGGATAACACTGAGTCACGAACCGTCAGAAAATTTAATGTTTCTACTCATTCGGATATTACAAATTTATTAATTTTCACCAGATGTTAGTCGATGACTAGCACTAATATCAATATTACCCCACCTCACGAAAAAATAGAATTTCATATGACTTCTATTTATTCATGTGTATTCCATAATAAGGGATTTGCGGAGATTGTTGAATTTTATAGTTAATATCACGGAATGACCTTACTCAGATAACCGTTGAAAGCCTGGAAGCATTGAAGCAGTTACCCACCGATGATATTGGAAAATAATTGAGCAATATATTGCGAGTTAACATAAGTTAGAAATGCAGACCAGTGGATAATACCTTAGGGGTTCAAAGGTTAAGCGGTTGTCGCGGGATCTGAAGATCCTGGGATTGATCCTTGGCGAGGTCGTGGATACGTATTGCTGGGAAGAAACAGCTATCCGAATCTTCTTGGTTCTCAACGGTTATTTACCAAAGATAAATACGTGATGTTAAGCATAATATTCGAAAACAGACAGTTCGAACAAAACTAAGGTATGAAGGTAATTTTAAAAGTCAATACATGAAAATATACGGTATATTACATGAAAAAATAAACATTTATTTTCAAAAATAGGATGATGATGATTGATATATCCCAGTTTACATAACTAATGTATGAAAAAATTACTTGTCGATTAGCTATTTACAATGATTTATTTTATTCAATAATAATGAAAACATATTCCCATTTGGACAAAATTTTAAATTGACTAAAATGTACAAAAGATGCAGTAAACAAAACATGACTTAATCACAAATGTAAACGTCAACATATTCCACAACTGTAACCGGAAAATAGAACATCCAAACTGAAAACAAACGTGGAAAAAAGTTTAGCATAGATATGGAATCCAATGAAGTACAGTCGAAACATCTCGTGAATGATGAAATCGGACCAATTGGAGTTGAATAACATTCTCAGCGAAAAAATTAATTTTAAACAGATAACGTTTTATCAAATAAAGTTGTGTTATTCAAATGATAAATTGTTCACAAGTTATTTGAATTCAATGTATATCATTAGAGTGTTAATTTGAATCAGTCAATCATAAGCACTGTAAAAACTGACGTATATGTGCACTGAGTTCCGTTGCCACACTACATTAACTGTAAAGACAAATCCGAAATCAGTAGAAGTAGCAACAACACCAGTGGTAGTAGAAAACGTCTCCAAAATCTCTCAAACCACTGGATACTATAACCGCGCGGACTCCATCTAGATGGTTTGTTCTTACAAACATGCCTGGTTCAATATTCAGTGAATTCACCAACTGATTTTATATCTTGACTTGGGAAGCTCTAGATTTCTTTTAACCTACTCTTAAATCGGCTAACCTTTTGCGTCAAAGTAAGTGATGGTAGAGCGTATGTCCCAATCACTTCGGTGGATAAATTCTGAATATTTCAACTGAATTGCCATATTTAGTATTACCCAGTATCTAACTTAATTGTTATTTACTTTGAGATTACAACAAACACAAGCAATGATTTGAAGGGATCTAAGATTGAATTTTAATAACTTAAGAATATTCTCTGTTTTTAGGGAGCATGTTTTAAGGCAATAAAGTAGAACGGAATGAACTGCTTCACAGTACACTAGTCCTCTGTTTTCATATGGACATCTCGCCTACGACACAGGTGACGCATGTTAGTAAAAATCAAACGAGCTTTCTGAGTCGATTTGCCTAATGCATCATCAATTTTTTAATGATTTTAACTATTATGCGTAGAATTTTACTAAGTTGACGATTGTTTTTTTACGTACAATAATCATACACACTAGTTCTTATTGTTTATGATGAAAATAAGACGATAAGTGCTTCTAGTAGAACATTTTGCAAAACACTCACTAATCGCCAATAAAATAACTGGTTTAAGTCAGAAATTATCAGGGTACAGAACACAGAAATTTAATTTCTGAAATACGATTAGATAATCTTACTATCGTTGGATTTTATTGAGATCACGAACTGAATTTAGATGGACATTGGAAAGCCGAAAGCATTGAACGGCCGTTTCGTCCTAGCATGGGAATCTTTAAAAGTGCACGTCAACGAATTCATAGTCAGGAATCGAACTCAGGGACAACGTTCGTGGACACAAGCGTTCAACCCCTAGAGCATTGAACCGGACGAAATGCCCATTCGGCGATTCCTGGTCTTTAATAGTTATTTAAATTAGGTCGATATGTGATTGAAATACAATTTAACAATCTCCACAACATCATGCTGAAATCTTAATATCGATTTCGGTTTATTTTTAAGATTATATTTACTCATTTGATTCGATTTTCAAATGGCAAGTGTGTCTATTATATTGAAAAAATCCAAATAAATTACTGATCTTTATGTCTTAATTATCAAATCAATTTTTGTAAATAAATTTATTCAATAGTTCAAACACAGATAAACCACTGTAATATATACATAGGAAATAACAAAAAACTAATGCACTTTGGGTCAATGATGCATAAACCAGTTAATCATACTGTCTACATAAAATGGTAACACTACATCACTACATTATTTAAAATTTGATAAAACATTAGCAGTTAGTTTTATGAAGACGGTAAAAGTTCTGAAAACTTGTTAGAAAGGCACAATAAAGTAAGAATATCGATAATGTTTATAAGACAATGATTCTACTTATTTCAGAGTATATTAAACTACGTGCTTGTGAATTTAGGAAAAATTTTCAAAAATCAAATGTTATGGGTAGTTGACATCATAATATTCGTTCATCAACAGAACGAAACCATCACAGTATAGTAGGTCTATTCGATTTAGGGATTATCCACAATGTTATTGAATATTATCGTCCATCAGAATTGCAATTTACATAAATATTAAAACAATATTTTAGCAGCAATGTGATAAAAGGTTCACATATATATACACTGAAGATATGTTTTAAAAATCAACTACAAAGTAATTTAATAATGAAGATATTTTCTGATATTTCCTAATGAGTGGAAAAGTTGTATTTCCGACGTTTCGTGACTTAATGTAAGCCACTTCTTCGGAGTAAATAAATAAACAAACTAGGTTAATATTATATTTTGAGTAGCGATAACTGTTTAAGTATAGTGAAACTCAAATCATTTGTAGAGATTAAGTCTTCCCGCTGTCTATGTTAACGAGTGGAAATGTTTAATCACTTTTGATATATATGTATATATATATATATATCTTACTGGTAGCCTTTATGTAGCCATTAAGTCACAAGTATTTTAAGGAGAGTTAGGTAAAATGATACTTAGAAATAATAGCAAAAATAGCCTTATAACTGATGTACTTACCTAAATATTCAGATGATGCGACTTTAGTTAGTATACTATCAACAACATGTGGATTTAATTTTTGGGCCTCACTTAATAGAGAGCTTTGATCTTGATCGGGATTCGTTAGCCAATTCGTTAAATTCGGATTATAAATATGAAATTTCATTTGATTCGGTATTTTAAGTATATCGTACGCAATTCGATACCACCATTTAACATCCCATATGATGAGTCCAATATTGAATTGATGTATCCGAATAAATAGATTATATATATCAATTAAACATTCCTGTAATGGAACTCTGTTTACATCTTGAAAAAGTTGTTCGCATTTGTTTGATTGTTTAAACAACAATGTAAAAACGAAATAGTTAATAGAATAAAACAGAATAAAGACAGAAATGAATACTTTTCCAATAACATGATATATTGGTACAAATTCGAGATTGATGAATAATACAAATTCACTAACCATGGAAAATGATAGTCTGAAAACTCCATAAATCAATGGGTTTTTTTTACATACAGTTAAATCGAACAAAAATCTATCAGTTATTGTGAACTGGTTTTAGTATTAAACTAGGTTAGTTACGATCATAATTCAATTTTGAGAGTAAATTCGATAAAATATAACAAAGACTTCTAAAACTATTCAATATAATAAAGAGCGTAACATAAGGTATTTTTAAAGTGGAATTTCGACTATTATTATAAATAATAATCTATACACTGAACAATTACAGTGTTAGGAAATTTTCGAGAAATCGATTGGATTTCACGCTTATAGATAGTGCCGGTAGTGAACATAAAAACAGCTTTGTAGGTCTATCTAAATACATTAAAAGGCCTATCGTGGTGATAAGAAAAATTTATTTTCATATAATATTAGTGAAACCAAAATAACTTAAACCATGTTTCAAACTGCGAAGACAAATTCGTGAAACAAATTGTCGGAAACATTTTATTCCATGAAGGGTGGGTGTGTTTTAAGTCTCTATGCCCTAATTTCATAAGCATAAGTGATTTATATCTTTTAGACAAATACGTAAAATTCCCTAAAGCAGTGCTTACATTAATTAGAATTGTGGTGTTGATAATAACGAGATGAAATTCAGTAAGCTATGCCGAAACAATCAGAAATATGTGAGGATCTACAAAAAATACAGTGGTTCAATACATATAACGCTTTCAACTACGCATAAAATATATAAAGAGTATTGAAACGTAGATCTCGATGTATTTTAACAATTATTTTATAATATTCAACTCGACGGTATACAAGCTTTTGCATGTAATCTTAGAAAATCTATTAATGCAGTGCATAACTAAACCAGCAGAGGAATAGCTACGATGGAACATGCTTCTTCATAACATTTAGGCTATGTATTTTTTAAATATCACTATACAGTTATTGAAGAAATAATTAGCACACTATAGTTAACAATTAAACAATATTTGAGATGTGCATATCATCACAGATTGACACAAGCAAACAAGTCATCGAAAATGAAGGATCACTGAGTATTTCTTCTTTGATAATGAATGCTTGGTATTGTAAATCAACGATCCCACACATACATAAACACAAGATGAATAACGACTACATAAGAGTATCATAAACTGGTCAAAGTCAGATAATGTGGACTATCTTGTTCTGACTTACTGTAAACATTAAAGGTCTGAAGTTTGATGTAATGTGAGATTACAGGTGAGCACTGCAACAGAACTTCAAACTAGGACAAAACAATGTACCAGTACTTATTAGGTTTCAGTGATTTTACAGCGAATGTCAGTCCATAATAGTAAAGAAACTAAATTTAAATAGAAAAACCTTCATAAACCGCCTAGCATAATGAAAATTTCAGAAGAAAACCATGTAAAAAAGATTTATCACACCATGATGCACATATCCTACTTAATTCTTGATAATAACAAGACTGTAATAAAAGTAGTTGTGGAACACTAAAACAAATAAACTAACCACTTTCTGTAAGAAAATGGATCCAAAATACAGCATTTTTCATCAAAAGTACAGAAGAAATCGCTAATCCACTTAAGTACAAATCATATTTTGTGCACATATTTTTCCCACCACCAACAGTTGGCTGCCCAGCAGGTCCAGATTTCCAACATAGAGATTCACTAGACGATCTAAAATCATTATCATTATTACTATCAGAGTTTGTGTTTAAAAGCCAACCAGGTTGAATTGCTATATAATTTAACTGAGATTGATTAGAACTTTTCAATCCTTCAATATGATCATTCAATTCAGTAAGAAATGTTTTCCATAATGTGTAATTTTGTGTTACATTAATAACAGAGAATATATTATCTCTGTCATTATCATTATCAACACCATTTTCGAGTGAATCCGCAATAAGATTATCATCAGCCGAAGGTGGATCCGTATCTAAAGAGAAAATAATCATCATCAGAGTCTATTAATTATTGAACAAAGGAAGAAAATATGATTAACAGATTTCAAACACGTAGACCAACGCACAAAAAAGGAGTTTAGAGTAAATGAAGATGAGGTCACTTTTCATAGGGAAATTAATATTCAAATCTCAGTCAATAATTTTAAAAAAATGATACTGAGGTTGTGAAATCTTCAACATTGTCGTAGAACTAAACAGTTATACAGCAGATCACACCAATCAATACTCATAGAGAACTGCTGCTGAAAATATCATGGTGTTAGAAATTCTTCAGGGATACAAACATAATACTACTATTCCCAAAATTTCGCCATACATGGCACAAAGTCGATGATTACTCATTTACAATAGCAGAAATGTTCTGTCTGTCTCATCAACACAACGAGATGAACACCAAATTCATAGAAGTAGTTACTTCTATAGTAGTAATATATAAACACTTCATATAAGGATATGATACAGGGAGAAAGGATTAGTTCGTAGAAATAAAGGTATAAAGTAATTTTAATCTCGCCGTTTAAGGGAAGACAGAGAATGTTCATCGTGATCGATTCTGAGCCATGCCACACATAGTTTTAGGAACCCGAGAACTTGACCGCAGTTCTCAAGGGACAACTGCTTGAGCTCGGTCATACACGACCTTTTTATGAGGTTAAGAGGCGCTAAATCGAACCAGGTCATTTGAATACAGTGTTACTAACATTCGATCTGATATATCGTGAGCTGCATGCTTTCTGGTTAAGGTTTGTGCGACAAGTACTTTATCATAGATAGCGACCAAGAGTAGAATAGTTAAGAACCTGTTGTAGATATATTCAGTATTCATTTTTACTTGTCTTCAAGTTCTAAACGTTGGTTTTACATCTTTTTTGTGATTTCAGGTGTTCCTTGTGAGTTATATTATACTTAATCACTTTTTCAATATAAGTAACTGCATTATTTTTGATCCATTGATATTACCTTTATTAGTTGCTTTTTGCTCTGCTAAGATGAATTGTTATAAACAGGATCGAAAGAAATTTGTGCTAGTTCCAAGTCCACTGCTAATCGATCAACTAACTATTTCTATTCAGTACGAACTTATCAATTAAGCGTTAAAGTACAAGTTAGAGCCGCAACTTTCATTTAAGCATCCCACTTTATATTACTACCTCTCAAACAAGGATTATAACTCGGAGTTCAATACATATAGCTACTCCAAATAATGAAATTATGTGAATCAGAAAATAAATGTTTTATTATATGGAAATACAATAAGCAACTGATCTAAAATAAACCGACCTGTTTTACATTCTGCAGTCTTACTTGAGTACATATGCTGATAGTCTGACGATTCTCTAAAGAATCAATAGGACATAAATAAAATACATATTATTTGAAGAAGAACAGAGTCATGAATGACTGAAAATGAGAACTATTAATCTTATAGAAACAAGTTATATTTGAAAAAAGTATATCTGTAATAAATAAATGGCGATAATTTATGTTAAATTAACATTCACCTTTTTGTCCGATGTTAGATCTTGGGTTTTAAAATTATCTTATATTTTTATCTTCCAAAAATTCATTTTTTTTCTTCCTGAATCATATCGTCTATGCCTACTGCTTTTTAGTACAACTGATAATATTGCTATTTCTATTACTCTAGGTGTTTGTCACAATATTTTTATTTTGCACGGTTGATGTAGTGTAGGAATTTAAACGGATGCACACGAATGCCAGATTCTAGTTTGCTTATAAGTGACTGATGAAATGACTACGTGATTTACTTACAGGAAATAAGTGTTACCTTACAATAATAAAAATATGACGTAATAACTTCAATATTCGACTATTACAATTTGATTTCAATAATTATTTATTTTGCTCAGAAGAGTATACTAGTGCTTAGAACTGTCGAGCGATAAGAGTTGATGAGGTCTTAGTACACGAATTGATTGACTTGAAGAAACAATCGTTATAAGGATTAAGAATTGAATGAAACTAAATAAATAAGAAACATACTGTTTCAATTGTACTTCGTTAGTTGGTGAATCGTGTGTAAAAGAAGCACTGAACAAATCTCCAATACTTTTTCTTTCCATGTTCAAAAACGATTCATTTGGATTGATAGATGCTTTGGATAGATTTGATTGAGATTGTTGATGGGAGATGGATAATTCTTGCTTTTTACCAATGTCAGTATCGAAATTAATCTGAGACTTGGGAAACAATTTAAAAGAAATAGCTTGAATTTTCGGAAAATTCCATAAGAACAAGAAATGTACTTATGATAAAAAAGATTTGTATGAATAAGCTGATAAGAACTTGGGCATCAAGTATTTAGAAAATGTCGAAGAAAAGGAACTTTTGTAGAAAATTCCAGAAATTGAAATTAAGTGGAGTTATTGATGCGTAATTAATTTTAATAAAAAAGAGCTTATATGAATTCTTTTGAAACGTTGTTTAACAAATATTTAGAATATCAGATTGTCTACTGATAACTATTTCAGTAGAAATGTGACTTAATATAAAATATCCATTACAAATTCATTGTGTTAAAGGTAACTTGGTTTAATTCATGGTACACGAAATAAATGTTCGACGTATTTAAGAAAACAACCTGACTATAAAACGAAGAATGGAAGGTAGAAAATACTCACATTAACTAACTTGACGACTTTGTTAAAAAGTATCTGTTGAATCAATACACCAATGCAAAATGAACATCAGAAACCATGAAACTGCTAGTGTCACTATATGTGGAAAACAATTTAGAAATCACCAAGAAGATTTAAAACCCTTTGAGGTCAAATCCCTCATAGATCAATGGAAGATCCAATGTATTCTTTACGGGTCAAAAACACAATAGTGGAAGGTAATTGGAAAATAATCTAAAGTGCGATAAATATTGCATCAGACAAAGTGGACGCCATCTTCACCTTTGGTACACATACACAAACTATAAGTAAAACGACATACTTTGTCACTGATATTAGTGTATTTAAACAATTATGGACACATAGTCATCCATAAAAAGGTCAAAATTCTGGGTCGAGAAAATTCTAAGAATATCAGAGATTTTTTAGAAGGACAACATTCCGAGTAATCACTGTTTAGTAGACATCGATTTAGATTTCATCTGGTAAACCATTCAAAAAACGTCAATCAAATCGGGTTCGGACGTCGTTGGGGAAAGAAAGTCAGCTTGAATACAAGGACAAACAAAAATACAGAAACCTACGAGGACATTTCATCACAAACAAGACTACTCGAACGAGCTGATTTAAAGCTCGAGGAATAACTGAGCAGCTAAATTCTACGTAAGGTAACAGCAAATGATCTTGTTCCGAACGACAATGGGAGCTTCAAAACTAAACCATTCATCTGAGAAAACTCAGTAACACCAAAATACATAAAATATTGTGGAAAAATCAAAAATAATCATTGTGCCATTATAAAAATAATCGGGAACGAGACCTAAATATCATGAGCAATACATAATACACCTTCAGAACAAATAAAAAATAAATATAACGAAGAAATATTTTGCCAGATGCGAATTTTCTTTTAATTAAAATTTGTGTAGAAAGTAACTTTTAAAATGAGCAGGATTAAAAGTAACAGGAAGTATCTGAAATAGATTTAGACATAAGGATATATATAGAATAAGTCAGGTTGTTGGGCATAGCAGGAAAGCATGAACCTAGGTTTAGTGTTGGCTGGGACTTGTCTAGAAAGTGCAACTGGGATCCTAAAGAAACTGACACTGTGGGATTCGAACCCATACCACACAGCTTCGCAGTCTTAGATGTTAATTAACATCTCAACAAAGTGTAGTTGATGCTGTCACTCAAATTAGTGATAACATTGCAATCTCGCCAGTAGAATCCCATGAAAACTAAAGGACTAGATAAATATCACATTGGTTACTACTCAGTGATCAATCAATTTAACATACAGATTATTTCCTTGATGGATTAACGCCGAAGTAAGAAAAATTCAGAAAATAAATAAACACAGAACTCCAACCGATCCGCGATATCGGGCGACCGTTCACCATTGTCTTCAGTGGGTAGCTGTCTCACGGTCGAATTCCACAGGTCACTTTTCACTAGAACTCCAGGAGGTTAATCATTAGCGTGTGAGACTGAAGGCTCTAGGTTCGAATCCCACAAGCTTGATCGTGGATGCACACAACTGAGGAGTCCCATACTAGGATGAAACGGCCATCCAGTACTTCCAGAGTGGTCTAGCTTAAATTGACTCATGAATCCAACTATTAAATTACTACAATTTCTACAAAACCTCATTCTGACAAATACAGAACTGCTTAATTACTTGTTGTATTGTAAAAATATTGTTGTTGAGAAGTAAAAAAATATTAAGCAACCCAAAGTAGTAATATATATGTTTCATCATAATGAAAGAGATAGTTTCAAGTTATTAAGATTTTAAATTGAGACCTTATTAAATGAGAAAGTAACTCATAATTTAAAACCCGTGCGAAATGAGTATTACCTTCAGTCATCAGAACTTGTTATGCTTTGCTATTGTCCAAGTTCTACCACATTTTTTATACCTCATCTAATTATATATATATATATATATATATATATATATATATATATATATATATATATATAGATGGTCCAAAAAATGACTAGAACAGGGTGTGAGAAAGTTTTAATTAACTTGCGCTATCTACTGTCACGGTAAAGACACAATAACTTTATAACGCATCATATTAAAGTGAACAAAAGCATAAATTGTAGTAGTCAGTATTCAAACGACTTTGACTGAACTGGCAATTCTATATTTGCCCAATATAAAAGATGTTATCTATTAGCTTGAACTTCAATAATCATTTAGTGATCTAAAATATGCTATTTGCAGAAAACCTTGAAAAAAGTCAAGTAACTCTGTTAGAAAGAACGTCAACTGCATTTCATCAATCCAGTTCAACTGTATTTAAAATCGGACTTAAAATATTGTTCATAAAATTTTGGAGATTGATAATCACCTATACAATATTTGAAAAAACAGAATCGACTAGAATGTGGTCCTGATTTACCTAATATGTAAGTAACATTAATCTGCACTATATGTAACACTTCAGGAGTGCGTGATGTAAACTGTAATCAGAATAGATTCAAAAATTACAGCCAGTTCGTTTCATTAAATTCAAAAAATTAATGCATTCATCAGGTACTTGGGTAAAACTTTACTGAGTTTGAAGGCTTATGATACTACCTAGTTGTTCACAGCGCAGCGGATGAAGTCGGTTCTAATTTGGGAACTAGTGACTGAGAGTCAAACAACTCAACTGCTAAGCAATGGCTTCATAGAAATTAAAATGGTCTCCAATATGGTTTATATATCAAATGCGGTTGGCCATTCATAATCAACGTGGTACCTGATACAAACATACCCCGCTCTCATTTTCCACAACACATTATCATGACGATTTGAAGCTAAAGGATAAATAGTAAATCAGTTGAATTAATGAGTAGCAATGATGATGAGGAAGATCAAGCAGTGAGAAAATAGTTCGAAAAGACAAAAGTGAAGGACACGTATTACGCAGTAACATAGACGAAGGTCTACGGGGTCGACAAAGAGTGAATATATCTGGGCTGTCGTCCTCAAACACTGATCTTGAATAATGCGCAGACCCCGATAACGCAGTCTATACTTACCTAACATGGCTCGGACCAGCAGTGAATGACTTTACGGAGATAACACGTTTTGGTTGACCTGCTTTTAGCTATCATTTGATTAATTTATAGACCAACTAACACCGCCCACTGAGGTAGGGATACGTACTACATATCCCGACAACATTAACCGATGGAAATTCCCTGTATCATCAATTGATTTGCCATCTTTGCATTAGATCTTACCTCTAACTTTAGTATTACTCACTCAATCGTTTGACGATACGACACTTCGAAAACACGTATGATCAAAAACCTAGAGCCAACGCTTTTTCTACCGTGTTTCACAACCATACAGTAATACGGAGTGAACTGCTAGACAATATACTCGTCCTTTTGCTGCCAAATGTACATCCCCATTACTGTCTGAAAGTGAAGTTTGCAAAGGCTAGACGAGCTTTCTTGTGTAGTTCGTAGGAAGCCTAAATTTTGATGGTTCTAGGAACTCTTTATAAAAGCTTTGTTTACAAGTATGCAATAGGAACTTATTGATTCTACCAATCTTGCTATCCACATGAATACAACCAATAAAATGATTACTATTTAATTACAGAGATTATGTGTAAGTACCACTAACTTTTTTTCTTTCGTCACCACAATCTATTTTGAAAAAAAAAAGAACCTAAAGGCAAATCACAAATATGTAGGAATCCATAAATATTCAAGCTTAGTTTTAATATAATAATTAAGAACGTTATGTTTTTCAAAAAGTGTTACTTTTATTTAGATCTACATTTATTTATCGCAGACTGTCGAGAAACAGACGCACTTTAAAATTTCCCTAAAAAACAATTCATATCAAATATTACTTTTAAAAGTCATTTAAATTACAGACACGAAGAGGTCCTCAGAATGACGTAAAATCTGATAATAATTTAGACGATCCTAGAGAAATAAGGAGACGTGAAATGATACATTTGTGTTAGACTTTACGTTATCAACAACTGTACTATTTGTTGACTGCCATTTATCTTTCGTAAAAATTTATTATCTGGACTTATTTGTCCAAATGTGTGGAAGAACGAGAATCATGAAGGAATCTAAACACAAACTTTTAAATTAGCTGAAAAAACATTAACAACGATATACTACTTGATGTAAGTGGATAGTATATTCAGTAACAAATATGATATCGATATTTCATTCACCGACTGACCATTCCGTAATAAACTCAAGTTTTAGAGCAAAACTCATATAGTAGAACATGCAGTGTACGACAAATTATCAGAGTATTCAAATTTCTCTTATCACTCAACACAGTTCTATCAATAACAGCGCAATAAAAAATCTGTGTTGAATCATAATATCAATATTCGTTTCACTTGGACTCAACATATGGATGATTGATAATTAGTTTTTCTACCAGTTGGCCCTATGGAAACTTCAATCAAACAAATTTGATGAAATAGTTAGCAAAATGTAAAAACAATATAATAATAATAATAACGGGTCAAAATACATTCGCTTTGTGATTTCTTATAAATAAAATATTGAATTCCGAAAGAGAAGAAACTATTTTAACAAAAATCAGTAGTGTATTTACCATCATTAAATTGTTTAAAGTTTGTGAATCGTCATATTGTTCTTTTAATGTTTCAGTTGTCATTATATCACAAATGGGACCATTAATATTATCATTATTATTGATAATGGTGGTGATCGATGTATTATTAGATACTGCAAATGAACTTTCAAACATTGAATATGTAAGTGTATCATTGAATTCACAGGTCTTATTACTAACAGATAATGATGACGGCGTTGTGGTAGTTGAAAATGGTATGCTTGAAGATTCACATGAAATGGGTGAATGCAATAGATTTGATTTGACATCGAATCTGGAAGTAGATGTCTCTGACGATGAAGGTAGTTTATTAGTCAACACGACTTGATCATCATCTATGATAGCAGCTAGTTGACTAGTTAATATAAATGGCTGGCTAGATTGTGTAAAATTTTCAAAATCTATTACAGTTTTATCATGGCAATTTACGGAACTATCAAAATTTGAAACAGGAATATGTGAATTGGACGTAATACTAATACTATTTTCATAATCAGTTTTATTGTTGTCACTAGAATAATTTTCCTTGTTTACTGAACAAAATTCATGATCGACATTAGGATTTTTGTGGTCATCGCTGTTAATGAGAGGCAAAGTTCTTGCTGCTGACATGGATGATGTTTGGATTGTTGTGTCATTATCTAAGGATAATTTCAATCGTTTAACTTCAACTTCTTCTACTTTTACGTTAAGATGTTCCTGATTTTTTTCTCTGTCCATAAAATATTTACAACCTCTGGTTAGATTCAGATCATGTAATGAATTATAACTGAGATTTGGTGTCATTAATTGATTATTTTGACTGTCTACTATATCATTTTTATTCATATTATCACAATCATTGACATTTTCAATAATAGACTTTACAGGTTTCATGGAACTTTCTGACTCATGATTCTTTGGTATAATAATTAAGTCTTTGCCATATACAGAAGTCAAGTCTATCTCCAATAAGAGTTTAGCTTGTTGAACTATTAAAGGGCCAGCTTCGTGTTCATTAATTACACGGCCATCATCTAGAAGGATTGTACAACCACCAGAGGGTTTTACAACACACACTTCATGATTATTTTTGCTGAAATTTCCAAAAAAAAGAGAACGTGTATATATATTTGAAAAAAATGCATTAATTACTACTTCAACATACATTATTATAAAATGATATACGAGTTGGAGAATTCATCGTGAGAAAACAGCACTGTTAACTAAAACTCTAGGGTTTATAATATGTTAATTAATGTCAGGCCTTTGGATAGGTGTTGCTAACATAATCGTTCTATAACTTATTTAATATGGTTTTATGCAACACAGTAACATATATGATGGATCTCACAGAAATGTGTACTTATGTTTTTGTACTTATTATTAACCAAGAGTGACTAAAAACTTTGGTGAGGCCAAAATAAATACAAAACCAAAATAATTAAAGCATTCATTATAAAACCTCTATATAAATGTAAAATAAACAATATACCGTTCAAAAGGAATTGCACGTTGTATAATTCTTGAAATCTCTTGAGGCCGTGCAGAAGCTAATGAAGAAACAGAGCTGTAACCACCTGCATATAGTGCACGAGCACGTTCGGCGTTAACCAAAGGTAATAGACGTATTAAGTCGACAAGTTCATCTGAGACACCATAGCACAGACGTGATTGAAAATTAGCTATTACTCGTTCCATATGGTTCCAGCCAAGACGATTACAAAATATAGTAACCATACCTAAGAAGAAATTATTGGGGGGAAATAATCATTTTAAGTATTTAAAATTTTTCCTTTTTCTTCGAAGTATATAAAAAGTTACATGAGTAAGGTATAAAGGGATTTAAGATGTGCAGTTATCATGACTTGTTAGAAAAATTTGTTTACAAAAATTGGTTACATAACATTACCGAGACCACTGTACTGTATGATGTAAAACAAGGATTATTCATATTCAAACTAACGTAAAAGTATTAAAACCGAATTACTTTCAACAGTTATCAGAATGATGAATTTATTAAAATGAGGGTTAAAGCATAACCTCTAAATTCTGTCTTTCTAATCGTAACTACTGTACTACTGTTATAAGAATATAGGATGCTAATTCAAGGCGGCCTAAATGAATATCTGGGTAACCTGTTCCTGCCATTTAGATATTTCAACAAATTAACTGTATCCTTGTTTGTTTTAACAGATCATTATGTCAATTAATTGCATAGCCTATTCAGGTGCGTTTGTGAAAGGCTTACGATCTTTCGTTGTACAAGTTACAAAGATATACAATCGGAGATAACGTGATGACTGGCAATACGTATTGAAAAGAATGAAAATTATTCATATGTCGACTTCTAAAATGCTAATAGCTAATTGGCGATGACTCAATATTTATGGCCAATATCGATGAAAAATAATAAAAGGAAACTCGCTGAAATACTTTGTGTTGAGAATTATATATTGTATCAAAATAGAGCTATAAATAATAATAATAATAATAATAATAATAATAATAATAATAATAATAATAATAATAATAATGATAATGGACAGCATATAAATTTATGGAGCCCCATTGTCAGAAATCAGCAACTTTAATCCAAGATTTCTAAGCAGAAATTCTTTTTTCACAAGTTGTGTTCATTGTAAACCGACGGTGATAGTAATACAGGTAACAACCTAAGGACTAAACCCACCCGCATAAGTAGCAGATTGTTGTTGCAAACTCTGGAGAAGACCACGATTAACCCCGAATTTCTTCGCAACAATTTGCAAGCCATCTTCGTTGACTAGACGATACAGTACTAATGCTGTGTAGAAGCGTCTATGTAGGTTTAAACGTCGATTGACCACATTAGTGTTACCGTGGCAACTAGCAGCAGATGAAGGTGCTCCAGCTGCACACCTAGTGATAAAACGTTCTTCAATACCAATCAGATCAGCGACTCGACGCTCTGAAGAAGATAAACTTTGGTATTGTTCTAAATAGCATAACCAATCTAGATCAGCACCGACGTCTAAGTAGACAGGAGTTAACTAAAAAAAAAGGGAAATAGAAATTCTTTGTGATCCAATAGGCTATTAACGAGAAATTGAGGAAAAATACTACAAAGAACAACGAAGATAATAATGTACAAAACGAAACCATAATTATGTATTAGTAGGCAGGACTATATTCATGACATGGGATGAAGAACAAGAATGGTATATCCAAGTATCATATATAGTTATATCATCAGAAAAAATTAACTAATTGTTGGGTCGGCTTTCGGAGAACTTCAACGGAGCCTCCAGAGGCCCAAAAGGAGCCGAAGAGTCCTAGCCAATCAGAGTGTGATGGAACGTTCCAGAATTCCAACGTGGCGTGCTACTATTGGTCGGTAGCATAATGTGTTGTTATCGGATTGGCTGTAAATTGATGTTGATTTAACAGACGCCAAAATCTATAAATACCCATGATTTTCTGTACAAAAATGAACCTTGGAATAAAGTGCTTTCTCTCATTCTTGTGTCTTCTCTCTGGAGTTCAAGTCGCTGTGTAGTTCTAGACTGCGGGTTTCGGAATAGCTTAGGAATCGTATATAGCGTTCAACCTACACGACTTATCACTAATTAATTGCGTTTTTCGTAAGAACTCGAGTTTTGTTCACGTTCTTACTTAGTAAATGCAAAAATATCATGAGTATAAGTAATGTATAGCAGAATTTTGAAAACTCCAAACGCTGATACAGTCAACAAACGTAACACAAATAAACACTGCTTTAAAGATACTAAACTTATAGGAATTGTATGGAGTGACGGAAAAGTATAGAGATTAAATTTAAATTAGAAATTAGTGATATGTAAACTATTGCGTCCAATCGCCAATATTGGTCACATTGGCATTATGAAATCAAACAGAGAGATAAACTAGAAACACGGTGGTTTACATCACGGAGTAACCTTAGCCAACCATTCCGAGCTAGGTTTCACTGAACAGTTAATTTTTTCTATGGACTGAATAGCAGTGCCTATCCATGACCCTACTTGAGACAGAATCTAGAACCTCCAGCCGTCGTGAAGAGCGAATGAAACAACAGAAACTCACTGAGAATTTCGGACATTTAAATCACTAACTAGTGAAAACAAGAAGCCTGGTTTGTCTTTTAGTTTGTTAACGAAAACTAATTTTCTTCAAGGGCTGATACATGTACGAAATAATAATAAAGATATTATAGTAGTTAGAATAGATACATTTCAAACTGTCAAAAACTTACTAAGTAAACAAGATGTAATTCAGTATCAAGTGCAATTGATCGACGTGCACGATCCAATTCTTCATAAACAATTAATCCATGAACTGGACCTAAAGAAGAAGACAGTACTGCTCTCCCCAGAGCTGTTGGTTGAAGACGAGCACCATTTAGCGAAAGCTCTAATGATTGAGAATCAGTAAACGACGTATTTATAACATTTTTAGACAAATTTAGGCAAGTAGACTGATCAATATAGATAAATTCATGATTTTGTAAGTCTTTAATACATGTGAACAATAAGCGTTTCATCTGAACTGTGAATCGATTATTATTATTGTTTTCATTATCATCATCAACATTAATTTCATTTTCAGAATAAGTTTTAGGTTGAGACAAACGAAGAGAACGTCGTCGATTTTTTTTAGTGGAAGGTGATTGAGAATTATTAAATTCGTTTAATTTTTCCCAGGTAACAGTTGTTGCCAATAATGTACTAGACAAGTACAGTAAAGCATCAGCTAATGTTTCTACAAATCCATTTACGATGACCTAGAAATTATACAATAATAATATAAATAACAACAGCTAAAAAAAGTGTAAAGTTCGAGAGATTTTCCGGGTAATTGTGTAGTTTTGGATCCACTTTTCAGCCAATGAGCAGAGTCTGTATCAATCTAAAGTACTTCATAGCAGAAGTAATGAAACCTGCTAAAGTTTGGTGGCTTACAAAAGTCGATATTTCAAGGTTTATTATCAGATTTTTAGCAGAAATAACTAACAAGCGTTTATATAATAAAATGGTTTCAGAAATAAAGAATACAATTAACTTAAATGGAAAAACTAAGATCAAAACAATTAGGACTGGTGAAGAGCAAAACACCTTACACTGACGAGTTGAAATCTAATGGTCCATATAGTTCTAACTTTTTTTATTTCATAATGTAGCAGCATGATCATCATCCAGTGTTATCCATAGGTTCTGTTACAGAGCATTTCACGAATTACCTGACTATTGGATGCATTTTAGTAGTTAGAATTTGGTTCTGAACTAATTGAATTCATATTGGCTCAACAGGATGTTTAAAAAAATCAAACTCAATAACCAAGCTAAGATTAAAATCACTTGCAAAACTCTAAATCAGTAGCGGAGAGTTGAAGAAGGCATTATTTTCCAATTTTTAACATGTCTGATTGATATATTGGTCTAAGATTTAAATTTCTGTACTCAAATGAGGTTAAACTGAAACACAAAAGAGGAAGTTTTTATAGCTTATACGACCATAGTAGCGAATAATTTCGGAAAGATTTCTGATTGATTATTGAACAGTATAAATGGTATTCATTAGCCTTGTAGATATATGTATGAAAATATTAAACTGAAATTTGTGTACCTAACCAGTTTCTTAAGTTTCATGTAAAATGTACTAATAACAAATGAAATCAATGGGTGTTTTACGTGAATAGATAAGTTTGTTTTTATTGTTTTTTCTCTAATCAGACGCAAATAAACTGTAAATTTAACGATAACAAAAACAATAATCAATATATATATATATATATATATATATATATATATATATATATATATATATATATGTACAAACCTCGAGCAGAGCACGTTTTAGACTAGATTCAGGGCTACCTCCGTCACCCATCAAACATGAATTCACAGGTGGCATACCGTTCATTATCAGTTGACGAACACGTCCCAGATCTTTTGATTTACATAATAGAATACTTTGACCTAAGTTAAACACGTGAATAAATTTAAAGACACATGAAATAAAATGAATACATTGGAGGAGATAGTCGTTCGGAAGTCACAACTCTCAAGAATGTTTTGAGAGAGGCGATTTATTAGTTTAAGCACCTGAATCTCATTAAGTCAAAATCCCGCTCCAAATATTTTAACTTGTTATCATAGACTTTTCAGATATTATTGAACTTTGTTTTACATCACGGATTGATTTTGGCCAAACAAATATTGGCAACCAGGAAGCACTAGACGACTAGTGTGGGGATCTTTAGCAGTGCCCATCCATGGGGTTCACACTAATAAGGGCGACTATCGAAAGGACACCCATTAGTAAAGGTGATTAGTGAAAGACGGAATGATATTTTTAACGGTATAAAATGTGTTCGTTTTAACCTCACTTCCTTTGCTTTATGACTAATCAAAAACGCGTTATCCCACACACACTTTCAACAAATACTCTAATTTCTCGAAGGACAATTGAAGTATTAAAAATCATATAGGTGATAGGCGTATTTTAAAGTAGATGAAATACAACTCAATAACTAAGTCAATATTCATGAGATGTTTTTGGTGAGAGCTAGCGACATTGTCCGGTGTCTGAAACAAAAGCGTTAGAGGATCAAAGTCCAAAACCAGGATTCAATAATTTAAATGACTTACAAACGCGTTCAATCACGTTACATATATACTTAGTCAACATTTATGATGCATGTAGCAGTTAAAACACAAGACTACAGAATATTACACAGGTTTCGAAAAATAATAACCACTGCCACAAAAACTCTAGTCAGAAATTCAGATATCATACTTGGAGGATTTTTGTGCATGGGCAGACTAATATAATGGTCTAATCCGCTGGGGAGTTGTCCTGTTTCCTGATATCAGTTTAAATGGGTGATAACGCCAATAATTCCGTAACATAACCAACAATCACTCAATTGTACTTTGTATCATTGTATATTAGCTATTAGTCAGCATTCGATTCATTTATTTTACCAATTCAAAAATCACGTGCTTGTCAAATCTCAGCCCACAACAACATTAATGGACACTGTGAATGGTAATAATTGTAAAACAGAAGTTAAGAAGATTGGTACACCAGGATTTAAATGCACAATATGAGTAGCAATATATTAATAAGATCATATGAAAACATACCACTAGTATCTACACCTTGACGACCTGCTCGACCAGACATTTGTTTATAAGTGAGAAAATCTAAAACTTTTCCATGAAATAATGGTGTTCGAATGATAACACGACGAGCAGGTAGATTCACTCCAGAGCTTAATGTAGATGTAGCAATTAAAATACGAATAAGACCTTTACGGAATCCAAATTCAATAATCTCACGTTCTTCGACTGTAAGACCTATGTATATAAAAAATTAATGAATAACTTCTAAAACCAAACAATCAATATTAGAATTAATCTGAATATACAAAATCCAGATAATTGATTTATACAGATTTGTTCAGTTTTGAATTTTGTTTTCACCATAGACTGATAAAACTTACCAAACGAATGAAAACCTAGTAACGTGCATTCATAAACTTACGAGATACCAACCCCAGTGTACTTCCACAATTCATGGATAAGATTTAAGCTTATTTATCTGATTATAACATGTTTTCTGCAAAACTCAATATCTCCGTCAGTCCTTTTTTTGATTTTTGAATGAAAGTTGTTGAGGACCTTCGAACTAAGGTGCAACCGCTGTAAAATGCCTTGTAAAGGTTTTCTAGATGATGTACAACTGAGAATGTCGGACTACCTGCCTACTGAGGTAGATATGAAATTGTCATAAAAATAAAACCTTAAGTTTTATACGTGGCTAGACATAAATTAAAGTAGTTCCACAGATGATTTTTAGAGGTGTGTGAGGAAGTACTTGTACAGTACTTGTGACAGATTTCAAACCTGTAACTCAATAACTAAGACAATCCGAATGGTTTATCCAGTTCAGCCATAAATTTATGATTTATAACTTCACAAACAGAAACTAATGATTTCCATATGCCTATATTCTTCAAGTCATGAATGATAAAATAAAGATGAATTCTTTGATTAGGATTTTTAAAACCATTGTCCTATTTTATAAATTTTGATAGCGTAGTGAAAAGACGATTTGATCTGAGAGTTAAAAATCTAAGCTTTCTTTGAATTTATAGAAACGGTTTATTGTAAACTTGAATTTTTCGTGCAAATATTAAATTCGCTTTTATGCCTAAAACAGTGTAATAACTCCAATTCTTTTCGTACATCATTGCCAATGATCAATTTGTATTTATTTGACCATTTATTTAATTAAAGGTCATGAATTTTCATATATAAATGCCTTGACGAGTATAAGTAACTACACAATTTGATGACGTGAACATATGACAGATTTTTCAAACCACATCTCCCATCTAATTACACTATCGATATAATGAGGAATAATTAAGTGAATGATAAAATAAAACAATCTTCAGTCAACATTAAGGAGTGTTAAACAAATACTTATTTTCAGTTTGAACAATTTACAATAAATGAGAAAATCTATGATAATAGTAAATGGAGGTTAAATTATGTAAAAATCAGGTTGAATCGAATAATTATCTTAATGACAAAAAAGTTTACGGAAAAAAAAGTATTTCATTGTTTTGAATCATAAATGTAAGTTGAATTAATGTAGAGCCATGCTTAGAAAAACCGATTGAAAAGAAATTTCTCCGCTTTATTTGTTCTTTTTTAAAAATTGAATGTAAAAATGAAGATTTTCGCTATATTAAAAGAAAAATAGATTCAATCATTTTACTGCTTGCTAAACAATTTACATAAACTTTAGGAATGACCAATTGTATATCTATCGAAATGAGCTATGCCATAGAGTATTCACACAATCAGTCAGTCAGTAACAACCTAGAACTTCGTACGTACGTACATCAGTTCGAGTGGCCATACAACATTAGCACAGAGATGCAGTTGTCGATTCAAATCCCGTAGTGGTAGATGTAGTAAGAGTATAAGCAGTAATCGGGAAGATTGGGGTCTGGAGATGTTATTTAAAGAGTATAATCCAGTGAAATAAATTTGGAAAGAGGAAAAAAAGACATGAAGCATTCAGAAGATTAGAATTTGGAAGAACACAATGAGTGTATGCACCTGCGCCATTGCAAACGATTTTGAGCCATGTCATTCAGGGTATCTAACCATCAGTTGCTATCATCTCGCGGTCGCCAACCACGTAGTCTACACCTACCAACATGACTCAGTCCACTTGTCAGTAACTTCATGGACTTGTGCCATGTTTTGGTTTGGCCGCTCCAAGCTTTCTTCCAACCTACTCCTATACCACTGAACATCGCACGTTGAGGTAGTCGGTCGTTGGGCATACGTAACACGTGTCCCAGCCATCTCAACTGATGAAGTTTCACCACTTCATCAATTGATTCGCCATCCTTACCTAGTACCCGTTTCCTAACAACTGTGTTCCTTACTCGATGTCCCATGATATACGAGCAATGTTTCGAAGACACCTATGATCGAATACTAGTAACCTACGAATATCCTCTATTCTTACCGGCCGTGTTTCACTGCCATAAAGTAGGACGGAACGAACTGCTACGCAGTAAACACGTCCTTTGGTTGATAGACGGATATCTCACCTACGCCATAAATGACACAAGTTGGCAAAAGCTAGTCGAGCCTTATGTATCCGTGCTGAGATTTCGTCACACACCAGACCACAAGGGTTGATGAGACTTCCAAGATAAGTGAAGCGATCGACGCGCTCAACTACTTCGCTCCCTATCATTAGTTCGGGTGTCGATGCAACCCAATCCTGAAGCAACATTTTGCATTTCGAGGGGGAGAATCGCATGCCGAACATGCCTACATTGTTGATTCACACATCGTGGTTGAACACATGAGAACACGAACACATTCACACATCGTGTTCTCATGTGTTCAACCATTTTTCACTACGACAGAAGGAAAATTATGAACATTTTACCAAAAAAACCCAATTTATACAAGTTTTGTTACCATAAAATCTACATTACTTGCAAATGTATAAGTAAGTATTGAACATTTCCTACAAACGTTGATGATCACACATTAAAATTTGTTACAAATTTTTACTAACCTGCATGATGAAAAGCCACACCATAACCTAAACATCTGGCTAAAATTGTATCAAGACCAGCTGGACATCGTTTTAATTGCTCTACACAAGTGACAAGACCAACCCGATCCAACAGTAAAGCTAAACGCGTTCCAATATTGGATTGTACTGAATGATCATCTGAATTTTTGTAAGTCAAATTTCCGATATTCGCATCAGATGGATTATGGTCGTTTTGATGTGAAGCTGAGAAGTATGATTGTGTGAGAATGAAAATCTACAGCACAAAATATATGTATGGGAAAAGTGTTCACTGTAAATAAGGAGCAGTATCAATTAAATTGACGATATCGAAGATTATACACTTTCTGAAATAAACTACCAGTTGCTGAAAAAAGATTTCGAATTTTAATACTTTAAAGTTTACATCTAGTAAATATTATGGTTTAAAATCAATCACAATGGCACAATTACTTCTTTATCTTCTAAATTCTCAATGTAGTATTAAAGCACACTCCCCACTTCATGATATCATTTGGTAGTTGCGATAAAACTTTATGTTTACGTTTCGAATATTGTTTATTTACACTCCTTTGTATTTATTTTTACCTCGTTCTGTTAAAAGACTTGGAGACTGGGATTACTACACATCAGTTCTAGGACCTTTGGAATAACTATAAATCATTGGTTAATGCCTAGGAGGTTTATTTTTTTATTTATAAGTAAGAAAACAAGAGGGAAAAACACTTAACTAGATATTAAAGTAACAATTAAAGTTGACTGACTTGACGAGCCATTGTATCCGCTAATTGTTCACACCATTGTTTAGTTGGACAAAATACTAACACACCATGTCCATTCAAAAGTGTATCAAAGCACAAAGCAAACACACCATCTTCATCGATCATATTTAGTTCAGTATCAGAAGTTAATTGAGGATCCAAAGGTAAATTATCAGCAGGCTCTAAACATCTAAATTTATACAAATAGATGTTAAGAAAAAAATAAAAGCAAAAGAATAAAAAGGAGTGAAAATGACTTAGACGAGGAAGAAGGTTAGAAACAAGACTCCATTGAATCAGCAAATATGAATGTATGATTTATAATGCTAAGATTTAGAGTAAAGACTCGAATGAACAGTTTCGTGTTTGAATCTAGTTAGGGTTAGCGTCTAGGAAATGGGTTGCATCATTTAGGATTGAGATTAGGTCTTACAGTTAGTCTATATGAGGTTGTAGTGTCGGTTACTATGTTAAGCCCACATAACTTTTTTGGGCTTCTGGAAAGGCCAGTCGATTGATGCTTCTTGAGTCACGTTTTGATCTTGTTAATAATTCACTTATCAGCCCTGACATTTTATATGAGCGTATGTGTTTATCTTATCCCACACATCTCATGTCTGCAGTTTATTTTTGTGTGACTGTAAATATTGATTAACGCTTAATTAAATGGAGTTGGCGCACATGCCATCTCCACTGAACGTCATTTAGCTTCGCTTCATTCCTCTGATTATCTGTCCTGACTAATGAGTGTACAAAATATGCGTATTCAAAAACCAAATCTGATATTTGACTCACTTTATTCCGTTATTCACTAACGCGAGTTAAGTCGATAAAAATATACGAAGATAGCCACGATGTATATTTTGACAACAATCATTCATACGACCTAATTAGTCAGATAAGAGGAAACCATAAGGTCTTAATCCTAGTCTACGTCTTAATTTTAAATCCTAACCCCAAAACCTTGATCCTTACTCGAACCCTAAATTCTAAATCTTAATCGTAAAACTTAAACCCTATTTTCAACATTGACCGTTTAATGATATCTTCATCATTAAAACCATTCACCTCGACAGAAAACATACTGTTTCGATACGTACATTGAGACCTTGAAGAGTCTTGTTCATTCCCGATTGGCCCTTCCTCACATGCTCAGCATTACCAAACTTTTAATCGGCATTTTTAAACCTTAAAACATGAGCAAAAAATCGAATTGCGGCAAACGTTGTTGTGGATTACGACTTGATGAGTGATGTAAGGTTTAATGACTGCTTAGGATTGTTTCAAACCACTTTAATAAAAGAGATACATGAACTAGATTTTGAACCGAATTTGCTGTTTAATTAATAATCATGTTGTACTATTATTTATTATTTATTTGAACACATAAATATTGGTACAAGAGAGCGCCAATATATATGCGCCACACAAAACAATGGGAAATCGAAGAAAAGTAGAAAGAGAAAAAAAAACTAAGGATCGCAAAAGAAAAAGAGAACAATGACGAAGAGATTGGAGTAAGGTAGTGTGGTAGTAACAACGGAACGACAAGGTACAATCAGAAGAAATCTTTCAGGTAAAGGAGACACAACCACTTTTTATAAAGAAAGTAAAAGAAGGTTACAGCATGATCGCCACTGGCTTCTATTCTGAGCCATATCTGATAACGTCTCTAGCCACTGTGTTGCACCATCTCTCTGATCCCAGCTAGGGAGTCGTGAAGGACCAACACAAGTCAGCCCTTTGCAACTTCCTTTCATACCATGACACCATGTCATACACTGACCACCTCTCCGCTTTTTCCAACCAGTCCCAGCGTCGGCAAATAATGCACGACGAGGGATCCTGTGGGACAACATTCGTAGAACATGTCCAAGCCACCAAAGTTGATGTTTCAAGATGGTGACACCGATTGAATTATCGTCTCTGCGCCCGAACACACGATGCCGAACCTCTGCATTACTAACATGGTGTTGCCACTGGATGTCAGCAATCCTCCAGAGATGACGATAACCAAACACAGAGTTGTCTAAAATCCTCAACTCGGAAAGGCCAGGTTTCACAAGCATAGAACAAAACTGCTCTCACCGACGCGTTGTAGATCCGACCTTTCACAGCCAGACTAACATCACGAAGGCGCCAAACATGGCCCAGATTGGCATGAGCTACTGTGGCTTTCACTATACGTGCATTGATCTCATCACTCACGCCACCACCAGCACTTATGTATCTACCTAGATACATGAACTTCTAGACTACTTCTATCTACTCACCGCCCAGGGTGAGTACAGCATCAGAATCCTGCCAGTCTTGTAGAAGTACTTTGCACTTCGAAGGTGCAAAGCACATACCATACCTATGGACACCGATTGCCAACTGATTAAGTGCGGATTGCATGGCTTGGGCATTATCACACAGTAAGACAATATCATACGCATACTCAAGGTCGAGAATTCTTTCTCCAGGCAACAGATCCACACCACCATTACTTACATCCATCAGAGCTGTTTCTAGAATGTCATCGATGGCAAAGTTGGAGAGGAATGGTGAGATTGGGCAACCCTGCCTAACCCCACTGCTCGAATGGGACAATGGAGAGAGGTGGTTGTATGCCCTCACTCTGCCTGAGGTGTTTGTATATAGGGCCTTTAGGATGTTAATAAACTTCTCAGACACACCCTTCTTCAATAGACAATCCCAGAGGACAGTCCTGTCCAACGAATCGAAGGCAGCCCTGATGTCAAGAAACACTACGATTGTTGGCCTTTGATAAGTATGACGGTGTTCTAACATTTGGCGGAGGGTGAAGATATGATCAATACATCCTCGACCAGAACGAAACCCAGCCTGCTCCTCGCGAGTCAATCTTTCTCGGGTTTTGAACAACCTACGAAGAATGACGGAAGCCAATAGCTTGGACGCAATCGGAAGTAAACGTATCCCCCGATAGTTGTTACAAGAACGACGTGAACCCTTTTTAAAGATAGGGACAACTATCGACTCATTCCATGACGTTGGTACACTCTCTAGTTCCCAAACCTTTGCAAACAACGTCGTCAATTCCTTAGTCAAAAAGTCACCACCATCTTTAAAAAGAGCCGGAGGTAAGTCATCTGGGCCAGGTGATTTGTAACGCTTCAAGAGTTGGAGTTCCTTGCGGACTTCCTCCTCATTTGGTGGATCAGTCGTCACCGGCCATGGAGGGCAGGACAGTCTGACCGATGTTGCCGGAGCAGCAGGCCAGTTGAACTGCCCTTCGAAAAATTCTGCCCATCGTTCAAGACGTCGATGGATGTTAGTGATTGGCATCCCATCATCCTCGCAGATTGTTTCGCTCACACCAGACTTCTTGCTGCCAGTGGCTCGGATGAGCTGGAAGAGCCTCCGGTAGTTACCAGATGCAGCTGCTGCTTCCAGCTCATTAGCACGCATCGACCACCAGGCTTCTCGGTCCTTACGCAAGCTTTGCCCAATTTCCTTAAGTAACATCCTTCGTTTATGGTCAAACTCACGGTCACCCGGAGTAGACCGACGGGCTTCAATGAGTTGTAAGGAGCCTGAAGAAACCCAGTGCTTAAAAGCGGGACGTCTCGCAAACCCACAACTGACTGTTCCCGCCATTTTCATGGCGTCACGCAATTGCAACCAATGCTCATCCATACTTTTCGGTGGAGTGGTAGCTAGCCTAGAGGCTAGCTCGGTTCGATACTTACTTGCAACAGAAGTTGCAACCAGCTTGCTAACATCAATCCGTTGATGGTGTTCACTTCGTTGTCCACTGAAAAGTAAGGCAAGATTGGCGCAGACCAAGGCATGGTCAGAGTCCAGATAGGTACTCCAAAAGGAGCGGCAGTCTTGTACACAACCACGCCAGCGGTAGCTGATCGCGATGTGATCAATCTGAGTCCAGGCTTGAGATGCAGAGGGAGGACGCCAGGTGGCACATCGGCGATGACTGTGCCGAAAGTTAGTGCTAGCCAGAAACAGGTTGTGGTCTGTGCACAGTTGCAGTAGACGGTCCCCGTTATCTGACCTGCGACCAACGAGTCCCCATCGGCCACCTAAACGACTCTCTTCTGTGCCTAGACGCCCGACCTGAGCATTCAAGTCTCCGGCTAGTACTACAATATCTGTCGAACGCACTTTCTGGAGAAGAACTGATAACTGGTGGTAAAACTCATCCTTGATTGCATCCGGGCTGCAATCTGTCGGGGCATAGGCGGAGATGACGAAAAGACATCGTTTCTCACGCCGATTTCTTCTCACTTTGATGGAACTTTCTAATCTAACAGCACATAACCGACTGTTAATGGGGATCCAATCGACTAGTGCTGCCTCAGCTCTAGCGCTTAGTGCGACATCAACGCCAGCAAGACCAGACGAAGATGCCACAGGGTCCCCGGATAAGCGCACGTAAAACAAGCTTTTCGAAGCGACAGATGGAGATCGAATTTGTAGTACTTCGCCAGAGTCTTGAATACGGGTCTCGGATAGACAACACACGTCGATATTAAGACTTTCCAAAGACATAGCCAGCCCTATCTGTTGTCCGACCTGCATAAATGTGCGAACGTTGAAGGCAGCCAGTTTGAATGGTGCACGTGGTTTCAGAAAATCTGCTTCAGTCCTCGTATTCGGTGGTAACATACAATTTTCAACCGGACAGTGACTCGAGAACGTTTAGATACAGTCGGATTTCCACCAAAGACGAGCCGCTGTATAGGTATAAAAGAGGGTGAATAATGTGGAAAATAATAATAATAATGATAATAATAACAATAATGACAATAATAGTAGTAATAATGACAATAATTGTAATGATAATAATCTGAATCAATTGTTTGTTTTTCAAAGCGAGAAAGGTAATTTCCATAGGCATAAAGAGTTCATCAATTTGTGTGTGGGCTGTGATACTGCCCGGGTGCCGAAACCGAAGCAGGTGGTTATCTTAGGGGGCCACTCCCCGAGCCTTTGACCTAAAGGTCTAACCCACAAGGCAGTGGAGCATCGTAAGGAGATGCAGTCCCATGGTAGCCGGTGACCAACGATTGGTTCATACGCCATTCGTTCCCGCAGGATACTGGAGCCCATGTGCACCATTGATTTGGAAACCGGTTAAAGCGCCGGACATTCGCTTTTCGTCCTCTCATTTTCGTAGACAAAACCCCCGCCACGAGAAGGCAATGAGTAGGACTTCCCTGGCAGAGGCTGTATACGCGTGGCCGTGTGAGAGTATTTAGAGAGGGAGAGCGGACACTCCCCACTCTCGGCCGTACCAGGGCATTCAGGGGGCTCATGACAGCCCCCTGAATGTCATGTTGTACTGAAATCACTTGAATCACAGAGTACTGATAATGCAACCAACTAGACAAGGACATTTTGATACACAAGAGTTATACACTATGCAAATAAATAATGATAGTCTCACACATATTAGAATGAGCAGTATTACCAATTCATATACTCTGATATTAATAGAAATCGAGTGGTGTGTCACAAAAGAATCAGTAAATTACACATTACGCTCACTTACTCCGACAACAGTTGTTGAGTAGAGCTATCATCTTTACTAGCAGATTTGACAATTTTATAAAACTGATTTGTTTTCGAACGTAAATCACAAGACAATATGAATTCAGTTAGTGGAACAGGACGAAAATTTGTAATATAAACTTCAGCATTTAACCACTGTCCAAGCGATTTAAGATTTGGCAATGTAGCACTCATACCAACAATTTGGATACCATAGGTTTTAGAATCACAATATTTATTTAATGAACTTTGAGAGTTTTCTAAAATTTTAATTTCATTTATATGTTTGAAATTCGATATACGACGTGAATAAAAAAGTAATTTTGTTAACAACAACTCCAATAAGTAACCACGATGAGTGTCACCGATAAGATGTAGTTCATCGACGACAACAATACCTAAAAATCAAATTTATAAAAATAAATGTTGCAGTTAAACAATATACGTTACTTAAAACTATACGTAGATTTTTATTAGAAATATGAAGTTAAAAGTTAAACGAATAAAAATCCAAAGTCAATTGAGTAAACAAAATTTTCTGAATAAATAAAGTGAATTAGGATTTTGTGTTAGAATAAAACTCCCACTTAAGCCTATTGATAAACATTACTAGTGAGATCATCTGGTACTATTTGCCAAGTAAACCTCCAGATAGAAATTGTCCCTCTATATAAAGAAAACGACATGGTCATAAGGAGTACATTTTGAGATATAAGCCTTTCGGTTTAACCAAATGATAGATAATACAACGTTTAATTACATCATAAAATATCTTGTACGAAAGTAGAAAAAATACGATCCAGTAACAAAGTGAAGTTTAACGTACAAAGTAATGATACAGTCTTAATCCCTTAATTTCGATAACTAACAAGGGATTTTAATCCACTACTCATACTTCACATCTAGATGAAACTGTGGTGTGTGCTACTGATGTTGACAGATATAAGTAGTATGTATTATCAATCGAAAGTGAAACGCCTGGCGGCAGAAGGTTAAGAAGATCGAAGACAGGAGAACGAGAACAGAGAATGATTGGTGTTGAAACGAAAGAACAATGAAGTCTGAGATGATTAATTGACATTTTGCAAATCAAGTATTTACTGTATAGTTCTCAGATTTTACTAAGATGTTCTGTAATTTTGTATTTAAATACATTCGATTGTGCCCAATGCGTGCTCATTCACTACAAAACCATTAAAAATTACGAGTTATTTATAAATGAAAGCAAGAACAAACAATCTGTTCATAAACTTCATACATTTATGAGCATAAATGTGAAAGGATAATAACTTGTCAGTTGTGAAATTGACTGTCATCAAGAGTTATAATTTATAATCTGTTTTAAACTGGATCGTAAAACTAAAAAAGAAGCCGACTAGAAACAACTGTTATGAGAAAGCTGCTTTGACCATTACTTTGGTACACACTACTCAAAAATTAAACAGTAAAACACGTAACAAAACTATTAATCTAAATTTACTGTACTAGCAAAATTGTTCTGATTTATAGCTAATAAAGAAGAGATTTAATCCATCTTTGTATTAGTTGTGTGTATCTTCCCATGGACGTGTAGAATTGAAATCGATTAGTGCATCCTGTTCCAAAAAGATACTGATCTACTGCAGTCCTAAATGTCAATGAGAAGATTCAAACAACCAGCACAAAAATGAATCGGACTTCACCCCATTGCACAACCTGGTGGCTATCTGGACTCATAAGCTAAGTGGATAAGGAGATGACGTTTGTAGCAAACGGTGCTGAGTACGAGTTTCGGAGTGAACATCAACTCTGAGATGCAGATACATGCGGCCGACGAGTAACGATTAGGACGAAACGAGTGTCCTAAATCCCATTATCAGCCATCATCCATCTCCAGTTCAAACGAGATTTCCTCCAAAGAAGTTATATAGCGCGTCTACATACCTAATTCGTCCAAACGTTCTTCTTCAATTAATCTGTTAACTAAGCTATTCGCTTTTTCAATCGTACAAACAGCTACATTGATAGCAGATAATCCTCCAGGTGGACTATGGCCAGCCATATAACCTCCAACACGAATGCCCAAATTGTTAAAAAGTTTCTAAGAAACATATAAAGGAAGCAAATAAAAATATTTTTGATCAACTATACAAATCAATATAGATACCAGTCAGTCAGTAATTTACAACGTAAGATCAGGCACATAAATGCATCAGTCCAAGTTGCCACAACTCAATAACACCAAAGATATAAAGTAGTTATATCAGTAGAAGTAATATAAAAAGACTTCATATAAGGATATGATACAGGGAGAAAGGATTCGCTCGTAGAAATAAAGGTATATTTCACTTATTTATTTATTTATTTGAACTCATAAATATTGGTACAAGCGGACACCCATTATATATGCGCCACACAAAACAACGAGAATTCGAAGAGGGAAAAAAGAAGGTATGGAGCGTAAAAGAAGGACAGTAACGAACAGATTAGTGTAAGGCAGTGTAATAATAATGAGGGAAACGGAAATGTACAACCAGAAACAATTCTTTCAGTTAAGGAAGATACAACCACATTTTATGAAGAAAGTAAAAGGTTACAGTAGCATCGCCACTGGCTTCTATTCTGAGCCATATCTGATAACGTCTCTAGCCACTGTGTTGCACCATCTCTCTGATCCCAGCTAGGGAGTCGTGAAGGACCAACACAAGTCAGCCCTTTGCAACTTTCTTTCATACCATGACACCATGTCATACACTGACCACCTCTCCGCTTTTTCCAACCAGTCCCAGCGTCGGCAAATAATGCACGACGAGGGATCCTGTGGGACAACATTCGTAGAACATGTCCAAGCCACCAAAGTTGATGTTTCAAGATGGTGACACCGATTGAATTATCGTCTCTGCGCCCGAACGCACGATGCCGAACCTCTGCATTACTAACATGGTGTTGCCACTGGATGTCAGCAATCCTCCAGAGATGACGATAACCAAACACAGAGTTGTCTAAAATCCTCAACTCGGAAAGGCCAGGTTTCACAAGCATAGAACAAAACTGCTCTCACCGACGCGTTGTAGATCCGACCTTTCACAGCCAGACTAACATCACGAAGGCGCCAAACATGGCCCAGATTGGCATGAGCTACTGTGGCTTTCACTATACGTGCATTGATCTCATCACTCACGCCACCACCAGCACTTATGTATCTACCTAGATACATGAACTTCTAGACTACTTCTATCTACTCACCGCCCAGGGTGAGTACAGCATCAGAATCCTGCCAGTCTTGTAGAAGTACTTTGCACTTCGAAGGTGCAAAGCACATACCATACCTATGGACACCGATTGCCAACTGATTAAGTGCGGATTGCATGGCTTGGGCATTATCACACAGTAAGACAATATCATACGCATACTCAAGGTCGAGAATTCTTTCTCCAGGCAACAGATCCACACCACCATTACTTACATCCATCAGAGCTGTTTCCAGAATGTCATCGATGGCAAAGTTGAGGAGGAATGGTGAGATTGAGCAACCCTGCCTAACCCCACTGCTCGAATAGGACAATGGAGAGAGGTGGTTGTATGCCCTCACTCTGCCTGAGGTGTTTGTATATAGGGCCTTTAGGATGTTAATAAACTTCTCAGACACACCCTTCTTCAATAGACAATCCCAGAGGACAGTCCTGTCCAACGAATCGAAGGCAGCCCTGATGTCAAGAAACACTACGATTGTTGGCCTTTGATAAGTATGACGGTGTTCTAACATTTAGCGGAGGGTGAATATGTCATCAATACATCCTCGGCCAGAACGAAAACCAGCCTGCTCCTCGCGAGTCAATCTTTCTCGGGTTTTGAACAACATACGAAGTATGACGGAAGCCAATAGCTTGGACTCAATCGATAGTTGTTACAGGAACAACGTGAACCCTTTTTAAAGATAGGGACAGCTATCGACTCATTCAATGACGTTGGTACGCTCTCTAGCTCCCAGACCTTTGTAAACAACGTCGTCAGTTGCTTAGTCAGAAAGTCACCACCATCTTTAAAAAGAGCCGGAGGTAAGTCATCTGGGCCAGGTAATTTGTAGCGCTTCAAGAGTTGGAGTTTCTTGCGGAATTCCTCCTCGTTTGGTGGATCAGTCGTCACCGGCCATGGAGGGCAGGACAGTCTGACCGAAGTTGCCGGAGCAGCAGGCCAGTTGAACTGCCTTTCGAAGAATTCTGCCCATCGTCCAAGACGTCGATGGATGTTAGTGATTGGCATCCCGTCATCCTCATAGATTGTTTCGCTCACACCAGACTTCTTGCTGCCAGTGACTCGGATGAGTTGGAAGAGATTCCGGTAGTTACCAGATGCAGCTGCTGCTTCCAGCTCATTAGCACGCACCGACCACCAGGCTTCTAGGTTCACACGCAAGCTTTGCCCGATTTCATTACGTAAAAGCCTTCGTTTGTGGTCAAACTCACGGTCACCCGGAGTAGACCGACGGGCTTCAATGAGTTGTAAGGAGTCTGAGCAATAAAGATATAGTAACTTTAATCTCACCGTTTAAGGGAAGAAAGAGTATATACACCCACGCCATTGTGATCGATTCTCAGCCATGTACAGAGTCCCCATCCAGTGGTTACGATAGTCACGCTAACCCCAACCAAGTGGCTACATCTATCAACATGGCTCAGACTAAAAGTTAATGGCCAACCCTGGTAAGCATCGCGCGCCGTGGTAATCGGTGTTCATGAACCAGCCATCTCAGTCAATGAAGATTCATAATCTCCTCAACTGACTTACCATCATTCGCTAATACCCTGAGTCTAACCTCACTATTACCTACCCATTGACTATAGTAGATGCGAGCAATATTTCCAAGACATCTGTGATCGAATACTAGTAACTTACGGGGATCCTCTACCCTTAGTGACCACGTTTCGCAGCCGTTAAGTAGAAGAGTAAAAACTGCAGCACAGTATACTCGTCCCTTAATTGATAGACGGATGTCTCGCCTTCGCCATAGGTGACGTAAGTTGGAAAAAGCCAAACGAGCGTTTTGAATCCGGGCTGAGACTTTGTCAGACACCAACCCATTAGGGCTGATCAGACTTCCGACATATAAGTGAAGTTGTCGACGCGTTCGACTACTTCACTTCCTATCCCTAGTTCAGGTGTTGAAGCAGGCCAGTACTGAAGCGACAATTTACATTTAAAGGGGGAGAAACGTATCCCAAACAACCTGGCATTGTTGCTCACTGCTACTAAAACATTGCATTTTATCAGTGTCTTCACCAAACAGGACTATATTATTTGCGTATTCTAAGTCGATAAGTGGACCTCCTGGTAGCAGGTCAAATCCCCAAAATTCAGTCGACGAGAACGTTATTTCCATAAGTAGGTTTCTGATAAAATTCAACAAAAATGGGGATAGTGGATAGCCTTGCTGGACACACCTTGAGGTTGCGAATCCAGATGGCAGTTCGCCATGAGCTCTGAATCGACTTGTAGTGTTCGAGTAAAGAACCTTCACAAGGTTTTTGTACTTCTGAGGTACACGTTTCAATAACAGACACTGTCACAGAACCTCTCGGTCAACAGAGTCAAATGCTACTTTTGAGTCAAGATAAACTATCATTGTCAGACACCAAGAGGTATGCCTGTGTTCTAAAACCTGACGAATGGTAAATATGTGGTCGATGTAGTCACGACCAGATCTGAAACCAGCCTGGTTCTCTGGTATTTGCGATTCAAGAATCTTGGTTAGGCGTCCGATAATTATTGAGGCTAGTATTTCAGATGCTATATTAGTCAAAATAATCCCTTTATGGTTGTCATGGGATGATGTTCATTCTTTCTTATGTATTGGGACGATCAGTGATTGCGACCAGTCAGATGGGACTAGTCAGGCTAATCGCTAAAACTGAACCACCATACTGGAAGATATCTTGGATTACCTATCTTGACCAGCTGTTCTTCCTCGTTTCAGATTAGCTATAGTCTTTTGAACTTCAATTAGAGTCGGGGAACCTACTTTAAAGTTCCGTTCAGGCTGTTTTGGAGTGGTGGGTAGTTGTAGAATAACTGAAGGCCAGCTGAACTGCTCCTTAAAGTGTTCTGCTCATCGTTCTAAACGTCTGGGCTTAGAGCAGATAAGGATGTCGCCTTTTTCTGAGATCGTATCACTTACATTTGACTCCTAAATCCAGTTTTTTTTACTAGTCTGAAAACTGTCTGGGGTTACCTAAAACCTCTGCCTTTTCCGTCTCTTTTTTCTTTCGTTGCCCACCACTGCTCACGGTCGCTCCTTTAACTTTTGGTTAGCCTAGATTTAATTTGTTTACGTTCATCATCGTGTTCAGAGCCTGATGGGGTGAGTTTATGAGAATCAGTGCGACAGTCTGAGTCTGATTTGAACCACTAATAGATGTCATTGCTGTTCTCACAAATGTTCGTATATGTTTCCAAGCAATGCCTGAGTCAGCCTCGTTTTTAGAACTGCCTAAGTGTGACCTTAGTTGTTCCTGGGATCTACTTTTGGCTTCCTCGTCGCTGAGTTAAACTCCAATGAATCTTCTTAATATGGTTTTTCAGCGTCCAGTGAGGCGCAAGCAAATACGTGCTCGTATTAAAGCATGATCAGAGTCTAAACATGTACTTCAGAACGAGCGGCAGTTTTCTATCGAGCCTCTCCAACGATGACTGATGACAATATGGTATATTTGAGTCCATCGTTGGTTTGGTGCAGGGGGTCGCCGCCATGTTAGACAATGTCTTTCCTTATGCTTAAAATTAGTGCTTGTCAGAAATAAACAATTGTCAGATCACAGTTGCAGTAGACGATCACGATTATCTGTTCGCTGAGCCGGAATACTAAAATGTCCACCCAAACATCTTTCTGTTTGGGTTAAACTATCTACCTGGGCATTAAAGTCACCTGCTCGGCTCTCCGTTTTGGCGAGGTGAGGTCAGGTGAATGACCATACTAGGATCCTGTATGCGTGCTTTGGAGATACGGCATACATCAATGGTACAAGATCCTAGGGTTTTAGCCAAGGTCTGCCGGCCGATTTGATATACGGTGCGTACTTTGAAGGCTCCAATGTGTAGTTTGGAGCGAGGTTTCAGTAGACCTGGTACAGTGTTTCGTGCACTAGAATCGTTGGCCATGGTAACACTTGGGGGAGGAAGACAAAAGAGGAAGTTTATAGTTGAAAGTCGACGTAGGAGGAATAATAAGGATTGAGGAGGTTGATTATGAATACAGTTATCTTGAGTGATGTTAGAGGTATGAGATTTATTTTTACTTACCGTTGCCCACACCGCTAGAGGGTTCTTCTGGGGGTACCTGGAAAGAAATCTGGGTTATGGGTCGTCTCAGCAACCCGAAAACGTGACCGCAGTGCCCAAAGGACAACTGCTTGAGCTCGGTCACACACGACCTTTTTGTGAGTAATTTTCGTGTTAGCTCTGTACTTGTTGGGACCTTACCGCCGGAGATGGATATCTGTGGGATAAGGTAAGGTCTGCAATTTTAGGGTCGACCTTTTCTAACCCCACCTTTCTTTATGGGAAGGCAGCATCGCTGTTATGCCGGTTGTCTGAAGGAAACACCTTCCTGCAGTCACACCTCTGTGCAGTCAGCAGTACGACTTCGCCCTCGGACCTTGAGTTTGCTGCTTTTACTCTTACCCCTTTTTAACCGACCTGTCTGGCATGGTAGGACGTTGAGGAAGGATTGTTCCAGCCAGTATATCCGTTTCGGTTCATCACGATAAGCAAGCCCGACCACCATGTTAAGGTAGCAGTAACGTTCGGCCAATATATATAGGATTTGGTATATATTAAGATTTAACATAAGACTTAATTACAGGTAACCGGCTGTGTTTAAATAATGTGTACTAAAATTAAATTGCATAGCACTCCTTTTAGTATAGTCCTAAGTATTAACTTTCACTAAAAATCGTAATCTTATAAAAATTACATTAAGTTCAACAATCTAGTGGGTCAAATTCACTCATTCATGAATCAAAAACGTAAAAATCGCAGTAAAATGAAGGAAACCACAAACTAACTTGTAGATATATCATTTTCTCTCTTGAGACAGAGACATAAGGTAAAATGATAAACGCTTTAAGTGCAGATTCTAAAATGCGCTTTAATACAATAATTTCAGCAACAAGAGTTTTCCCAGCGCTTGTAGGAGCTGAATAGACAAGATTCTTATGACCATCTGAAATGTTCGTGAAACCACATGGCTTACCAAGCACACCAGGTAAGTTAAGGCATTCAGCTTGCCAAGAAAATATACTCGATATATTCATCTCTTTGTACTGACGATACAATTCTTCAGGTACATAAAATGCATCTTCTATTCTAATTGGGCTACCGACTTTGATCTCCATTTTCCGAAGGCCACTCTCAGATAATGTGTATTAAAGCTGAGTTCCAATGAAGACATCCAGATAATCATACATCTAGATATGTTAATCTATATGAATGGAAAGATAGTGTTAAAGTCATAAGACATTCGTACTAGCATGTAAGTATTATGAATATTGTATAAATTTGATTATTATTTGCAATAATCACATGGTTGAAACACTAAGAAGTTACTGGATACGTAATCTAGTAGTTTTTCAACTGTATGTGCAGAACTGGAATTTTGAATATCAACTTTGTCATGAATTCTAATAAAATGTGGTAATATGCAAAGAATATTTCAATGTACTTCGTTTGCTATATCGTCGTTTACTCTTTTGATGAGCACTATTTGCAATCTCAAGTAAGAACACAGGTACTTCAGACAACCTGTGTAGAGTTTTTGTACTAATTCATATAAAGGTCATAAAAATATTTTCAGTAACCTCATTTCTCATGGACTTACAGTTTTTAGTTTGGTCGACTACAGAACGAGTGGAAGCTAGGGTTGACATATCTTTTTAATAATCCACTATAGTAAATTAACGTTAGTGAACTTTACCCATTGTATGGTGATCAAAACCAATCTGTTTAAATCTAACATATAAACAATTATGTTGACAAGATTATTACATTCAAAAGGCATTTAAGTTTTCTAAGACATGGACAACAAAATGATACAGAAAATTGATTAAATTTATTTATTTATTTGAACACAAATATTGGTACAAGCGGACACCCATTATATATGCGCCACACAAAACAACGAGAATTCGAAGAGGGAAAAAAGAAGGTATGGAGCGTAAAAGAAGGACAGTAACGAACAGATTAGTGTAAGGCAGTGTAATAATAATGAGGGAAACGGAAATGTACAACCAGAAACAATTCTTTCAGTTAAGGAAGATACAACCACTTTTTATGAAGAAAGTAAAAGGTTACAGTAGCATCGCCACTGGCTTCTATTCTGAGCCATATCTGATAACGTCTCTAGCCACTGTGTTGCACCATCTCTCTGATCCCAGCTAGGGAGTCGTGAAGGACCAACACAAGTCAGCCCTTTGCAACTTTCTTTCATACCATGACACCATGTCATACACTGACCACCTCTCCGCTTTTTCCAACCAGTCCCAGCGTCGGCAAATAATGCACGACGTGGAATTCTCTCGGTCGATAGAATTCGCTTTTTATCATCTCATTTTCGTAAACAACACCCCTGCCACGAGAAAGCAGTGAGTAGGCCTTCTCTGGCAGTGGCTGAATACGCGTGGCCGTGCGAGAGCATTTCACGAGGTAGGGCGGACCCATACCTCTCGGCCATACCAGGGTATTTGTGAGATTGCGTCTCATCTGCAACTACTAAACTAAGCTTTTCGATCTTATCACATAACAGTTTGAAAGTTTTGTTGTCTGAGACGGTGTATTAACCTATCTGACAGTAACTATAACACTATAATCCAGCTATAGGATTCACTCCTTGTAATACTTAAACAGCTATTGAAAGCAATTTATCACTGAAAAGCTCTCCAAAACAATTAGCTTCTCTGACACAAAACATGGATGATAACCTTGCTTTTCTTAGCAAAGACAAATAGTTTAAAACTCGAACAGTCATCATGGCCATATCCCAAAATAGCTCAAGTATGACGCTTTTATCCCTCAACGTAGACCTCAAGTTTATTCATCTTGACCTAATTTTAAATATGTTTTCCGCAGCAGTTATCACCTTCTTATGGGATACAATTTTCGCGGCATAAAAAATATCATTCTTGCTCGGTTCCATTGTATTCAAAGTATCTTTAACCGTTAAATAGGATACTGCCCAATCTACCAATTTTACTAAAAAATGTATCTGTTCTAAGTAAATTTTGGAAGAATGCGACAAGATTTCTGGTCAACGTTTTCCTCCAGAATTTTATAGTATTTTAGGAAAATCTCCAAAACGATCAAAGAAAGTTTAAGTTTTACCTAGATCTTCCCAAGACCTAAGCAAAACAGAGAACCTTCACGCGAATTTGAGTGAAACTTCAAAATTTCTTAAAAACTCCCAAAAATTCCCTCAACTTCTGTAAATTGGATGGCTGGCTTTCGACAGTTTTCACATGACGTAACTTCACTTGAATTTTAACTGTTTTGTGCAAAGAAATGTATTCAACATACTGAAAAAGTTGCATTCCTCAAATCCGAATCCGACTTTGCAATAATAAGACAAGTAGATACATTAGGCTTACATGGAAACGTTGCGGATAAACCCACTCGATACCTCGAGATCCCACAACCAACGGACGCGGTTAGGACGGATTGAACCTTACTTGACATAGAAAAACAAAATGGCCTGTAATGTATAAAAAATACATCTTTTGAGACGAAAAAAGTTATTGAGCTTGGATTTTCCTGTTGTTAGAAAATTCCAAGTATATATATGGTCACAATAATATAATGATCTAAAGTATACAAATTCTAATTCTAGTATCTTTGTAAAGAGCTAATGTAAGACAGCCGACAACATTTTGCATGGTTTTCGTCGCTAAAACACTTTCAAAAGGTTGCTGATATCTTGCACGGTATGTCCTCGGGTTACTCAATCCATGCTATAATAGTTAATTGAACCTTCTGGTAAATAACACCATGACTCATGCAATTAAAAAGTGGAATTTTTCCATGACACTTGGAAAACTGTTTTTTCCAGTATATACCTACTTTCTTAAGACTGAAAAGTTTAATGATAAACTGTCTTCACCGTTATAGGTGAAACTGTCGGAAACAGTCGCATGTATGTCAGCAAAATATCAGGAACTCATATTTTTTTAACTGACAGAATTCGTATCCTACTCTACTGGAGTATTACCTAGTTGATCCGGTTAGTCATAACTCGTGGAAAATGAAATTTGGGTAACGTGGATTTTCCATACTGTCTCCGCTGTCTGGAAAATTCACATCAAGCTGACATATGTAGCATGCAAAGAAATATTATTTATAAGTCTCAAACTGAATTAGAACTTCGTGTAGCCTTAATCGTCATCTTTGTTGTAAAGAATTTTCTAATTCTTGTATTCTGATGTGAAGAATAAATATAAATGAGATTCTAGGACTAATATTGTTATCACTTGCAGCGACGATGTCAGATTGGTGTGAATATTCTACACTACAGAGGCTCTTTTCTGACAATGTCATGGATCATTTCTTCGAACACCTAAGGCAAACAAGGAAATTTGTTTGTTCTGAGATAGCCATGCTATCGGTCAATATATTCACGAAGTTGACATAAATATTCGGATTAAAGCCAGCGATAACATTAATAAATATTACGTCCTTAATTTACATTATCCTCAATGTTTTATTAACACTATAGCATAAAAGTCATGTGGATGTGACCTTTATACTTTCCGGAATAACTGATTTTGATGTACACATATACACAAGTATGGTTGTTATCATTTTTGACCTTTACCAAGAAGCTTGTTACGGTTTTTTATCGGATAGTAGTGTTTGGTGTAGGTTTAAGATATTGATATGTAATGGTATCTACTCTAGGTTGCATCTTACGCTAGACTCTTGTTACTACTAAGAATAAGTTCACGTAAGCCTATTGAGTCCTGTCTATCTATATGATTAAATCATAACTATCAGCCGACATTATGGTTTGTTCTGTACGGTAATATACATCAACAGCAAATGATTACAATCATTTGAAATTATAATAGGTTTTGGAGTGTAAACGATAAATTGAGCTTTCTAATATTGTCAATAAGGAGCTTCTTTCTACCGGGGTTTAACTATAACGGCTTGACCGCTTGTAAAGTAGGACCGTATATCAACGACACTATAAGGTAAAACAATGACCTAGCCCACTCAAAAATAGTGACCGAGCTGTCAAAGTACACAAAATGCTCCTTTAGATAACATATTAAAGGTTGGAAATATGGGGATTTTAACCGAGCTCTACGCCACAGAAGAACAAAGTCGACTATCAAACCTGATTGGCCATTATTAACTAACACTCCTGTAAGTAGTTCAAGGCAAATTAACCTTCTTTGCATCACTCACAAAGTTTTGTCCTCTGAGAGCCTTCGTAAATTGTTGTTCCAAGTTCGGAAACCACAAAATGCAATCACTGTGAGCATCCATTATCCACTATAGTTTTAACAAAAATAATTAGTAACTTTTGAACTCCATAAGGAAAGAAGACTTTGCAGAATTCCAGGAAAACCTATCTGGCCGAAAATTTCGAAGCAATCACAAATCTTCGGTCGTAAACCAACTTCAACGACGGTATCTAGTAATATTGAGCACCATATTAGGGCTTTAATTATTTTCATTATATACAGATGATTTTTACAGTCACCGTAATCATATAGTAGAACAGTATTACTAAGAAACCATTTGTTATGTACACACTTATAACAAGATTTTATTCTGTTAATATCAACGTCATCTTTGCTGAAACTATCCATGGTACAGGTGTAATAGCGTAATAGGCTTAAGGATGGTAAGGCTAAACATCAGAAACCCCATATTGTCACAAAAGCTCTATGCAGAGAAATATTGCATTCACAGTATTCATAGGACCAGTTAACTAGAGGATTTACATGAAAAGTCACGATAAAACACTCTTAAAGGCACATTGAGTAAGTAAATCAGCTGGTGTACAGCAGTAACCGACAGTATCAAAGTAATATTTGACTGAACAAATACAATTAAATTAAAATATTAGTTGTGGACGGTTAGGATTTCCCCACAGTTATTTCGGATTTGAAATTATTATTTTTAAGAAATTATTACTATTTTAATTGAAATTATGACACTCGGAAGATATCTTGCAATCAAATCAACTGACTGTTGCACTGAATAAGTTGAATCTGAAGTGAATGACAGTTTTATGAATGAAGTATCTACCCATTACATGAAGTATGAAGATCATGTATAAACTCTCAAACACTGTAACATAACAAATTTGACTGACCTCAGCGATTTTGTAATGATGTCTTTAAATATTAAAAATGATTGCTAGTCGGAATAGATAACATGAGGGTGATCAAAAATACTGATACAAAATCTATGGGATAGCAAGATAGAATTTCACTCCAATAAGTTGAGCTATAACACTGAGTTTTTATTCTGCCACAGTGATCATACAAATGTCAATAAAAAGCCGATGTTCATGCTCAAACTAAAGGTAATGGGTATGTGACAGCACTCGCACAAATGACATATTACAAACAGCCATGTTCGTAAAATACCTCAATACCTCAAACGTTTCTCGGACTGTTGCCATTACCTGTATAGTTCCAACATGTCCTTCCAAAATATTATAATACTGTAAAATCAAATTCATGAATTTGTGCTCGAATGGTGATATTAAGAGACATTTCTTGGACTCTAGCAAGGAACTGACTTAAAGCCGATCCACGATAAACAACAATCCATATGTCATCAACGAATTCAAGATTTGTAATGATGAATTCGTTAACTTCACTTTGTTACTGGTCTCAGACGACAAGGCCATTTCAATCTCTTCCCAAAACGCTACGCATTGAACATATAGATTTAAATCTAAGCAAGCCTAATCGAGCCCTAACTCTCAGAGTAATCACATATCAGTTCTACCACAGCGTGCTAACAAAAGATGTCGTTTGAACCGAATTGATAATGCGCCGGCTTAAGTAATCTAGACCGATTCGAGTATTGATTAATGAGTTGACCAACACTGGAAACTTTAGGCATTGCATACGTGGCAATTTTTATCTTTAATTACAAGACCTTTTACAATATTACTGGCCGGCCACAACTCAATCGGTCTCTGCATGAAATCGAATTTCACCTTACTAACTTTGAAGATATAGCTCTTACTTAAATGTAAATCCATCTGTGGTAATTGGAAAAATGTGAATTGTTATACTGTTACGTACAAGTTTTGCTCGTTCCAGTTACTGAAGTACGGACTATCGATCTATTTGCAAATTACGATCCCAAATTAGAAAAACAGAACATGGCTCCAATTTAGATACCAAATTTATTCGTAATTCACAAATAATCGACCAAATGTCGTTCTAACAACAATAATTATAACAATTACGAAACAAACCTTCAATTTTGTAGGTTCCCGGAGCAAAACTCCCAAATACCAAAACAAAGATAAAGACAGCACCAAAATACCAAACCAAAATGTCCGAAATAATGATATAAACAAACAAGTTCAAAAGTTAAGTAAAACAATTACATCCAAAAACACAGTAAATTATTAATGTACAATAAAAGGTTTTAATCCGCCAAATGTTTTCAGTTCTCCCGCAACAATACGAACTGGGGACACTAGAAATAATGCAGTTTAGACCAAGAAGAACTATGTGAGCACGAACGAACGTATTGTATTTAGAATTCGAAATCAGTCAGTCATCTCTTAAAAAAGAGTTATTAGTTCATATAATTACCACACAATCACAGCTCGATATTTCTCCATAAAAATCTGTTTCTCGTTTAATTTTGATATCAGTGTCACTAACATGAATAGATGTAAGATTAACCATTCTACAGATACTCTATCATCCACAGAAGCTTATAACAAATAAATAAGGATGGACATGTAGTTCCAAATCAAATACCAAGCTACTAATGCCTTTGTTTATCGGGGACTCCTCTAGATTCTTCCGCGTCAACATTGTCAGGACATTCCTACTTCTTTCTCAGCAGGACTGTACATTCTCCACATCCTCAACCTTGAAATTACAAACTATATTAGCAGGATTACCAAACGTTTTAAGAAATAGTTTGTAGCACGTAGCCACTTAAATAAATCATAATAAAGACCAATATAGGTTGGAGTTTTACAGTTCATAACGAGCACTAGCATTAGTTACATATTAAATAACAAGTCACTATTTTCCATATACTTTTCTGGAAAACCTTCCTGTGGGAACCACTGGCGCGTCAAGCCTTTTAGAGTATCTGAACTCAAAATCCATTCACATTCAAATACATGAAGCTCACCGATCTCCATTGTATCGTCTATCGGTTTATACTTTGAAAGTATATGACATCGTCAGAGTTTGGTCATGCATCCAGATTTTTATCAAGGTATCATATTATATCAGTGATAATATAGCCTGCAATATGCTCATACTCCTCTATGTGTTTAGACATCCCATGGTTAACCATAAGTTTGGACCCTGAAAGGTCAGAGCCTTTAATATTCACTGACGTATCATCTTTCATATAATCACGAATAATCCTGGATTCTTGAGATGATGCACAGTTGTTTCTATCCTGATTCCAAATCATTACACAAACAGACTCTTCCAGTTTTTTTAACAAAAATGAGTAACCATAGTATATCGCTCCTAACACATTTGCGAATTAATACTTTGATTAAAGGTTGTCCATAAATTATAGTTACTTGTACGTCATTTCCTTAGGTCCATTATTTGTCTGTCTGTGAATTGAGTGTAGAGGCTCGAAGATATATTTGATAGAGTATGAGCATATCGGTAAGTGACTAATCTAAGCTGACTAATAGTTCTAGAAGTTGATCACAGCATACTCACTCGGGATCTGTAGCGGACCCACCAGCTAGGTGGGTCCATTGCAACGAATGAGGTCGGCATCAAATGTCGATAGTTGTGATCGGCTTGAATATGAGCTATAAATTCATCAGAATGGTTTAGCGAACCTTCATAGCTCGTAAGAATTCACTTCCTCGATGGTTTGTAATAACGGCAGAATTTAAGCTTTCCTTATTGAGACAAACATTCTTTTATTTATGCAAATGCATTACTGTTTTATTAATGATCTGGCAATACTTCACTGAAAGAACGTATCTCCTCTCCTCTCGGAGTCTAAGAGAATCGATATTTGTTTTCGTGGTTTCGACATTTTCTGCTTCAGCAGCAGAATGAAACGGCTTTAGAGTTGTGATTAATTATTTCCACTTAGACTATGTAATTAACGAGTTATCAAGCGTTTCACTAGAACCATCTTTAATGGTCAATAAAGAAGAGTGTTCTGGGAACATTCTTAAATTTTCCAGACCTACGATAGATGATCCACAATCGGTGATGAGAAATTCACAAGTTAGGACTGAAGATTTATCGTTTTTAGTTAACAAAGTACAGTACCCAAGAATATGAAGTTTATGACCTGTAATATTCGAAATAGAAAATTTTGTAGGCTTGATTATAGAATCGAGATTTGATAACTTCAAATTTCTAACCGAACCGATAAACTTGATAATACCAGTGTCAAAAAATAAAGTTGTGAAAATCACCTCTGGACAAGTACAATCGTTCTTGACTAATATATGAATTGCTGGAAGTTGTATGTAAGGATAGTATATGAATATTAAAACCACCCAAATTGCAGATTTTAGTGTTATGTGAGGCGAAATGAACGGTAGTTTTACAGACGGACTTGATGTGTCCCACTTTACCACATGTAACATAACGAAAGACACAAGATGTTCGTAAGTGAAGTTTACCACAAAACAAGCATCAACCAATGAATTGATATCCATTTTTTCATGAGAACGAGCATTACTGTTAATTGAATGTCTACCCGTATGACCTTGAGCACGCATCTGATTAGAATAAAAAAGTAATGTCGTGGAATCCATTATGTACTGGCAGTCGATTGCATGCCGTCTCATAAATAATACATGAAGTTCTAACATCTTGGAAGGAGCGTTATGACATTCGTCCAAGCTGTTTTCCTGGATTTGGTATGTTAATTCCTACATTTATTTAGTCGTGCAGTTGGATATGAGGTTGATCATCACAATTACACTTGGCGGATTGTTTCTGCAATTCAAGAACATATTCTCTGACATTTTGGTGTTCCTGATGAATCATTCTGTGAAACTCAGTACAATTTACCTGATTTTGTATTAGTTCTTTGAGAGTTATGGAGGTAAGTAAAATAGGCTTATCTGGGAATGCTGAAGATTAGGTGAGCTGTAGGCACCCCTTTCGATGGCATTGAGCCACAATTTTACCATCCTTGACATTTTTCTTTGTCATGCTCCAGATTTTAAACCTTGCTAAAGATTCCCAGATGTATATCCAACTGTATCCACAGGCTCAATCACGATGTCTATGTAATAATTAGAAGTATTCGTATTAATGTGCTAACTAGGAATTCCCGAAATAGTTCAATATAAGGAAAGGAGAACTAAATGAGCACAAATGAAGGCATCTTATTTGAAATTCGTGATCAGCGGACAATCAAATACAAAGGAATCATCAGTTAGTGCAAATACCAAGAGAAATCATCCTGTAAATTTACAGGCATCAACCAGAAAAGGGAAATGGATCTGGTTTCAAATGTGCATAATCACACAACTCAATTAATACAAAACACAATTAAATTCAACCGGCAAGAGCTCAGTTAGAGTATGGAGTTAGATGGATTTTATCACTACGCATTAACTTTCACTAGAGAACTCCCCTGTAGTCACAGATCAGTAACAGATTCAGAAGTGGTTTGCTTAGGTGTCCAATAGTCTACTGCCAATTTGTCTACTATTTCTATGTTTAGATCCAATGAACCACCGTACATTGGATAAATAACTGAGAAACAGGGATTTGATATGTCAAATATCGCAGACATGGTGGTTAACGGGACTCAACGACTCTTTCTAAATTTCTCATGGATAAATGCGTCCATGATGTATGGCGGTGACAGTGGTTGTTACAACTAATGGTGTAGTATTTGTTCGCACTGGTTGTTTATCATGTACGTCAGACCTAGAGTAGTTTAACCAGGGACGTGGAGGTAAACAGATCACAGCACTGACAGAAATATCCTCTGACGCTAGTGACAGAAATGAATTTCCAAAGCTTACAGCTGGAGACTATAACAGTTGACAAACAATCGGTATTAACGAAGGATACCATTCATTAAACTGGTTCAAAGAATCTCCGAAAGATGAAGAATAGCCATCTTCGTTTAGTAATTGTTAGTGATCGTCAGAAAAACTTCACTTCTTCAGTTTTTATTAGACAATAAAATTAAATAGTTGAACTTTTAAATCCTAAAGAGACCAGATGCTACTGCACTAATGTGTTAAAGCAACGTTTAAAATATGGCTTCCAGTAAATATGACATTTGAGCCACCGATAACTCCTTTTGTTTCTGTGATCATCACTTATTTGGCACTTCGACGAAGTGTGACCTAGAGTTTAAGTTAAGAAATCTGGTTACATGATAATCCTTTCAATGACACAGCTAAAGCCTACAAAAGGTAACTTTTTTCAGTAAATAACTAAATACTCATGGACATTCCAATTTCAGATGGATCAATAGACAAATGCAAACATTAAGCCGATGTTTCCCTTATCGGTTTTATGTTCATGTTACGAGCTACTTCCTTAATCTTATTGCTGTGGTTATCACTTTAAACTGACTTACTTTTTTTCTAAGTCTAAAACGACAGAGTTCAGCATCAAGAGAGATTGGAAATGAGAAGCATAAAACAGAAAACACTAGAATATTTAAGACATGAAATAAAACCACATATATCCACACATTTTTGCTTAAAATTACATTTATGGGGTTATCACAGACCAAATACATAAAACAGGAACCATAGTTAAATATAATACAGCAGAATACAACATCTTCGGTGCAAAAACTGTCCAAATAAATAAATGTGATTGTAGAAAGAAACAAAATGTGCCACATAATGTAATAGGTAATACAATAAAACCTAATACAAGACAATTAAACTTTTCACCAAAATGTTTATATCTAGATAAAACAAATCGACAAAAATAGGCTAACTGCCATATTAATGGTCCAGAGTAAGTGTAAAAGGCTAAAAGTAGACCGGCTATTATTGGTTGATGATATCGAAGACCAACATACGCTGCAGATAGATCGATGGTAGAAAAGCTCAAGGAATTCCCCTGAAATAATATTTTAAGAAAAATGAACAGTTAACAATATTGGATTATGAGTTATCTGAAGTGATTTTCCAGTATTTCTTTCCATAAATTTTTGTCCATTGTTGATTGAACAACACTTGGATCTCAGGTTTGAATACAAGTATTTACAGTATACTAAGAAAGTTGAATGAACCCTTTTGATAGGCTAAAATTTAGGTATAGCATAAGTGATATAATCACTTAAGATTTATTATTCACTTTGTCGGTTCCATCGCACCAACAGCTAGGTGTGATTTGTTAGAATTTATTCTCGATGTGTAATAAGTCCTTATCTGTCATGTTCGTCTTCTTTATTGCATTTAGCCTGATTAGTTTTGCTTTATTCCTAGCATAAGTTACCTTATGATGACTACTTGACGTCTACTTAAAGATTTCATAGATGGTGGTTAGATGGTATAGGGCGAAATCATGAAAATTGTGAGATCTCCTTCGACACTTTTGTCAAACTATAATGGTGTCAACTAACAATCACAAAATTTACGTTCCTAACTATCATTAGAACTGTGTTATTTTAATTTGAAAGTTTTCTAAAGTGTGCGAACTGTCTTATTTTTAGATGAACATATAACTGTTAAACTACTTATTCGAAATGAAAAAAATGCAGTTAATTTTTATATACACATCATTATAGACAAAAGCAAATAAATCCATCCAAAAACCCACATAGTAACATGTAGGTGTACTAGTCAGTTCAATTAATTTTTTAAATATAAACAATCATTTAAATAGGATTAACGGATTCAAACACAATATTCCAACATGATTTATCAGATTTTATTACCTAGTTGATAATTAAATGATAACTCAGTGATAAAAAGGATGTAAACCGTTTAATCATTATGTTGTAAGCGTCAGTAATTTTGTGCAAAACAACAATTCAAGTATTTCAATGAGAATGTGTAAATATTAAAAAAAGTAACACCAACAACTTAAAAGTATGTACCAGCACTACAAATCGGGATCTCAGCTATTACTTACTATTATTGCAAGGAACAAAACCAAGCAGTATGATAGCAGAGAAAATAAAAAAAGCTAATACTTACATTAATAGTCAGTATTACTATGAAATGGAGGTTGACTTTATATGCAATAAGTCTAATTATATATATATATATATATATATATATATATATATATATATATTACTTACTTGTTGGAAAAAGCTCACCCAACCTTGAGTCCAGTAGATAAGCCATGAACAGAATGGCAAAATATAACGAAATGTATTATGCGATGAATGAATACCCGAATAATGAAATATTACTTGTATCATTTCGGATGTTAGCGCTTCTTTAATCCATATACTAAGCCATAGAATTGTAATCACAGGTTTACCAAGTAAACACACAACTATATTTAATGTAGATAACGGATGAACAATTGAATCCCAAAATGTTTTTGATGAATTTGCTGATGTTTGACCAAATAAACGATTAGCATTTTTATTTAAACGTATACTTCTTGATTTATACAAACAAAATGCATCTATTAAGCATAACAAGTAAACAATTCGAGCTGATTGTATTGCATCTTCACTGAAAGTAAGACAAATAAAAACTTATTAAGGGATAAAAACACTATAAATCAGTATTAATTGTAATAATCTTACGTCTAATCTTAAAATATTTGTCAGATGAAAATTAACATTTGGTAACAATTCGAGCTAAGTGGATATTGAACTAAGTAAATAAATGTAATCATACAAACAGGATAAGTTCCTTTTTTCAAATTGCAAAGTTTCAAATATTATCACATTTGAATTGTTGCCATTACGACAGTATATAAATTATGAAAAATAAACTCGATGTACACATCACAGATGATATACCTAAAAAGTTAGCGAGAAACATTTGAAAGTTTATTGTTTACTCAGGTGATGGTTAGAAACTCAGAGTTACACTTTGTTGCTGTTGTATAATAGTTTCAGAATTAATGCAAAGTAATAGCTTATACAATAAGTGCACAAGACAACTGCCTACTTTACGAAGAACATGAAAAATAAGATAATAGTTAGCGTATACAATTTCAAAACTAGGAAGGTTGTTATGACCATACAATGAAGTGAACATGACTCTTTTGTACAGAGAGGTAAGGCTTGAAATGGCAAACTGTTATCGCGTCAGGTGTGCGCAAATTTATCATCAAAACCTGTTTAGAGCCAGTTCTTTTGATTCTATACATAATCTTGAAAGACGATTCTTGTGGTGGAATGTGACTAGAGTTGATCATCTGTTCAAGGATTAAACTGTTGATTGATTTGTATTCCTCTCTAGCTAGCCATACAGGGTGGTTCTCGGGTATTTGTTTACCGAGTACACGGCCGACATAACGTGCTCTTCAAAGGCAAATGAACTGATAAATACACAATGATGTGACCCAAAGCTGCAGTTTTATCCTTGACACTTCTCGAGTGAAATTCTTACTGCAGGGAACTATTCGGAGCCCAGTTGAATAAAATGCCTTTCACCCTTTAGTATTTCTCCAGACATATTGTCCCTGGATTTAATATTCATGAATACAACTTTCTTCCGAACTGTGAAAGTACTTCCAACTTGACGTTTTGGTTTCAGATCACTATCCATAAACCTGAGTGGGAAACCATTCTACTTTAAAGGAACTAATTATTTGACAAAAGGAACAGTGTGAAATAGATATTTTAACATTCGTAGAAATCGAAAATAATTTTCCGCATGAAAAAGTGATATCGCCTAGAGAACCAATGAAAACTTGGAGGTACTGAATAATTCTTTCGTCTACATATGTGAAACCTTCACAGTAGTACTCCCAGGACATTAAAATCTATTTAACCAACTAAGTAAAGTCACAAGAGTCCACATTCCAAACCTCAGTTAACCCGCGATTACCAACGGTTGCTGTCCAGCCTCACTGGAGAATTCTATATTGTACCAAAAAGATAATATTGAATAAAGTCATTAATAATAATAATAATAATAATAATAATAATAATAATAATAATAATAATAATTGATATGGTCCAAAATTAATGGATTCCTATTACAAGCTCGGAAAATCTAGTACAAAGCTGGTTGCTAACAATCAATGTAGTAATTATTTATAATGGCAATTTTTATGAACACTTTATTCGCAATGAACATACATTATATCACAGACTAATGACAAAATGAAAACTATTTAAAATCAGAAGGTATTATACACAGTTCTATCTCGATTATTACACTCTCTGAATAAGGAAGCACCAATTATCATCAACAATCTTTTGTTTGTAAATAAGTGAAGCCAAAAGCTGTTTCATCCATATATTTACACATTACACAGACTTTTTTAAAAACTACCAAGATATAAACTTACTGTTCGTAATCTGATACTGCTGCTCTATATAATAATTGGTTGAGAACTATGAAAGCTCCACTGATCATTGGGGCATAATATTGACATTTTTCCCATAATGAACAATTAGGACGCAGATGAATAATTGCTTTGAAACGAAATACTAGAAATACAATCCACCAAAACAATAAACAAGTCCATAACACTGCGACGTGTTCAGGTCTGAAGGAAATTATACATGAACAGCAATAAAGATGAGTAGTACATTTTCGAACTAATTATGACTTATAGTATTCAGTCAAGATGACTTCGATTATTGTTAGAGGTATGAGAGCAATTGATACTACCTGGTTTTCCTCACCAAGGAAAAACAATTCTTATTAAGGAATCTGAAAAACAAACTGGGTTAAGAGTATTTTTGCTGATTTGGTAGCATGACTGCAGAACCTAATGGACAACTGCCTGAGACTACTCAGACAACGCTTTATTGTTGTTTTTTCTACATTTTACAGTCCCTATTGTTAGCGATGGAATTATGTGGAGTAAGGTGAGAAGTGGTCTCTTAAGGTTAAAAGCTTTAACACTCCTGCAGTTGTGATAAACCAACATCGTTGCAAGTTCTGGTTGTCTGAGAGGAACACGTAAATGGCCGCGAGCTCCCCATAGAGTCAGTAATAAGGCTTTTTACTTGGATTAGAATTCGAGACTTCCAATCTTACTGTTCTACAACCAACCTTCCTGGTATAGTATGACCACAAGAAACGAATGCTCTAGCCCATAAAACTCCTTTAGGTCACCGCGATGTAGGTAGTAGCTACGGTCAGATGACGTAAAAGAGGAATATGCATGCCAATCAAATGATTGAAAAATGTAGTAGAACATGATTATAAGCAACCGTTTACAACAACTTTACATATATATATAACCATTCATTCATGCTTTAACACGCTAATATTCTGTTTCTCTCCTATAAAATCGATATTCTTTCACTATAAAGTTATGTATATTTAATTGAATAAAAGTTGACGAAATTATAAATTAACTTTTATGATTTCTTGTATACGTTTCATATTATTCAAAGTATGAACTATAAATTAGACAAGAAGAAAAGAAAGTAAATAATTATGAAACTTAAAAACAAATATTGTTTTCAGGAATTCGAATGTTTCAAGAGTGAAGTATAGTTTCATTAACTATTATTTATTTTTGAATTGTTTATGTCTACCATTAATTATTAAATCCTAGTGGAAAATCTAGAAAAATTTCAACTTTGTTGAGCGTCAGTTTACTTTATTAACGTTAGTGGACTTCGCCTAATTCTCGTTTGATTTTGTTTTCCATATTGTATATCATTCAACTTGGGCTACAAAATCAATTAGCACAGTTGCTGACCGAATACTCCACCACCCACATCGACGATGATAACCTACACAGCTAATTATCAACTAGTTGGTGGATTATTTCAAAAAGAATAATGTTTTAGAATGAGAATGAACTGATTGTATTGTTGAATGAATGCAAAATGATGTAATATATTCACTCGTTTGAAGTCGAAGTGTTTTAATTACGTAATTCAACAGAAACTATTTCATTCAAGTCGGATATAATGATTGAAACTTAACATATCATAGTATATTTCACTGGTTCATTTACAGGTGTATACACACAAATAATGAAAGTTGTCGAGTTGTTCCAAAACCGTGAATCTAACCTCATTAAATAAATATATAAACTGCAATTGATCTAGAATTGTACGAATGAATCTCTGCGTACAGTATACTTCGATTTTAAGAATGATAAAAATCTAATATTAAACTTTGAAAAACCCATGATTCAAGAAAAAATGCTGTGTTTTAGCCAGATTGATTTTCTGCAGTAAAACTGCTACTTCTCTGAAGAAGTGGCCTACTCTAAGTCACAAAGTGTCAGAAAATCTAATTTTTCTACTCATTGTAATATTACAAATATATTATTTATTTATGCTTAGTGGATGGTTTGATTAAGAATATTTCACTGCCTGTTTCATAAGGAATTGTCTTTTTTCAGTTATTTAACAAGCTCATTCTCATGATACCGATTGTGACTGACTTTTTTATCGATTTTACTATTCACTTGTGTTCAGTGAAAAGTTGGCAATGTAACCTATCTATCCTAGCATATCTAAAACTATTAAAAACATCCTTCTGAGTTGTAAAATCTTCCAACCATTTCAGAATATACTTTAATATATCATTATAGAGTTCATAATCATAATAAGATAAAACGCAAATAAATAAAGTGATTATTGGTTTGCATCTTTAAACTTGACTTTTATTTACGACTGATCATTTTGTGAAATACTAAATAACGCAGTCGTATTTCGTACCTAAATAAATTTGCTGAAGAATCATATGTATACTTGGATAAAACAGCTACCCAGTCCTACATGGCTTTCAACGGTATTTGAACTGAAGCGAAATCTATGACAAAATACTGCAGTCTCATTTCTCGAGGATAAACTGTCAATCATTAGTTTACATGCATCATTCGTCTTTTCAGTGTGTGTAGGTTTTCAGATAATCAACTGTTGTCAAATTTTTCATTTTAAAAAATTGGAAATGTTAGAATAGTGTCTCATGAAACGAAGCAACTACTTCTGTTGGTTATGAACTTCCCATCAAATTTCCGTACATTAACAATATACGAAAAAGTTACATTCTTGAAAAACAACGTAATTCTGCATATGAAAAGAAAATCTTCTACATTTTAAGATAAGTACCTTAGTAATAAAAATTTAGAAAATGAATCATTTATCAAAATGGTGGGCCTATACAATTGCTTTCTATGCTCATTTGATATGTGTTTAAATAAAAGCTGAATTAGAAAATTATCGATAACAAGTTGAAACATGTAAAATCAACTGCAGCATTAACAAACACTATTTTAGAATAATTAGTTTACTAAATAAAAGCATACAACTACTTATCATGATGAAATGTTATTAAAATTTATTGGTTTGCAGTTATACTTGCAATTATGAGTGTGTATGTTATTGACAGAGAAATCCGACTCAAAGTCTTAACGTGGCGCGGGTAGTGGGGGAAACCCTGCGAGCTAATTTATGCGGTCAGCGTAAATCGGACTAATCCGCTACTCCTATGCTGAAAATGAGTTTGGGGGGATGCGAAACTTGAGGCTACCAAATCTACGGGATTACCCTAAATGTATAATTATGTTTGCGAACTGCATGAGTCTCGGTTTTTTTAGTTGTGTATATCTGTATGTGAATAGGGCACGTGGCGGGTTCGCAAAAGGAACAAAAGCTCAAATGTCTGCACTATGTCGAATAAAATCAGCGGTCTAAACCAGTAGGTCGAAGACAAAATAAAAAGATATGGTAGCAAATCCTAGTGAAAGGTGATCTTCAGCCCTCCCTGAAAGCACTAACGCTTATTTGTATATCATGAAGTGCGAGGGTAAAAATCGTACAGGTGGCATACAAGAAATGCATAAGAGTCAGTTGTGGCAAATATGTTCGAAAGGAGAGTTGATCAGATAACCTCTCAGGTGAGTAAATATACTTACATGTATGCTATAAGATGCATGAGTGAAAACGTGTGTTACCGGTATACGTATAACGCATTTTTCCCCCAGGGTGTGTATACCTGTGTATGCAGAGGGATGAATAGGTAAAAACCTATATGTTAGCGGTATACATCGCCTTGGTGCAACGCCCGCACGCCAGGACCCCGTGGTATCGACTTCCCCACTAAATCACATCCATGTGGTGGGGTTGTGAGGCTTGGTCAGCCTTAAGCGTTCAAGACAGCACCACTACCATATTATTGACACATCCAGTGTTACTCAGCCTACTGAACATGCCGGATGAAAAACATAAATATATGTAGTGAAAGCTACGGCTGAAGGTGGAACGTGTAATGAAAATTACAGAGCTCACACACTAAATTGGTGGAAATATAACTGAAAGAACTGGGTATGGTACATGGATATGAAAACGTTAAAGATGACATACAGTAATTGATAGTGTGTTTTTGTAGCTCATCACCTTACATGGGTTTATATACAATGAAATGCAATTATTCTATGATAACTCACAATGAAAACAATTTATTGATAAATAATAAAAATAAATACGAAATTGAACTACTACTCTTAAAATGAACTTCAGAAATTCTTGACCCCATTCAGTATATATGAATGAATGATATATGATGCTCAGTGGAATAATTTGCAGTTGGTAAATTGTTTTTATAGAATTATAGAACTTTTCAAAATAGACCATGAGTGCTCCTGCATTGAATTCAAAGGATATTCGATACAGTGTAAGGCTAGTGTTAAACCTATGTTTAAGGCTGGATGCAACAATAGGATTTAGGGTGATCCTAAATACTAATCCTTAATCCAGACCCTAGCCTTAAGTACTCAATGATTCCTTCGTCGTTATGATTAATCATCTACATTCGATAGAAAACACTGTTTTGATAATACGTACCATGACCTTGAAAAGCCTCAATCTTTTTTAATAGGACTGCTTTTTTATCTTTAATGCTTACTCAATCTACTAAGTAAGTAGCCTGAAATTCAGTTTCATATCGGCTCAGAACGGGAAAATATGAAAATACAGTTACATCAAATGTCATAGCAGTTGTTACCGATATCATTTTATCATCTAACTTATTATACTGACTCACTGAATTTTGGGGTTTCAGGTCAATAGGTCAAACTGACCACAATCATCACATAAGAATGAAATGTTTTGAATGCAACCCTCAATAGAGTCTAAAACCAAAACAAAAAAGGTCCAATATCTCTGAATTCTTAGTAATTCCCGAACTAATGTCAAACCGTGATGAAAGCTAACTTCAATTGTCCGAAAAAAATTTGAAGATCAAAAGGGAAACTAAAAGTTAGATATGGGTTTCTAAAATATGTAGTTATCATTATAACAGTGGATAAAATAACAATCATGTAGAAGGGGCTGTGAATAACTCGAAAAAAAATGCTAAAAATATCTAATATGGATCTTTATATTCTAAGCAGAAATTCTGCCATGGATTTTGTATTTACAGTTCGTACCCTTAGTTTATTGATTATCATATCTCTTATGACATTTTATGGTGTTTGCAAAGTTAACTTCGCGATATGTACAAGAAAGCTGTCATTTGGAGAGTCAATAAAAAGTCTTTTGCAAATAATCATTCACTTTATTGAACATAAATGTTAAAAGATAGTTGAAATGGGGTTGCTCACGCATTTTAAGGCTACACAAAACTCGTATAAACCATTAGTTTCACATATTTAGCCTCTACCTTCAATTCGAATAAGAAAGATGACACTTTATTCGAAACCTAAGTCCAAAGTTTCCTGCCGTCTACATCCAACCAACTAGTGGTCCTCGAAACAACATGATTATTTTTCAGTCTAACTGTATGAATGAATGTATAATGCTCAAACATCTGCAGCAATGATTTCTACACAAATTAGGTTTCGAATTAATAATTAATGGTTTCTAACACTTTGTATTTACTTCCTAAAGTGGTTTTTTAGAGATTACGTACGCTGTTTCCGAGTGACAAATCAGCAGCAAAGGTGAATTTTACAATCCAGCTGCCAAAGTAAACAGGATAAGTGGGGTTTAAACGTATGACATAGTGCTTAAAAGTCAAATGGTTTGAATACTGCCAGCTTGTGATACAACTCCTATACATAATAATAATAATAATAATAATAATAATAATAATAATAATAATAATAATAATAATAATAATAATAATAATAATAATAATAATAACCTTACTTGTACAACCAGTCAGATATATCCGGTGAATGTATCCATTTATTACCAGTTTGATGTAGTCTACGCAATAGGAAGCGATCTAATAAAAGTATTTTAAAAATAATTTTTAAAATGACCCATTTCACACTTGAACTGACATTGCCAAGTAGAATTAACAAACTAGTCAGTAATATAAGACTTGAACTAAAATAATACCATAATTGATGTTCTTCTTCAGCCCAACTACTTGATGCTAAACTGATGGAATGTAGAACTAAGCAAATTGTGCCGAACCAACAGATAATTTGAACTAATAATGGATCGAATGAATAACTCAAATCAGCTGTATCCGAATAATAATACTGAATTATTGTTTTTTGATTCTGTAAAAAAAGTCGAAAAGAAATTGTGGAAAAGGTGAGAAATTAAAGACAGACGAAATCTTGTTTGATTAAGTTGACCAAGTCAAATATAGCAGGAGTGTATTACTAACAAAAGCTTTATTTAATATTGTACAGTATAGAATTCTCAGAACAAATTACTTCAACAAGTTTATTTTACAAAACAGAAAAATCCGATAGCTGCATACATATATAAATAAATTAGGTAAACAAACTACCTGGGATCAAGTGAAATGTTTTCTTAAGAAGATTAAAGTCTGTACAACTTTTAATTAAAAACATGTTTAAGAATATAAGTTATTAACTCAGTCAGTTCTTACAACCTGTCCGTCGCTTAGTATATTTTCTAGATAAGGTATTGTAGAGCTTTTATAACTTTGCTTGAGTGCATGGATTCCAATGTATTGATGTCTTATTCTACCAGAAGATATACAAGGAGAAAGATACGAATGAAATGTATGGTCAGTGTCTGATAACATAACACATGTCAGGAGTCTGCAACTTTTTAAATGTATATCCACGAACATATTCATAATTATCTCAAAAGATTCACCACACATTCTGCTTACTGCCTTCAGCACTCTTCTCAACACACCAAAACCTTCTTGTAAATGTCAAGGAATACCAAAAGCATATAGTCTCTTTATATAATAAGTTGAATGGAAGGCTTTATTCGATATCATTAAAACTTGAGAAGATCGAGAGAGATTAGAGGCAAAATTCACATTAAGATAGACGACCTTCGATATAACTTTTATAACAAAATTTCCAAGAGCACAGACATTGTGGGATTACAACAGGGTGTTTAACAACTTTTCATGTCTCAGGCTAAAATTAACAGTTTGACATTTAGAAGGATTAAGTGTGAGACCATTAACAACACACTATCGTTCAATGAGAAACAAGACCAAATTCATTCTAAGAGGATGTACAGAGGCAGGAATCGGTGTACATACAGCTATCGATGTTCACGACTGAAAAATTGTTTAGCAGTAGTGGTCTTGCAATAGAGTCGAAAACACAAGTATAGTCTACAAATGCGCATCGAACATACTTCTTACCCTAATTTCAATTGAATACTGTTATTTACTTATTTATCTGAACACATAAATATTGGTACAAGAGAACACCATTATATGTGCGCCACACAAAACAACGAGAACTCGAAGAGGAAAAAAAAGAAGGTATGGAGCGTAAAAAAAGAACAGTGACGAACAGATTAGTGTAAGGTAGTGTAATAATAATAATGAAAAAATAATAATAATGGAGTAAATGGAAAGGTACAACCAGAAACAATTCTTTCAGTTAAGGAAGATACAACCACTTTTTATGAAGAAGGTAAAAGGTTACAGTAGCATCGCCACTGGCTTCTATTCTGAGCCATATCTGATAACGTCTCTAGCCACTGTGTTGCACCATCTCTCTGATCCCAGCTAGGGAGTCGTGAAGGACCAACACAAGTCAGCTCTTTGCAACTTTCTTTCATACCATGACACCATGTCATACACTGACCACCTCTCCGCTTTTTCCAACCAGTCCCAGCGCCGGCAAATAATGCACGACGAGGGATCCTGTGGGACAACATTCGTAGAACATGTCCAAGCCACCAAAGTTGATGTTTCAAGATGGTGACACCGATTGAATTATCGTCTCTGTGCCCGAACACACGATGCTATGTTATCCGTTCACAGCTATCTTTAACAGATTCTTCTCATCTAATCTCATACCAAAAATGTGGAGAAAGATGAAGATAATTACTGTACCCAAGAAAGCATCTGGTGATAAGAATGTAAAATTTAGACCTATTGCAATAACTTCACCCTTCCTCAAAACAATGGAAAAATTATTAATACTTCCACTTCAGCCTGCGATAAAAGAGTATATTGATCCATATCAGTTTGCTTACAGACGCAAAAGAAGCACTTTAGATGCTGTTGCTGTTCTGCATCACAACATAGTATTCAACTTAGAAAAGGGTCAGAAGTATGTTCGATGTGCTTTTCCGGACTATACTTCAGCTTTTGATTCTATACCAAGATAACGTTTAATTAACAAGTTAATCAGCGTCAACACTGACAGCTGGATAACTAACTGGCTATGTTCCTACTTCTCTGGAAGGGAACAGTACACTGTGTTTGGAGGAAAGTGTTCAGAGTCTCTACTGTCTCATGAAGGTGTACCACAAGGAGCTGTTCTTTCATCTCTTCTATTCTCTTTTTTTCTGCATGATCTGCCATCTTCTACAGAAAACACTTTTCTGAAATATGCGGATGATCTTACTGTATGTATGCCTATCTCTTCCTCTTTACATACCATAGAAATGAAAGAGTTTTTGTCTCGTATTGATTGTTGGTCTGTTGGTAATGGTCTCATACTTAATCCGTCTAAATGTCAAGCTGTTAACTTTAGTATGAGACATGAACGGAATCTAAACATCATTTTGAGATCCCATAATGCTTGTACCATCGGAGACTCTTTGATATACACAGTGTCGAAGGTCAATTATCTTGGTGTCACCTTTTCCTCTGATCTGTCTTGGTCTTCCCACGTTTTATCGTTATCAAAGAAGGTTTTCCGTCTGACCTACTACATAAAGAGATTGCATGCTCTTGGGATTACTCATCATTTACTCTTACAATTTGTCAATTCTTGCATATTACCTATTATTCTTTACTGTTCTCCATTATTCTTTCCCGGGCTTTTGAGGAAAGACTTTGGTGTATTGCGGAGAGTGCTGAAGGCAGTTAGCAAGATGTGTGGTGAATCTTTCGAGATCATAATTGATGTGGTTGTGGATAGACATTTAAAATCATGCAAACTCCTGACAGGTGTTATTTTATCAGATACTAGCCATCCCCTTCACTCTTATCTTTCTCCTTGTATATCTTCTGGTAGAACGAGACGTAATTACATTAAAATCCATGCACGCAAGCAAAAGTATAAAAGTTCTATGATACCTTACCTAGCAAATATACTCTGTGACGTACAGGTTGTTAGAGTCAACTCAGTCAATAACTTGCATTCTTAACATGTCCTTAATTCTAAAAGTTGTACAGTATTTCGGTTTTCTTTTTTTCTTTTTTTTTAAAAAAACATTTCTCTTTTTTTGTATTCGTTACTGTTTTTTAGTTGTTGCGTAAGTAACTTGTTGAAATAACCTGTGCTGAGAATTCTATATTGTACCAAAACTATAATATTAAATAAAGCCATTAATAATAATAATAATAATAATAATAATAATAATAATAATAATAATAATAATAATAATGCCGAACCTCTGCATTACTAACATGATGTTGCCACTAGATGTCAGCAATCCTTCGGAGACAGCGATGGTCGAACACAGAGAGTCGTCTAACGTCCTCAACTCGGAAAGGCCAGGTTTCACAAGCATAGAACAAAACTGCTCTCACCGACGCGTTGTAGAGGCGACCTTTCACAGCCAGACTACCATCACGAAGGCGCCAAACATGGCCCAGATTGGCATAAGCTGCTGTGGCTTTTAATATACGTGACTTATCATTATTCAAGCCAATATCAACTACACAGACCCACGAACTTCTCGACTACTTCTATCTGCTCACCGCCCAGGGTGAGTACAGCATCAGAATCCTGCCAGTCTTGTAGAAGTACTTTGCACTTCGAAGGTGCAAAGCACATACCATACCTATGGACACCGATTGCCAACTGATTAAGTGCGGATTGCATGGCTTGGGCATTATCACACAGTAAGACAATATCATACGCATACTCAAGGTCGAGAATTCTTTCTCCAAGCAACAGATCCACACCGCCACTACTTACATCCATCAGAGCTGTTTCCAGAATGTCATCGATGGCAAAGTTGGAGAGGAATGGTGAGATTGGGCAACCCTGCCTAACCCCACTGCTCGAATGGGACAATGGAGAGAGGTGGTTGTATGCCCTCACTCTGCCTGAGGTGTTTGTATATAGGGCCTTTAGGATGTTAATAAACTTCTCAGACACACCCTTCTTCAATAGACAATCCCAGAGGACAGTCCTGTCCAACGAATCGAAGGCAGCCCTGATGTCAAGAAACTAAATACTGTATTGTGATACATAACAGAAGCAGCATCTAAGGTACTTCTTTTGCGCTTGTTAGCAGATCGATATAGATCAATATGTTCTTTTAACGCAGGATGAAGTGAAAGCAGCAATAGTTTTTCCATTGTTTTGAGGAAAAGAAAAGTTATTTAAATTGACCTAAATTTCTCATTCTCATCACCAGGTACTTTCTTTGATATTGAGATTGTCTTTATCTTTCTCCACATTTTTGGTATAAAGTTAGTTAAAAAAGACCCCTTGAAGATTATCTTAAATTGATGGCACAGAACTACTGACAGTGACGTTAAGTGATGACAGTTCAGCTTTATGAGGCTTTATGTTAAGTGTAATATACTAGTGTGTGCTCACAGCTTTTGTACAAGCAATATTCGTGTATTGTAGTACAATAGAGTGAGAAATGCTGTGTTTGGACATAAGTTGTAGGAATTCGAAATTTAGGTGGAATTTTACAAAACTAATTAGAGTTGTATAAGATTATGCTTTATTTGTTAAATGATCGATGGAAAATGTCGCAGTTTTGCGTTCCCCCATCTTTAATTACAACAGGACTCAAAACACAAATATACAATCAAAAGTACCACAACCACACTACAATTTGCAAGCCTAACTAGGTACTGAACTTGGATATTTTTAGACAAATAGTTAAAAAACGTATTGATATTTAACAGATAATTCATAAACGGTGAGAAAATATAACGATAATTAATGAAATTAAGGATTAAAGTTAGTTAGATCTTTGTTGGATGTACCGGCATCCTGAGGCAATTGCTTATCAACACACCATGCATGTTGAACAAGTCGATAACTTCCCGGAATCAGTAACTCAGTGAATAAGGCGTTGACGTCTAAAGCACTAGTCAACTGGGTTCGAGTCTCGATATTAACTTCAACGTTGGGACCCAGGTATATCCATCTGACGAGTTCAAAATTTAATGAAACTCGTAATCTGGATTTAGTGGTATTCGCAATTCATGTACGTGAGTGAGTCAAAAGATAGCTTACAATAAGTTCTGTATAATAGTACCATTAAAACAATAGTTTTGATGAATGCTCATTCAAAGTATGTAAGCTTATTTATTGAAAAATAACTATTCTAGTATCAAATTTCACCTCTTCTTGTACTATCTTAATAAAAACAATTAGCTATTAGATATAAACAGATATATCTCATGAAAAGTGAAAGTATTATACAGAATTAATAATAAATCTTTGAAACAGAATAATACAAAATAGTTTGTATGGACCATACAAATAGAAATCTTAAAGACTACAAAACCACACCTTAAATTTTCCAAAATAAAATTCATCAGTTTATTAAATTGATAGTTAGAAGTAGTCCTTAAATAAAACAATATACTTCAGGATAAGTGGAAGATTATCAATATATACAGTGAGAAAGAATGTAGTTTATATCGATTAGTATATAAGATTATCGAGGATTGCTGGGTATTGTAATATTATTAAGAAATCAGGAATTCATTGAACAACTGTCTCAACCGCGTTTAGGACTAATGTAGAAGTACTCGAAAATGGTTGTTGAGCTCCAAAAAATTAGGATGCGACAGTTTTCCAGTACCCCAACCTTCTTTTTTGATTGTTAATTATTTAATGTTAGCCCAGCTAAATACGTACTGAATACTCTCCGTAATTCCAGTTTAAATATATTAATCTATAAAAACTCTAGTATAAAAGTTAGTCAGTATTAATAATCCACTGGAGTCTATCTGCACTATTTCACCGAAGGTAAAATTGAAATAACTGAATGCATATTACTTACTTTTCTGTTTGTCAAAGGATTTTTGGTATCGGAAGAGTAAATAACTGAATTGAGAATCTTGTGAAACAGCAATAAGGTAACCTATAATAAATCATTTTTATGTCCAAAAAATAGACAAAAAACTGTTTAATTTTGCAAAGGTTTATGGGGAAATTTAATTTTATTTAATTAGTATAAAGAATGATAAATATATCCTAACCAAGTATCTCTATGGTAATATATCTCTGACAGTCACAGTGATTTGAATCATTCGTTCCAAGGAACAGAAGTTTCCTTTAAGAGTGTATATATACCATCTTGATTAGTGGCCAACTAGCATGAGACCGCAGTTTAGGGTTGAATCTAGATTAACTTCAATTATATAAGGTCACACAGGTTGCATCGATATATTGACTTGTTTCAGCTAGTAGTCATATTGAAACTTGAATGGTGGAATTTGATTAGGATAAAGAATTAAGCATGAAATCTGTTCCGAATCTATTAGAACCCGTTAGAAAACTCATTTGTAAACATTCCGTACGTGATACTTTTGAATTTATCGAGCACATAAAAGAAGTGATGTAAGTGACAAAATTATGCTATCGCTGGATGTGGAATCATTATTCACTAATGTCCCACTAACAGAGACCATTAATTTTATCTGTAAGTACATAAACAATAATAGGATAAACATTGGGATACCTGAGGTTTATTTGAAGGAACTATTACTACGCTGCACTTGCAATGTACAGTTCACATTAAACGATGTAATTCATAGACAGAAGGATGGTATAGCAATGGGATCCCCACTTGGTCCATTACTGGCAGATTGCTTCATGGCCAGTTTATAAAACATCCAACTCAAAAGAATTATAGAAAACCTCCACTTGTATAAAAGGTATGTGGATGATATCTTTATCATTTGTGACAACAAATGTAACTCAAGTGATCTCATAGAGACATTTAATAATTGTCACCCATCAATAAAATTCACACTTGAAGTTGAAAGCAAACAAAATATTCACTTCCTTGATGTAGATATGACAAGAAAACAAGATGGTACTTTAAAAAGAGCTATCTACAGGAAACTCGTGTGGAATAGCCAACTATCAAATTTCCACAGTTGGGTTCCCATCAGCCGAAAAAGAAACTTAATAATAACTCTCGCCCCGAGGTCGTAGTGGGAGATTTGAGCCTTTTAAAAGAGATTCTTATCAAAAACGGATATCCTCCTACATTCATTGATAAGAAATCTGTTGCTATCAAGTTATCAATTAGTGTATATATATTACTTGCAGCTATGAATAAAATGAGTCCGTATATAATAATGGGTCTGGAATCCTTATTGTAAAACCATTATTTATTGTTTTGATTGTGAGTATGAACACCACCTACACGTTGCTAAGCTTTTCAGTTTACAGTCGATTAGCACATATTTAGTACTAATATAAAACATTTCATCCGAAGTCTATTAGTTTAAAACAGCGTATACAGTTTTTAATTTCTTATTAGATTTTCTTACTTTAAAATGTAAAGTGATAGTTTATTAATTAGATAGTTTATCTTTTAGTTAACCATCTCCAGATCCAAATCTTGACACACAGACTTCGGTTAGGGTGGTTGGATAGAAGTTTGCACACCACTGGACTTGGAAAATGAAGTGAAATATAATGGATAAGTATTATTGAATTCCCGTTTTATGACGCACAAATATTGTGATCGTCACAAGAAATAGATTTGAATCCAGCCCTTGGCAAAACGGTGAGTGGTATTTCAGAATTTTAGACAAAAACAAAACAACTGCCTGAAACAATTGAATTGAAAAAGCATTTGAATTACCTACAAATAATCAACTTACAATCCACATTAAAATACCGCCAAATATCATTTTTTTATTATTTAAATGTTCAACTTTTGACAAAGATTCTGATTGTATACCGTTAAGTAGGTTAACTGTATCAGTAATTAGTTTTTCACCTTTTAAACGAGAACCCGATTTTACACAATCAATTTGCTTGAATTCATTAGTTGAATTTCCTTGAGTGTTTTGGCAATGTAACCAAGTGATAATTCCATTTAGCAAAATGTTATATTCCATAGCTGTAAAAATATTTATTGAAGCAAAAAGCATCATAAAATGAAAACTAAATATTAAAAGAAAACAATTCACAACGATATCCAGTCGGTTCGTATAATATTAATGATGGAATAGTTTTTGCAATAAATTAGCATTAATATTAAAGGTATTTGATAATGATACATGAATAAATTCATAAACTTAGGTTATACAAAAGTTTCTTTGATAACTTGAATTTGTATTATTTAACGAATGTAAATAGAAACCAACTGCTATAATACTACAGATTAGATAGATTTTTGGCTGAACTCGGTTCCTCTTTGTGAACAGATATAAATTAGTGTTTGGGACTTGGGCAAAGAATTATTGGCCTGAATTCGATAGTCAACTTTTATAGACTAATGTTTATGATCAAGGTGAGAGATTGTGAAGATTTTTCATTTTGAAGTTACTTTTCGTTGCTAATCGGCGTTAATTCCAGAAGCACGGAAAGTCTAAGAACATTTAAATTAAGTATGTTTCTAGTTTGAAATTTCTCAACAATGTGTACACAAAACCATACAAGGGATCAGACTCAAAAGCCACATGTCTCGGAAGGAGCTTGTTACAATATCAAATTAGAACATTGAAAATAGCAGTGTCAATTATAATGAAAAAGACTGAATATACAGATTACGATACTAGGAGCAAGCAACATAGAACCTGGTGCATATGCATCCGTTTGAGTTGTGATACCAAATCAGTATATTCATACAGTATTTCAAAATGTAATAACATTAATGACCAATGTATTTTTTTTTATTATTTAAAAATGAGAGACTCACTTCGTTCTTGACTCCATACACTTGACATACAATTTTTATGCTCAAATTTATGATATGACTTCAATGAAAATACACATTCACCAGATAAACGACCAATTTGTTGCATCAACATATATAGCACTTTTAATCGATCATAATTTGTTGGCCAGAAATTATACAACCATGAAGATGATAGAACGCCTAAACTTCTCTCTGGTATACCAACTCCCGTAATTAATCCGATTAATGTGGCTAAATCAACTTGTTGCGTTTGTGGCAAGTGTTTCAGATTTGTTGTTATACATGTGTTCTTGAGTAAAAAATATTAAAAAATACTGCAGGAACACGAGAGTAAATTAAAAGAGTAATTGTATAAGGCTTCAATTTTATTGATAATTATTATAGAAAAAATAACATTATTAGTCAGTAATATAACTATAATGAAATTTGGAAGTTCGAAGCATGATTTCACATTAAATGTAAGATGAGTGAATTATTATAGGTATTACCAAATAGAACAACAAAGATATTTGTAATGTAAGGATGATTTTGAATACAGAGACCTGACTAAACATTTGGGAGCTACTTATTTTACTAACTGTGCAAATATTGCATTTCACCTAATTGTCTTAGATTTGTTTAAACTGAATGGTTATGTGAGTGCTAACTCGATATATTGAAAGGCTGAAATTAGGAGAGATAAAAGTTATCACGATTCTAATTACTGCAACAATCAAACAGAGACACTAAAATACTTTTTGTTTTTATCTATTCGTTGACAAAATAAGAGACAAATATTTTGGTATTCAAGAACCTTATGTTTCACAAATTACGAACATAGTTGTATCAGTTGAACTGGTAGAAAACTTTAATCATTGAACACGGGTGAAAGTTACAGAATGTTAAAAAAAATTCAAAATATGTTTTCAGTAATTATAATATGAATTTATGTCAAAGAGATATTTGTAGTAATATTGTATAACTGATAATGAGAATCTCTTACTGTGCAAAAATTTATAGTATTGAATAAAGCTATTATTATTATAATTATTATTATTATTATTACGCATTGTTTCATTTGCTGACGTGGTAATAATTAAATGTAAATCTAGCCTATCTAAGAGAGAGAGATTGAACTACGCTTAAGATTGTTTTTCTTTCTAAGGTGAGAAATAATTCATTTATTTTGTATTGGTTAGCATACTTGATAAGCCTTTAAACTGAACACTTGAATCGGTTTCTTAAGCTGTTCTAATAACCCCAGGTTAAATCCACATGACAAAATGAACACGAGAGAACAGACGTGATGTATGAAAAGAACGCTTCACTCTGAGGTTAGTCTATGTACATAAAATTGAAGGTATTTATAGTATTTCAGATGACCTTGCTCTTCTGGAAGGTTCTGGGACCATAGTAAACATGGTAGTGGAATGGGTAATTATGCAATCATAAATGTGACACGTGACCTTTCATTCTCTAGATGTTTTTGAGAAGCTTACATTCAACGCTGATTGGACGAAATGTTTCCCAGTGTTTTCAGAGCCCTTCTGGACTTTTTCGAGGAATACTTTGAATATCCCTAACAACACTCAGTTTTGAGTCCCATTTTAGTTGTGAGACATAGTGCTACTACCCGAAAATGAATTCGAACATGTTGATTAACAGTTGGGAATCAAGTATTTTAATTACCGAACTACTAAACCATTTCCAATGATTATGTAGTGTCATTTTCAATAATTGGAGTTGTTGGAATTCGGCAATTATTCATAAAATATCAAAATAATCATCATAAGTTTTCAAACTCCATACACTTAATTCTATTCACAGCTTTATTTAAATAAATACGTCACCACCGTACCAAGTGTTTACAACTAGTAATACTTTTACTATCGATAATAATGACTGATTTCTCATAATATGCCGTGCTTTATCATTTAAAAATCGTAATTATTGAAGGCATTAATATCCCCCATTTATGGTACAGATCATAACTTTTTTTAAATCAAAATCAAACGCTTATCAAGTTAGAGCGTTAGGGAGAGTAGTATACAATATCCTACCATACCACAGTGAAATAAACATGGGAAATGACTTACAAGTAATATATCTGATACTGTAAATAATACACATATACTAGTGAAACTTGTCAACCCAAGTGCAAATTCATGCATTCAACCTTAAGCGACACTTTTTATGCTAAACCTACAGGCAATACCAAGTTTTCTAAATTGAAACCGATGGAATCAGGTTCAAATCTAAAACTCCCCATAATAAAATTAGATTGTGTACGCATTAAGTCATTATTCCATAGATATATTTAGATGATCGTTTGTGTTTAAATAAGAGTAACGAATGGTCAATTTTATTTTTCAATCGAAATCCCTAATTACCAATTAATCTAATTAACCGTTGTCTTTATCGATTGATTCATATTCTTAAATTCTGTTTCACTCCAGTTCAAAAAGTCGGGCAGTCTTATTACCTCAAATACAAAAATTTTATCTTGTTTATCGATGCTGTTGAAAAGTAATGCAGTGCGAGTGAATCAAATCGTTTGTACTTTCTGGTAATAATAAATTGTTTACAAAATAAACGGTAAAAGTTTCATGACCCAACAATTAAATTGAGGTAGCTAACGCAGACATTTTAAAAATCATTCTTTAGAACGACAAAAAGAAAAGTGTTTAACTATTAGATTTATTGATTTTTGCATCAATCACAATGCCCAAAATTAATCTCCTCCAAGTGGTCATGGGTGATTATTGCTGATAAAAACGTAATATAGATAGGTATACATAGCTATGACTGTCGATATGTAACCAATAATTTATTATTAAGTGACTGTGTCGAAATAGACCTTAAAACAAGGCTAAAGTACTTAATTATTACTAATCCTTCATAAAAAATTCAAAGATTGAAATGAAAAGCGCAGAAAGCAAAACAACAAATCCAACAATCAATGTAAATTGAAAATGTAAATTTATTATTCTTTTTCGTTACCAAATCGTACTTTGACCAATAAATAACTTTGTGACATTGTAAAACTCATTAGAGCTATTTCTTTTTTTCCTACCATATGTTAATTTTTTTTAAAAGCTTCAATTTCATCAGTTTCACATTTCATACATAAATTCTTTTTCAAGAATTATACTTTGAAGTGTCACTACTTAGAGAATAATGTTACTTTTACTTTATTTACATCAATCAGTCAGTCAAATGTTTAACTGTTTAAGATTTCACTAGTGGAAGTCATGAGTCAATTCAAGCTAGACCACCATGAAAAACCTGGAGGCACTGGACGGCCGTTACGTCCTGGTAAGGGACTCCTCAGCAGTGCGCATCCAAAACCCCGCCCCCGCGAGATTCGAACCCAGAACATATCAGTCTCTCGTGCGAACGCCAAACCATTGGCCCACTAAGCCGGCAACCAACGGTGCTAATGTCTAACTTCAACCAATCCACGAAATCGCGCCACCGTACACCATTGTCTTCAGTGAGCTGATATCTCACTGGGGGCGGGATCGTGGATGCGCACTGCTGAGGAGTCCTATCCTAGGACGAAACGGCAGTCCAGTACTTCCAGGTCTTCTATGGTGGTTTAGCTTCAATTGATTCACGATTTCAACCATTGAAATTTCTAAAAGCTCCACAAAACCACTTCTGTTTAAGATTTATTAAAAATTAGAAAACAAACGTAATAGCCATTATTTAAAAGTACACTTTTGTTCTCAAGTATACATTTACCTCAGTTAAATGATCATTTGTTTTATTCCAGTTAGATCCAAGCATAAAAAGACCAGTTGTTTTTTCACCAGTTGTAGAGCCTCCATGACTGCCTTTATCACTCATTCCATGATCGCCTGTTAAAATAAATAACCAATTTTTATTGATAATTGATGAAGAGTTCATCTGGAAAAAAAAGTATAAAAATTATTGGGAGAATAATAGGATACTGAAATTTCTAATCTAATTCATTAATCAAGAATTGATTTGTGTGCTGATTATTTGAGCTACAATATGTGAGGATTCTGTGATAATAAACAGAGATTTAAAATTAAGTAGATAGAACGGGGTTCCAGTTTGCGAACTATGAACAGAAATTTTACAAAAGAGTGAAGAAAAGAAAAGATTCATGAATTCATTCAAGGTTCCTTGAGAACCTGATTTTTTATTGACTAGGCCATGGATTCTTTATTTAGAGGGTAAAGCTTAGCTTGATTAAAAATTTCAATAATGAATGTAGCATGAGTAGTCCCTGAGTAACTGATTTAGTATACTTTTGCATATCTTGAGGGATTCGATCATATATATGTAACCAGAGGTAAGTAAACGAGCCGTTTTCATCTGCACGATGCAAAGTCCATCTACGTATATCATATTTATAGTCTAAATGCTCTATAATCTAAGACGTAATTTACTCAATTTTTATCAGTCCCTGGACTTTAGATTAAAAGCTAACCATTAAAGTGCATAGACATATCATTAGCAGGTAATAAAAGATTCCAACAAATATGATTGGTCGCTGTTTCTCTCCTAAACTAGCATGTTATTAGTAGTTTAAAAAATAATTATCTGTAAACATAAACGAATAATATTGGTGGATGTTTTCAATTTCTCGTTGTTGATGTTTAGATCTGAAATTAAACAATATCTGTTGTTATATATGCATTCCGTGCAAATTGCCTCTATATGTTATGTACATATAACAGTAGTAACTGATCAATTAGAGTTGTGAATATCAACAATGGGAGATTGCGAATTATTGCCAATACTTTCAGACTCGTTGAATAATTTGTGTTTATCTGAAATCAATAGCTTAGGAGGATGTTTGAAGTGATAGGGATTGAGTTCGAGTTCCAATGTAAATATCAACACTGAGCCTCAGGCACATTTCGCCGATGAGTTGCAAATAGAATCATTAGCTATCTAATAAATATAATAAATTCAGCGAATATTTTAATTGAACTAACTTTAGGAATCGAGTCTTAAAAATCTAAAGATGAGCTGAGTAAAACAAAACATAAAACACCACAATGAGATAAATCCTATAAATTTGTTAACTATTAACAAATTAAATTTAGCAAAACTAATTTATATTAGATATTCGATAATCAAACAAATAGTAACAACTTTTGGTTGATAATGTAATTCAGCCATTAAATATGGAAAATTAGTATTTAAACAACATTCATTTAAACACAACTGATTTATTAATGGGCAATTTTCGTCTCAAGTTATAACAAATACTTTAGAAACTGATTATGAAACAATTTTCATTTAAAATAACTTACCTAACAGCCAATAAAAATTCTTGTTTGAATTCTATAGCACCTACTTTGATTTAATCAGTTGAATATAAGAACTAAACTACATAGGAACGTATAGTTAAGAACCAAGTGTGTATAAGTACTTATAGTTCATTACTGAGTTAAACTGAAAACTGATTCATACTAGTTGATATTAGTTGAACTAGCAGACAGATAATTTACATATTAAAAATTATTATCAGGTTTAGTGATAAAAAGAACCAAGTTGATGATGCAATGGGAAATATACAGTTGTAGAGTTAACCATTTACTGTGGTTCTTTCAATTTTCGTTACTGTAAACCATTGGCTTACATAAAATGTAAATGTTCAACACAGTTTATTTTAATTTTATTAATCAATTACTTTACTGATAATATATTAGTTCAGAAGAAGTAGAAATAAGTATTTTAATAATAATTATTATAACAACTTTGCTGTACCAATATTTTAAAATTTCATTATCTCCTAGAATTACTATAGTGTTATAAGTTATGAAACTTTCAGTTCGAAATTGAAAAAAATCTCATTGTGAAACAGGAAAAAAAATCATTTACAAGATTTTGGATTATGCGTATTAGTGAAAGCAACTAGTCAGTTCGATGTACCTGTATCACAGTGTTGACATTAAGGCTGATGGTAGAAGGTAGCGCTTATCGATAAAGACGTTAAGTCTTTGGGTACTAAACTTATTACCTTACTTACACCTGATACCACTCGAGCAGCATAGGCCGCCCACCGGCATTTCCCATCCAACTCTTTCCTGGGCAATCCTTTCCACTTGCTATTCATCCTTTTGGTGTCTGCCTCCAATTCCCGGAGCAATGTATTATTAGGTTAACCTTTTACCCTTTCCCATTCAGGATTCCAACTTGGAGCTTAACTCGCGAAGCAGTTTGATGATTTCCACAATATATGTTTTATCCACTTTCAACGTCTTTCCTAATCTCTTCATTTGGATGCTGGTTTGTTCTTTCCCACAATAGGTTGTTGCTCATGGTATCCGGTCAACGGACACTCAGTATCTTGTAAAGACAACTGTTTATAAATACTCGTACATTTTTGATGATGGTTGTAGTAACATATAGTTCTCTTACACACACCATCAAATACTTCATCATGGTCAAGGAATTCGATCGTCTTGCCTTTTTTGTTGTTGACCGATCGCTTTGGTTTTTTATATTCATCAGCCAGTTTCTTGGTTGTATTATATAACTGTTTTATATTTGCCTTGCTTGCAGTTTTTTCCGGTGTTGTTGCTAGTTCTTCGCGTATTTCTGTTTGTCAGCTCTAGTGCTCTTCTTCATCACCTGCTTGTTTGCTTCTATTTGTTTAGCTTGTGTCTTGGCTTTCTCTGCTCTTGTTCCACTGTTTTTAATTACTGTCTTCTTGGTCTTCTTTTCTTGAATGCTGTCCAGGGTTTCGATAGAGATCCATTCTTATAATCATGCCTCTTGAGGCTCAGAACCTCCGAACATGTTGAAGTTAGTGCTCCTTTGACCCCTTCCACATTGTCCTTCATAGAAATTTTTTCTTCTTTGAGTAGATCTCGTAGTGCTTGGAACCAGTTGTTGAGATCTATCTTGATTCGTTGAGTTTAACAGCATCTCGAATGAAGGCTGTATTGAATTTTGTAATTTTGTCTCCTCAGCTGCCCAGTGTTTCTTTAGCTTCAGTTTCATCTTGGTCACAACCAGGTGGTGATCTGAATCTACGTCAGCTCCTCTTGTGGTTCTCACGTCCTCAATCGACTTTCTGAATTTTTTAGTGATGTAAATATGACCAATCTGGTTCTCTGTGGTGTGAGCGGTAATACCCATGTAGCTTTGTGTATGTGTTTGTGGGGGAACAACTAATTTTTTGAACGCACATAGATTTGCAAATCCCTTACCATTCTCGTTCCTTTCTTTCAGTCCATGTCGTCCTATGATATCTTTATATCCGGTGTTATTCATTCCGACTTTGGCGTTTAGGTCTCCCTTCAGGATGGTCAGGACGTTTTCTGAGTACTTCACTATGAGTGATTACAGCCTCTTATAGAACTGGTCTTCATCGTCGTCATTGCGATCATTGGTGTGTGCATAACATTGGATAACATGCATTGTGATTCCCTCCGTCTTTGTTTTGAAGGATGCTTTGATGATCCTGGATCCGTGAGATTCCCATCCTATAAATGCATTTCTGGACAGGATCAGAGCAACTCTCTGAGTGTGTGAAGCATTTTCCTTTTCGTGACCGGAGTACAGCAGCACCTCTCCCGAATCTAAACTTTTCTGTCTAGTTTGGGTTCGATGGGCCTCACTGATTCTGAGCACCGCTAAATTGTATTTCTTCATATCCATAACTATTCGATCAGTCCTTCCAGTCGTTTACACTGTCCAAATATTCCATGTCCACCTATATTAATTGTTGCTCTGTTTGTTAGGAGGGTCATCGGTTTAGTGATTTTCCAAAAATCTCAGCTCTCACCAAGAGGCGCCATAATTCTTCTGAATGAAGACCTTTCAACTTGAAGGGCAGAGTTTAAATGGTTTAAATTATTTTTCCCCACTAGTGTTTTTCTTGGCAAGGTTTTTTTTACGGCATGGGGTTGCTGACCCTATGCCCAACCCTCCTCCTTTATCTACGCTCGGGACCGGCAGTAACCCTAGAAGGGCTACAGGGTTTGTATAAGTATTAGACAGCCTAGTGATTATGACGCTATCTGAAAAGGTTTGTAACATCCTGTTGTTAATATTCAGGCAAATACGTTATCAAAGATTGATTTATGCAGTCTCAGATACCAGCATCAAGAAAGTAAGAGCCTTTACAAAAGATATCAACTGGTTTTAGGTTGACGAGTTCTTTAGTTCAGATTATTATCAATATCCAAACCTGAACATAAAAGCATTAGAAATTTTAGCTGATGTCAGGACGTGACTTGTCTATTAATGGCCAATTAACAGCAACAACTGCTTATTCATACTTCTACAAAAAAAAGTCAATTAGATTTTACGTCAAATACTAACGTGTGTGTTGCACATTGTAGTGATAATTGAACTACGTGAAAATCAAGATTACCAATAAAGTATGAAGGCATCAAACTAATTTAACTTCAACTCAAAAGTTAAAATGCAGTTAAAAAACATTTGTAAATTCCCGAAAGTTATTAAAGGCACCACCCAAATTTGTAAGCAAACTTTACGTTTATGTATACACTTTATATTCGAAATGTTTTCACTTTTACCAAATCTGACCCTTAGTTATATTGATTACAACAGACAGACTGATCTTAGATCGTTATTGACAAGAGATAAAAATGTATTAAAACAGTTAACGGAACCGAATGGAGTATATTTTGTAAAGGGTAAAACATTATATTCTATTTGTGAAAGTTATATTTGAAACAATCTCAGCGATAGAAATATGAATTCATTCTTTAGCGATTCTGATTTATCCAGCAGAATCCCAGACAGGTTTGTTGGATGAAACGGTGGAACTCTTTAGATTTCAACCGCTGAGATTATTACAAACATAAATTTTACAAATAACGTCTTCAATATATTCAGTGCCAGATTCCTGACAAACTATTCGTTCAAATATTGACGAATATTGGTATGAGCTATATTTTTGTGAATGCTGAATCGGTGCCAACCTTTATTGTTAGCAGAGTAGTAACAAATTGGAAAAAAAGAAACAAGATTAATCGTGTGTTATTATGCCTAATTCTCGTGAAACTGTGGTCTAGAGATTTTAAAAACAAACTTTCGAATATTGAGAATGGATTTCGAAATTCAATCTAAAAACTTTAATTTGAGTATTAGAACAATACTGCACGCGGTATACAAATATGTAAATTAAAGTTTAATACTAAGTTTCATAGTGAGTAATGTTAACCATAGTAAAGTGTGGATAAATAAGACTCAGTAATCAATTCAATACATGATATAGTTTCATATAACTTGGACTTTTAATATGAACTACGTAGGAAAATGCATAGCTCCAACGGTTAGATAAGTAGAGTATTAGAAATTGATGTTTGAATGAACATCTTACTATCAAATACTTTATATACACCTATTTTCGTATCCTAAGCATTTTTAGCACCTTTCTCCACTTCAGTTGCTAATCTTTTTAACTCGTATGCTGTTGAGAAGAATTTACATACAAATCCATACACTTTATACAGAACTTTACGATAACATTCCTGTCCTTTTTGTGCAGTTTTTTGAGTAGAAACAATGGTTACGACGTATTCGGTTACATAAAAACAAACGCAATTGTAGATGCTGTTTTTATGAAAGAGATTAAAAAAGCAAGATAGATGTATCTTTGCGTCAAATACTCTAGCCTTTAGAGTATATATCTTATCCAAAAAGCAACAACCACAAAAATTAATACTAATAAAATCTAGCACTGAATCAAAAGCCTATAAGACAAAATTAAAAGCGCATGAATCATTGATTATTCTTTAGTCAATAGTCACTGCTACATTTAGAGTCTCATGATTATAAACTCAAATTTAGCTGTTCCTAAACATGGGGCGCAGATTCGTCGTTATTCCAAACCGTTTGCCAGTTTCTGCTTGTTCATGATAGTATTAACACTGATTTTGAATGGGTCGTATACACATACATGATATAGCAAGGATATTTAAGTCAGCAAACTTTGGAAACTTTATTTAATCACTTACTATTCATAATGAAGTATCAAAACGAAATTTAATGTTGACAGTCTCACTAACTCTAAATAGTGCTAATCGCACTGTACAAAATAGTGATAGAATATCAATAATATTACAATAATTTCCATCAAAGTCATTTCTTATCTTAAAACTATAAATGCTAAAAAATACAAAGATACACATTTCGAATCCAAGTAGGTAAAATAATGGGAAACAATCAATTTCATGAACAATGATTTTATCAGACATTGTCTTATCCTAGCAGATTCTTCCCAGCTCTGTAAGACACGAGTACTGTTTGAGACATAGTATACTGAAACGAAATATCAGCACAGTAACAGTGACACATTCACAATTATCAGGTATTCCTTTCCACTTGAAAACAATTAAAAAGCTTACACAATCTGGACATTGGAGACTAAATTGTAAATATGAAGCGAACGTATCCAACAATTAGGTAAAGAATGGTAAAAAACCGATATACATATTTTGAAAGACATTAGAGTAAAGTTATTAAAACATAAACAACAAACATACCAATACTTCAAGTATGCTGTGAATAACTTCATCCATTTCACGAATTTTTTTAAGGATGCTAGATCCCTTAGGTCCTTCAATGTGTCCAATATGATCCAACCCCAAATAATGCAAAATAAGACCATCCCATGAATCAGGTGTAGTCATCAATGTCGAGATATGACGTGTTACATTTTCATCTACCTATAATATTAAAAACATTTAGCATCAATCGATTTTACTTCATAGAAGTCATTAACGTAGAAAGAATTTGTGCCTTCATAGGCCTGAAAGCTTTTAGGAAAAAGCTTTATCCAAGTATCATCCCCATAAAATTGAATTTTCCATTGATGATTTACCAAACGAGTTACCCAATTATCATCAACCATAGTTTCTGCATTTACGTTGTGCAAAATATCAACAAACTTCGGATTTCTCCCTGAGACGATTGCCTACATTTCAAAATGATATCCAATTTGTTCAATAAACCAACCTTTATTCGCGGTAGTGTCACAGTAGGGGGTTGAACAATTGAAGCAGAACATGTGGCCGACTTGAGATTCATATACGAACGAAGTTTGACCCAATTTTCTGAGTACTTTGGTGAAAACAAAAAGTCTACTCTTAATGCGTCAACTACGATCATGACAAATTTATCAATCTTATATGTTTCTTCTATATCCCCAACTAAATAAAACCAAAATACTGGTCAGAAATGAAACTAATCTTACTTTTGTCAACTTTTGTAGCTGGGTCATTCGGCAGTAGACCACTCATAAATATAAAAAGACCAAATGAATATATGCCAAGTAGAAGGAGACATTCATAAACACTAATTTTCGTCAAGATCCCCATTTAATTACTCATCTACTTTACGAATCTAAAATGGAAAATTTGTATCTGAAGGTTATAGAACTTCAAAAATGTGTAAATAAGCACAACGATATAAAGAGTAAGAGTGAAGTGGAAAATCATATAATCTCCACACTACACTTAGTTGTATGGCGGGATATATGGAATATATAAATAATGTTAACTTTTGAGGCAGAATTTAGCCAATATGTATGACAACAAAAATAAGTACAAACTCATGTTAAAAACACGAAGTATGGTAATTAGTCTTAAAGTACAAGATATAATATCTAGTGACTATGTTCTGTCGCAAAATGTTTACCTAGAATATTTCGAAGTTGCAAAGATTGTAAATTTTCTTACCGTGACATATCACATAAAGACTAAAATAAATTTTGCTTTGAATAAACCTCTCCATCAGGATTTAGAAGTCTTCCTCGGGAATTCTGTAAAATATTTCCACAGGATAAAATACCATACCATAACAGGCTTTAACTATGTGAAAATTATAGGAAGTGCGTAATTCATACTCACCAATCACGTCATGCAAGTGAAAAGATAAGGTTACTTTTGTAGAGACTTCATTGATGTTATGAGTGTAAATAATAATAAGTAAAGAAAAATGTGTTATTGAGACGTACTCGGAGGCAATAAGCTATCTTAAACTTAGTGTTAGAGGACTGCGTAATACACCTGCTAAACACCAAAATTTAGTATATTGCAAAGAAGATTGAAAGTCTGATGTAACGTTGACGCTTATAATATTTAGGTCTACGGTTTTTCCAATGAAATTTAAATGAACATGATATATTCCCAATCGCGTTCAACTATTAAAAACATGAGTGATTTACTGTAGAAATGGAATAATTTGCAGTGTAAATTTTAAATCACCAATTAACTTTTAGAAATTTCATATAACTTTTAACTCGAATTCAAATAAAATTTGATAAGGTTTAAGGGTTTTACTGAGAACCAGCCCGAACTAGTAGTTAGGGACAGAATTTGAATTTGGTGTTAGGATTCAAAGTTGGATGTTGAGGTTTAATATAGAGAACAGGTTTTACAACTGGTCTACCTCTACCCAAAAGCAAACCCTGAATCTCAAATCCTACACATAGATCTTTACCCTAAAACTTAATCTTAATTTTGACAGTAGCAGGAGATCCCAGTCCCAAGCCTTTGTCCTTGTTTCTAAAACACAGATCTCATTCCAAGTTCCAAACATTAAAACGTTTACGTCAGTAAAACCAAGACCACCGAAATCTTAATTGTAATTTAGTATACCTAAGGTATATTGTTGGGTGACGTTGAAGTCTTGAAAAATGGATAAGTTAATAAGCAAAATAAGTAATTTACACAAAACTATATGAACAACTCTAAAAATTCCCATGTGAAATCTCGAGCATACATATGGTTCAGAAATACTCAGATTTTCTAGGAGACCGTTTTAGAAGTCAGGATTAGAAAAAAGAGTAACGCTTGAACAATTGACCGATATCGGCTATAATTTAATAAAGATTCAACATCATATAGATGAACGAATCGTTAACAGAAATCCCATAGCTGCTAACTTGGATTTAATTGGTGTTGTGCCACCCTTAACGTCGCAAGTGCTAGAAGCCAAACCCACTCTAATGAAAGTTTCGAGTTCTTGTGATGGTTTTCAAGATCTAACGACGTCTTAACCGTTCATATAAACCAGAAACAAGTTGACATTCAACGTTTTAGTGCACACCAAAACTAGATCACCCTAACTTCTTTCCACAGTAATCTACAGAGCTAAGTGGAAAATATCGTTTAATTGATTGAATTTAAAGAAAACAAAAAAGATAGGTAATATTTCGGTTTTGTATTTATGCTGCTACTTTGATTTCATTTTTTTTACTTCGACTGCTATGACAGTATAATAATTGTCTGAGAAAGTCAAAATTGTCAGCTACTCATTATCACAATACAACAAGTATCATATAGAATAAACTACGTCTGAATAACAAACTCTTCATTGAAAAGTCTTCCTTACGTTCCGTAATAGTAAATTAAGCGTTTAACTAAACAAAATTACTAACAGCAATTTTACGATCATAATATCGACACACCTGACATTTTAATACCTAATAACAAAACAAGGGACTAAACGTTTGAAGATAACCATATACTTTGTTCTCACAGAAAAGCCTTACGGTGAAAACGCGTAGAAAACTATTGAGAGCGCTGTTTCTGAAGGTTGATTTTCAAGGATTTTTGTAAGTGAATAGGACGTTAAAACACTGTAAGACAAAATTGGCTTTTCCGAAGTAGTACTGAACTTTCAAAAACTCATTGAAGTAAGTCACCAGTTCTCTGTTATACTCATGAGGGGTATTTCTAACTAATTTGATTACTGTTAATATGAAAATTTTAGGTCCTCAGTCTTAGGTTTTCAAATGTGAGAGTAAATAAGCTGGTCTGAACTAATTCTTGCGTCACGTTTTCCAGCCTCAAAGTACATATAGCATTAAAAAACTAAAGGGAGCTCAAATACATGGGTAGCAAACGGACAATATTGATAAGTACAGTATCTCAACCGAAAGTTGTAACTTTTCGTGCTGAATCAAATGACAGTAAAGAAATTTTGAAAGCCTATAGCACTATCAGTCTAGCAACATATATTTAAGAATAAATTATTAGTTATCAATAGAGAGATTTAACTGCTTTCTATTTTCTCCCGAAGCATGGCAGTATTTTGTGTGTAGCGGTAAATAAATCCCTAAAATAAATAGCTCTGTAAGTTTTCGACATTGGATGCTGACCATATGTTTTAGTGGACTCATCTAGCTGAAGGCGCTCGGTCAGGCATCTGCACCAGATCACGTGTGGTAACGCCGTGCTCAACATCAACCGCAATCGCTAGCCAGATTAGATCAGAGAATTCCGATATATTGGTCGTCGCCAAATATACTCTTCCGATCTCCTCGACTCTGTCTTTTGATTTCTCTGGGCGGGTACGAAATATATTAGAAGGTGTTACTGGTAGAAGCGTTGTCAAACACTGAATACCTGTGACATCATCATTGGTGAGACCATCGTGATCTGGTACACCTAATTGCAACTGTGAGTCTGTTCCTTTTTGGGATTTTTATATATCATTGCCTTATTTTTTATTTTTTTTAAACATTGTGATTTTTTTTCCTGGATATATATATTTTTCCCTCGTTCATTATCGTACTTCATACTTCATCATGACTGAACAGACACCTAAAGTACTCAAGCTTAAGACTTTGTCCCCGCCTTCGTTTCAACTGATGCCTTTCTGGCCCGACAACATCGAAGCCTGGTTTTGCTACGCCGAAGCCTACTTCTCCGAGCACGGCGTGATCGACACACGTGCACAATTCCTCGCAGTAGTCAAGGCACTACCGCGCGAATTCAACAGGTACGTAACACCTAGTATGTTTACAAGTGATGTTTCCGATCCTTACGAAATCTTAAAACGCTCGATTCTTAAACGAGATCTAACCGATCGACAAAGGTTAGATCAACTCTTCAATAACATCGACCTGCAACACGGTTCTGCGACAGACATGTTGCAACGGATGAGAGAGGTTATAGGCACAAGAACTTTCGACGAAGGCCTATTCAAACAACTCTTCTTGTCAAAACTTCCCCAACAGGTGCAAGCAGTTCTGGTCTCGTTCCAGAACAACGCCTTAGACGAGCTAGCTGCATCTGCCGACCGCATTTTAGAAATTACGAAATCTACTACCGAGGTATTTTCAGTCAAAGAAAAACCTCAAACGACTCAGAATGATATAAACGACTTATGTCACACACTCACGCGTTATCTTAGTCTTCGTACCGACCGTAAGAGATCGCGCACACCACGTAGAAGCATTTCTCGTAAGCGATCTGTCTCTAGACCACGAGAGACAGATAACCCTGACTGGTGCTGGTATCATAACCAGTATGGAAAGCTTTCCAGAACTTGCAGAAAACCCTGCAATTTTCCCAACACGAAACCGACTGATTCGAAAAGCAATTCGGGAAACTTCCAAGCCGGCACGCGTTAACGGCAACCGTAGCCGGCGAACAAAGCCGTCTGTTATTCGTCACAGATGTGACAACGAGAGTTCGCTACCTCGTCGACACTGGCGCAGAAGTTAGCGTTCTCCCAGCAAATCCTAACGATCGACTACACGAATCGACCCTAAACTTACAGGCGGCAAACGGAAAACCGATCGCTACGTATGGCAAAAGGTACGTTTACCTTAACGTGGGTTTGCGCAAACCCATCCACTGGATTTTCGTTGTTGCAGATGTTTCTATGCCAATCATTGGTATGGATCTTCTACAACACCACAATCTGATCATCGACACGCGCAAACGGAGGCTAGTAGACGGGAACACTAATTTGTCCGTTTGCGTAACTTCTTTTACTGGTTGTAGAGTATCCCCAGTCACAGTTAAACATATGATAGACCCACTCTATCAACCACTACTCGATAAGTACCCTGAGATACAACAAACTCAAACGAAACTACCGTGTGTAACCAGCAATGTTACACATCACATCACGACTACAGGACCACCTGTATTTTCAAAAGCACGCCGACTAGCTCCTGAAAAGCTAAGGTTAGCGAAAAACGAATTCGATCACATGATGGACTTAGGAATCATACGACCGTCAAGTAGCCCATATGCATCTCCGTTGCACATGGTCCCTAAAGAGGACAGCAACGATTGGCGTCCAACTGGTGACTATCGGCGATTGAACGCGAAAACCATTCCCGATCGTTACCCGTTGCCTCACATTCACGATTTGACAGCTACCTTGAAAGGTACAACTGTCTTTTCGAAAATCGACTTGGTTAAAGCGTATAACCAAATCCCTATGGCTACTGACGACATACCGAAAACGGCTATCATAACTCCCTTCGGACTCTATGAATTTTTGCGAATGCCTTTCGGTCTAAGGAATGCTGCTCAAACATTCCAAAGATTCATAGACGACGTTTTTCGAGGTCTCAACTTCGTACACGCGTATGTTGACGACTGTCTAATCGCAAGTCCGGACAGAGAAACACATCTCAAGCATCTGGATCTTGTTTTCGAACGACTTCAAAAACATGGCATAACTGTAAACGTTCAGAAATGCCAATTCGGAACCGACTCGTCAGATTTCCTAGGACACACTATCGATACTCAAGGCATTCGACCTCTTAGGACCAAAGTGGCGGCCATTCTGGATTACCCAGAACCGACCACCGTCAAGCAATTGCGCACGTTTAACGGCCTGGTAAGTTTCTATAGACGTTTCATACCGAAATGCGCATTACTTATGAAACCTCTGACCGACCAACTTCGTGGAAATGCGAAATCCATTAATTTGGACGACACCGCACGAAAAGCATTCTCCACAGTTAAGGAACTGATTGCTAAAGCAACAATGCTCGCACATCAGGACACCCGAGCACCCATTAGCATCGCAGTAGACGCATCCGACTCAGCAATCGGAGGAGTCTTACAACAATGGGTTAACAACTCCTGGCAACCTTTGGCATTTTTCTCTAGAAGGTTGCTACACACCGAATCGAGGTACAGCACATTCGGTAGGGAACTCCTAGCTATGTATTGTGCTGTACGGCATTTCCAACACTACATCGAAGGTTGTGAATTCACTCTTTTCACGGATCATAAACCGCTTACTTTCTCGTTAAGCTCTCCTTCTGACAAGTACTCTCCCCGTGAGTCTCGACAACTGGACTACATTTCGCAGTTTATTTCAGATATTCAACACATCTCTGGAGCAAACAATGTAGTTGCAGACGCCTTATCTCGCATAACTTCCTTGAACAGTTTCCAAGAAATCGACCTTCTTAAACTCGCCGAGCTTCAAAAAGAAGACAGTGATCTTCAGCACGAGTTATCGTCCACAACACTTAAACTACGCATCAAACAGATGGGAACAGGTAAGGAAACCTTACTTTGTGACACATCTACAGGTAGGGATCGCCCAATCGTGCCGAAACGTTATCGACGCAATGTCTTCAACACATTGCACAAACTTTCGCATCCAGGTGTTCGTGTAACCATCAAGCTTATAGCAGAAAGGTTTTGCTGGCCTGCAATGAATAAAGACGTGAGGGAGTGGGCACGCTCCTGTGTAAGCTGCCAAAAATCTAAGGTTATAAGACACAATAAATGTCCCTTAGGCTCGTTTAAAACTCCCGATGCTCGTTTCGACCATGTTCATCTGGATTTGGTAGGACCTTTACCAGATTCAAATGGATACTCTTATCTCTTAACCTGCGTAGACCGTTTCACTCGATGGCCAGAAGCAGTACCTATCAAGGACATCACTGCTGAAACAGTGGCCCGCACCTTCGTCGAACGATGGGTAGCAAACTTCGGCTGCCCTTCAACCATCACTACACACCGCGGACGTCAATTTGAATCTGATCTTTTCCGTCGTCTGACCACTCTTTTAGGAAGCACTCGCTTCCGAACGACCGCCTACCATCCACAAGCAAACGGGTTGGTAGAACGTTTTCACCGACAACTGAAAGCTTCGCTATCAGCTGCAAACGTTTCACAGTGGACCGACGCTCTTCCACTCGTCTTACTAGGTATCCGCAATGCAGTGAAAGCTGACATTGGATACACTGCGTCTCAACTCGTTTATGGTACGACACTTCGACTTCCAGGAGAATTCGTGGATCCTTCATCCTCTTCAATGAACATGGATCTAACCTCCTACACGAACAGGCTTACAAACGCAATGCGTTCAGTTAAACCTGCTTCCACTCGACCACAATCAACTGATGTTTTCGTTCAACCTGACTTACGATATATTACACACGTTTTCGTTCGTCGAGACTCGCATCGACGACCATTCGAATCAGCATACGAAGGACCCTTCAAAGTTCTTCAACGTGAATCTAAGTACTATATAGTCGATAAGAACGGAACCAACGATAGCATCAGCATCGATCGCTTAAAAGCAGCATATTTAGAAGGAAATCCTATCTACGTGGATTTTCCTTCGGTACAATCGAACGACACGACTCCGACACTTATAATACCTCATCCGACAACCAACACACACGATGATACTTCGGCAGTATCCGAAAATAAACTTAAAACGACGCGTTCTGGAAGAAGGGTGAGATTTCCAGAACATTTAAACGACTAATGCACGTAAGGCACTTCTCGACATTTTATATTATTTTTTTTAAAAAAAACAAAAAACAATTTTAATAT